AACGTTGTGCAATTAGCGTCACGATGACTTACACAGGCGCAGTCTCTTCTTGACCCCAACAGCCAATCTCAAATCTTTCAACCGTTACAAGAGTAGCAAACACAGGTGTGGTTTTGGATGTATCAAGCGATGCCGCGAGCGAGAGCGATAGAGACCGCAGGCGAGAACAGGTGGCAAGGATGGTTGTAAGGTCTTCTGTACAGTCAACTTCTTGTGCGACTGGATTCTCGCCGGGTTTTGTGCAGACGCTAAGACGCCTTATATGGGCGCCGTATCTGGCTGGTACGTGCATGGCGAATGATCTCAGAGCACTACGAGATGAAATTGTGACATCGGAAAAGATTTGAGGTGCGAGAAGATTATAGGAGGTTCGAGAGGTACGTGAAAGAGCACGAGTGTCCCTGGGAGGGAGGAAGCGAGCAACAGCCAAGTGGAGTTCAGTTGGGAGGTGGTTCCAAGTCATGATGAATGGATGGTGGGGAAGATGGGATGGAGTGAAGCCAGGGCTATTTGTAGTTTGATATCAGGTTGTAGATATGGACATGGTCTGCGGATCAAGTTGACAATTTGAAAGAACTAATCTCCATCTTTATCGGGAGGGAGTCGCTGGTGTGTTCACGTTCCATGGTACTCGGCTGAATCCATATAACTTAGTAAACTTCTTTCCGAGATCAAAGGAGACCTCGATTGCCTAATTTAGATATGATTCCCACGATCAACTTTACACCAGCTTCTACCGCGGCGGGCTTGCTGTGCACAATACCATCCTTGTTTGTCGGCACAAGCACTACGGTAGTTGTCATCCTAGGACTTGTAGTCATTTCATTTTATTTATATATATATCCGTTAATTTATACAATCCTTATCGTGAGACCGAAGATCATCATCTACAGCATGCAGCTATAATTGTATCCGTGGCCACGACCCTACTACATAGTAATTGGTGATTTTAAACTGTGAGCAGCGGCGTCTGGAGGCGTTTAATTCATCACTAGCTAGATGATGGGACTAGAGGAGTTAGTAGAATGGTAAGTGCACCATGCTCCAACTCACATTACTAATTTCATATGATTGGATCCTAGCCATCTCACCCTTGGCCTATCTCCGTCTACTGGGCTGTACAGGCATAAACAATCACGTGCAGCCCGGGTCAATTTGTGGTCAAGGGTCGCCCCTGACTTCAGGCGGCCCTGCACAGGCTGGCGTCGCTTTGGATGCTGAAGGCTGCTAACATTTTGACCTGTCACCGCTGGGTTTTGCTGTCAGGTCTACGTCCCTCTCCGTCACGCTAATTGTACCGAACCCGACTAAAATGGACTATTGGCCATCAGTATCAAAAGACGCATCAAGGGACTTTTACAAGGTGCTCTCGTATATTGAACCCCCCGGATTGGCACTGCCCTTTTGTTTGGTCACTACGGTCTGAAATCATCGTAGGACCCCATTTCCGAAGTGCTTCGATACTGTCAGAATAGTGGCTGAGTGAGTGCTTCTCTCTACCCGGGTCCGGCGTTTGAGCTCTGGCTTTGGAAGAAATAATGATATTATCCACTTGGAGTTTCGTAACCAGGCGGTGGCATGAGCACCCGTCAATAGTTACCCGAAATTGCGCTGGTGGACGTAGTAGCCAGGTAGTCCTCACCGTTTACTATGAGTCCGGCCCATGTATTGCCGCTATTGCTTTGGATCTTCCAGGCTAGGCCACGCTCCGGTTACTAGGGATATTTGCTAGAGTAGGAACTTTTGGCGCCTATCGTAACCCTGCTCCATTTCCTGATCTTCTAGTGGGGCGGGCGATTTTCCCCAAACGGAGTGGGCCACATTGGCCTCCTCAGGATCGACCAAGGGGGTCACGCCATCGATGACAGATTACAATCAGGCCCTAGTAGTCGATCCTGTATGCTGGATTACCATTAACGCCGACTGACACGTTACATGACTTGGAATATAGCAAATGGTGCATTCTCCGATGAGCTCGACGCGCAAATCGACTTCCTGAATCAATTGAACGTTCCACACAGTTTCAGAGCCCTCGCGATTCGTCGTTGCTGTATAAGTTCGCCGACAGTAACGCATCGTCATCTTTAGTATTGATGATCATTTATGGTAAGATTGATACCGGTTTTGGGTGCCGTCGGGATGCCAATTGCACAGGTTCCCCCAAAAGCACTCTCTACCAGTCACCGTGTCGTACGGAGTTGACCTTACCGTCGCAGTTCATGTAGCGTCGGTCACCGCTGATGCTGAGAGAATGTGACGCCGCCATGAAGCATTTACCAGTGGGTGCCTAGATTCGTCCTTGTTAACGTGGCACCTGATCGAATCTTCGAACTATTCTATCACTCGCTTCGAAAAAAATTACTTGTGGAGTCGACTTCTAGAATTCGTACGAGCACGGATCCGGCACACCTATCGCTCTTCCGTATAACGCATCGCCATCCTCGATCGAATACTAAAATTACCTCATTTGGGAAAGTCTTCTATTTCGCACCCCGCGTGTCAAGTTTCAAGATGATGTGAGTTCGCTAGTTCAGCCAATTGGCACATGGAACTGTGGCTCTCTCGTAATATCACCCATGCTAATCACATGTATGCAGAACAGGTTTCTGAATGGTCCCACACGAAGTAGCGCTGGCCAGGCGTCGAGGCTCCCGCATGCTCGCTCGAACTTGGCCCAGTGCCAACCTCGGCCTACATTTCGGTCTCTCCATCACGGACATCGTCAACTCCTACTCCCCGACTCGGCCCCGTGTCTTCGCACCGATTAGTGTCTGAATGCTGTGGAGCATCACCTCACCGATCATCTACAAACTCCGGTTGAAGATTACGACTTTTCACATGCACGTCCAATGCGTCTTTAGAGGCTATACAGATACGGACACCGCATTCGAGCGTAAACTGCGCGTCGATTTGACCGCTAGAGTTTGAGCGTTGACACGTCATTCATACCCGTCCTTGTAGATGGTGATACGCCGATGAGGTACTAGTCCACTATTGTCCATTCGATGCTGTAAATGCCCTCATTTTCTTCATTGCAACCGCACATCACCTTGATTGACTGCGAGGCGACGCCGAATTAAGGGCATAAAAGGAACTACACACACTCCGGATGCGTAGGATCAAGGTCGTCACGTCCACGCACTACTACTGCAAAATGACGGTGAATCTTCAGTACAGACCGGGCTCGAGTTGCCCAGTTTAGGTTTAGCTGCTCCTTGACGTAGCAACTCGATTCGCTCCCGAGTCCAATATAATTCTCCTATCTTGGCTGGCGTTGAACCTTATTTTCATACAGCACACGTAACTATTCATGTCCGTATTCTGAACAAGATGTGAATATCAAAACATAGTTTTTTCAAGCACATGGACATCAAGCATATGCACATCAACTACCGGCACTCGTTCGATCAAACCTGATTTGATTGTGGAGTGATGTGTTTCGTTGCGTGATGAACTTTAAAGCATCCGGTCTCTGTGAGTTGGGTTAGGGTTCACTCTAACTGGTCAACTTAGGGCAGGTTTGGTGTGTTGACGGAGCGTGAGAGTCTCTGCGGTACTTGCCGTGGCTTGAATTTGGGCTATAGGCTACCGACGACAAGCAACGTCCGACGACCTCAAGACACCTCGAAATTTTGCAACATGGTAAGTCACCTCTAGCCATCCGCGGAACCTCAGACATCTCGTATACTCGAGTCGCTGTCCGTTTCTTCTCGGAGATGCGACGGATTGGCATCACCTCCTTCAGATACATGGCATATACAGGGCTTTGACTCAACCTCTCCCTGACAGACCAAGAAAAGAAGAAATGGCGGCCGTAACAAGAAGGGCCGTGGCCACGTCGGTTTTGTTCGTTGCTCGAACTGCTCTCGTTGCGTCGCAAAAGATAAGGCTATCAAGCGTTTCACGGTGAGGAACATGGTCGAGAGCGCGGCCGTTCGAGATATCAGCGAAGCTAGTGTCTACCCAGGTGCGATCCTTCGAATTCATCGTCCATATATACGGGGTCTCATATTCTTGTAACAACGCTAGAATACGTGATTCCAAAACTCTATATCAAAATCGCATATTGTGTATCTTGCGCTATTCACTCGCATGGTGCGTATCCTCCAACGTTCTCTTGTTACACTTATGAATCTCGTCTGTCACTTCTAGTTGTACGTGTACGATCACGCGAGGGCCGCCGTAACCGTGCCCCTCCCCCACGCATTCGGTGGAAAGATGGCAAGAAGGTGAACCCTGCGGTCGCTGCCGCAGAGGATGCCAAGGCAGCTGCCGCAGGAAAGGCATAAGGCTGAGCGATATCACCACTTTGTGTTTTTCCCGCTACCATTAGGGAGTTGGTCTCATAGCTTTCACTTTTATCCTGCAAAATCTGTGCAATTACTCCATCTGTGTCCAATTCAGGCGACTACGATCGTTCTAGAATCTAGGCTGGCGGTCATTTGTCTTGTGTCCCTTTCACGTTTGTCTCTCGTTCCTTGTCCCGCAATCTCTGCATACCCTTGCACCCTCGTATCGGCCTTCATTGAGCTCCTTCCCGTTAGTGCCTCATTTGAGTTCATTATTTCTATTGCCCTCGTGTCTTCTGATGTCCGTCGGTCATTCGCAGCCTGGTGAATGGGTTGTCGAGATCCTGACTGCTTATGAGAATCGCTCGCCCTCCACCAACGTGGAATTTGCCACAGTACATTGCACGATGTTGTCATTGGTATGCATCGGTTCAGTGCATAGCGTGAGGTTGTTCGCGGTGACAATCCGACTACTGTTTTGACACTGATACGCATCGATGACGGTAGCTGCACGAGATCCCGGCTTCCAAGTCTCAGGAGAAATAAGAGATTCGCACTCTTCTGTACCATATTCGGATACAGTTCCTATAGGCTACAGTCGAATGTTGGAATCACCGAATCATCATCGATGGACCTGTAAGCGATGATGTCAGTTTCTAAGATGAACTTTGTAGTTCTGCAGCGTGATCCCCAGGCCCAGAGTTAACTTATATAGCTGCAAACCCAATTTAAATACCTTGACATCCTCGTGTATTCCATTTCCTGTGCTTGGTGAGCTCTTTCTCCCTCTCCTTCTCACCACGTTCAATCTCGCCGTCACTGAGACAGTTGAGTAGTGGTGTGAAAGATTTTACTCGGTCCATTGCTCTAGTGCCAGATGCGAGGCTCGGCAGGAAGGAGCAAGTCGTCGACTCGGACATCTGAGGGTGGCCAACTCGGAACAGCGACTTTTGATAATTTGAATTTGTTCGTGTAATACTGCAATGTACGATGGCCGTTCTACTAGAGAATAGGTCAGTGACAAATTTATGGAAACGCAACGCTACGCACTTGAATTCCCCACCAAGGCTCAACTCCGAGTCTTCCGCATATACGTCCGCAAATTTCTCAGAGGAAGCATCCACATTCTCAAGATAGGATTTTGGGAAGACACTTCGTGGAAACGTCGTGTATTGAGCTCGAGTTGCCGGTGTTCTCGTGGGCACGAAACAGTGGAATGAGCACGCGAATTACGAAGAGGCGTTCGGAGTGTGTGATTGCTGCGATGACACATTGGTGGGCGGGGGGGGGGGGGGGGGGTTCAACATTTTACCTCTTGCAATATTTCGATCACAAGAAGATCTGGACCTGGCTAGAGCGTTCTAGACCTAGCTAGTCTAGAGCGTTCCAGAGCACCCTAGATTACCTTTAGAATGTAATTTCACTGACGGGTCACGGCAAAAGGTGGTAAAATGTCAGTTCCCGTACAGGCTCTATAGTGCTGTATTCACCTCTCACCAAATTTACAGTGCTTGTCCTCTGTTCACACTACTAGTATGCATCTTGCACGTCAGTCCTGTATTGTTGCATTACCTCTAATTCGTTCATTTATGTTGGTTTTCAGACGCAATGTCAAGTGTTATCTCACTGTGTCAAGCCTCGACCTCATCCTGTCAAGTTCGATCCACTCTCTATAGTATATACTCTGCACCACCACGTCAAGCCCCAACCATGGCATGTCGGAAGCCTCGTTTAGGCTGGGTCAAGCACCGCTCACACCACGACAAGTTCTCCCAAATATCTTCGTAGTCTCTGTACTAATATCAACATCCACACTCTATGCCGCGTCAACCATAGCACATCATCAGTGAATTGATGAGTCCTCGATATTGTAGCCGTGAGAAGTATAGCACGATGTAATTCTGCTGCCGCCAAATATTAGCTTTTATACTGCGAGCAATTTGAGTCGCATATACATACTCATATATGCTTGTAAATCCAGCTTAACATGAATAATCTATGACAATGCTGGGACATTCCGCCTTTGCAGCCAATGAGTAGTGATAGTATACCTGAGCCAATCGTTTTGAGCTTTGACATCTCACCTAGTCTCGTTTTTTAACTACAATGTTATTTAAGGCCTTTTCAAGGAAAGAGCCTCTGACATTTGTCAATAAATCTAGAATACCATCAGATTTAGCCACAAAGCTATGACATTTCTCCGTTTCAGACGATAAGGGGTGGTATTAGACTTATCCCAACTATTTCGTGCATTGCCGTTTGGCCCTATTGATTTGTTCCATTACAATGCTATTCAAGCCCTTCTCGTGAAAACTACATCAAATATTTTACAGCAGTGCTCTACAACACTCAAACGACAAGTCTGAGGCAACGTCGACTTTAAAAGTTTCAAAAAGTTGTGACATGTTGAAGTCACAGTACCGTATATCAGTGGTTTTCGAGCGCATATACGAAATGAAAATTTATCGATACCGAACAATAGTAGTACACGAGCGACGAGAGATGGTCTGAAGACTCCATGTCAAAGTCTGGGGGACAGGTTGTCCAGAAATTGCCGGGAAGTCTATGTTTGCTGCCCGCCGTATTATGCCATAACTTAGCGTCGGTATCTCGCCATCAGCCTCTCCCGCCATTTCACGTTGCCCACCGTGCCCACAGACAACATACCATCGACTACAGCTCCACAGCTGCCAAGTATTCCAGGTGCCATCCTGCGGATGTCATCAATCGGACTTGTCATTGATTGCACCTACTGATACGTGACACAGGGATGGCTGAAGTGCTGATGGGGGGTGGTTGATGTAGATGGCAGGGGTGGCTAGCCACTGACGGGGGTAGCTGATGGGATCAGTGTCGCAGTAGCTGACGTAGATCGTGGCGGCAGTGATGATGTCAGAAGTTCGGAACAGACAACCTGGAACTTGCCGACAAAACACACCCAGACATGTCCCCCAGACTTTGGGGCGGAGTCTGCACAGACTTAACACAGACCGGCCATTTCCCACATGCCCTCCACGTTCGAAGGTCTGCGTGGAATGCGATTCGGTGGAATCCGAAGCGTGAGCCATCGCGCCGAAAAAGGTAATCGACCTCATCGACCTCATCGATAGCATCGATCTACTACGTCCCATAGAAATCATATCTGGACGTCAAATCGAAAACGCTTACCTTGAACGATGGCACCTCAGGATGAGGTGAGTATTCCATCGTGGTGTCCGATCAGACGCGCTGACTCTAAGTGGTGGATCAGCGCTGCTGCAGCATTGATCGTGCAAGAAAGATAACCAGGGAGAGGAGTGAGAGGGAGAGGGAGGGAAGGAGAGCGGGGGAGGAAATGAGGAGAAGGGAGAGGGAGAGGGAGAGGGAGAGGAAAAGGGAGAGGAAAAGGGAGAGGGAACGGGAGAGGGAACGGAAGAGGGAGAGGGAGAGGGAACAGAAAAGGGAGAGGGCGAATATCTCGCGGTCAGCACAAACGTTTGGTATCGTGTCGAGGTGGCGGCGTGGATTGTTGACCGTTCTGGGATTTGGGAGGGGGCGCAGCAGCGTGTTTGCCGCAGAATAGATACTCTTGCAAGGGTGATTCGTGCCTAACAATACCGCGTGCTCACTTGTGAAGAATATAATTAAATTTTGGCCGCTACTTTCAATATGAAGTCAGACATACGATAAATGAAAGATCCCACATCTCTATCTTGAAAATGTATCCTGACAGTTCCGGAGAGCACCAGTTTGCTTGAGGTGGTTTGGCATGAGGGTTCACGGTGTAGTCAGTCACATACAGGGTGTCAGGTGCACTAGTGTTTTCATAGCTGTGCAAAATCTAGATTTTTGTCAGCTCCGCATTTACGACAAGTTGTCTGTAAACTCACTTCGACGGTGCAATCGATGGAAATATGCCTTTGAATCAGAGCTTTCAACCTTGAAAATAGAAAAAGAGACGAGACGAACAATCAGAACGGACAGGATGATAATGGGGAAATACCTTTAACTCAGCATCCTTGGGCAAAGCATTCTTGGGTACTGCCCACTCTGACGGGGCGTCAATTCTGTCAGGAACACGGAAATGCCGGGCTTGGGTATCATAGGTGGTCCAGGACAATGCGGGGCGACAAGGGTGATCTTTATACTGTCCTGACGTCATGCTAACAGCATCAATCGAGCTACAGTTCAGCCATCTGCCAGCCTGTTTGATTAAGTTCCATACGACCTCTGGATTGTTAGTAAGTGCAGGTAAGAAAATTCGGAGTGATGATGGTGATCTACCATTCCTCGTGTTTGACGCCTTGAAATAGGGAATATACTGCGCATCGTGATCATGAGAATAGCCCTTCAACTTGAAAGACTGGGAAAACGCACTGGAGGACATGTGAGGGAGCTTTCCGGAAATGTAAACGACAGTTAAACATACAAAATATCTTTAAAGTTGTGAGCTGCTAATCTTTCTTTCCATCTCTTAGGTATTGTTTGCGAACTTACGAATTGCACCATGGTCAAAGATCGGAAGCTGGCACAATCTAAGGCGAAATTGCGAAGGTGACAACTCATTAGTCCCATGTGCCTTTCATCCAGGAAAGTAACCAACTGAGCACCCCCAGGGAGTGTTGCGACCTCAGAACGCTGGATAGTATGATGCCGACAGCAATCGTCGCTGTGTACTGTGCGTTATCGGAACTGTCAAGTGGAAGGTTGGTAGATGTTGAATTTGGGGCTGATGCCTTTCGAGACCGGTATGACGCACTGCAGGATTATATTAACCAGAGAGTCGCCCATGACGTAGCGTTTTCGGAGCGATGGAAAGATTACGAGCAGGTTACTCGTGCTAGGTTGCTTGAGATTTAATTAGTACTCATACTCGATCGCGATGATAACGTACCTTGCTACAAACTATTGAGCTCCTCGATGCAGGGACCGGGCTAAGTATTGGGGATTACCTGACCGGTTTTCCTCCACCAGTCTTATCTATGGATGGGGTGTCAACATTTCCGCGGGGATTCCAGGGTGAACCAGAACCTCTGGGGGAGCCCTTACCACATCCTGTCAATCGCAACCACGGACCATCGAAGAGAACTCATCCATTTCTGTTTCACCCATATTCACACCAACCCGGGAATCACGAGGCAAGTGCAGCGGATGTGCAGCAGCTGAATTACTGACGGAGTCGTGGCTGCATAGTCCCAAGCTCCCGAGTCTGGACCATCCATAGTCCAACAACCACTACTCCCCTCGTATGCTGAAAGTAATCCTTTGCACATGGAGATTGTTCGGTCTGCATTGGACCACGTGATTGACTACGCAGTCAACGTTCACTGCCTCCTAAATCAGAAGGCGAGAAAAAAGTTAGTCGAGGAAGCCTTGACCAATGCCGTCAACTCCATCTGCCCTCATACACAAGCAGGTAAGCATGCGTGTCTCTTTTTTTGAAAAAGAACTCACTTGCCTAGCGAAAGATGATGCGGTGCGATCACACAGTACCAACAATGAATCATAGGCTCTAGTAATGAGTCAGACTTGGATGTAAGTCATTGATACAACCCTGCAGAAACTGGTGAGATGGTCAAGGTCGAGCTACTCCAGTGCGACAAACCTTATCGAGAATTTTCCTCCCAATCTCAAATCCGAGTATGAGACTGCGGTGGCGGCAGTGCGTATGTGGCATAGGCTACACAGAATCCAAGTTGATGTCTTAACATAGTGGTGTACTAGTATCGGCTCCACAGGATAATTCTTGAGTACCAATGTCGACCAGCCTTTGTTATAGGATTGCTGAGGCTTGCCCGCACTGAGTCTGTTGGTTCAAATCAGCTCGTATGATGACTTGGATGATTCTATGCAACGTGTCACGGCAGCGATCGATAACAAACGAAGCAAACAAGGTAATACACTCCGACTCCGACTCTGCAACGTGTACTCCCGCTTTCATGCACGTGACTCAGGAGCACACTATCCGCTATATACTATACAACTGAACTGTCCGCAGGCGAGCGGATTGTTTGTACTAATTAAGGCGAAGATAACTTCAATTCAAGCGATAGAATGTGAGGAAGGCATTTTTTTAGAAAGAGAATTCCAACTCTTCGTCCTCGTCGTCACCATAATGCTCCCCACTGTCCATTCCATCTGAGTCCACGTCCTCTTCATCGACTTCATCGTCACATTCCGAATCGTCATCCTCGTCACTGCAGTCTTCTTGCTGATAGTCACATTCCTGAAAACCCTCACCGCCATCTAGGTCCTCCTCATCTACAACGTCCATGGCTTCGGTCCCTGTCCAAGTCAGTGAATCTGTACCAAAAGCGTCTCGTGCGAGCCTTCGAAGTGTGACTGAATGACCAACGCCCAAATGGGTATAGCGCATATACATGTCTCTATCAACGAATCTGGCTCAAAATCGCGAGGGTTATGACACAAAGGGTAAGGGATATTCACACTTACATCCCAACGTAGTATTCTTCCCAATCATCTAGCTCCCCTCCAGGACGTGCAAGCGACTTTCCATGTCGAAGCGAACTTATACCTCTTCCTGAGTGAAATGCAGGAATCAAATGCGCCCCTCTGATGACTTGCCCTGGGTCAAGGAAGCCAAATACATCCGTGTCCGATTCTTCTACAAATGCAACCTTCGGAAGGCGAGTGCATTTCATACCAGATCTATGGTTCTGTACGAGTGCCAGCCACCTTACCCACAGAATATCTAGGTGCCGCTTCACAGACAGGTGACCGTCGTTAATCCATACCTCCACATGATAGATGCCTAACACCCGGGCATACCAGTATGGGTGCCTAGGATTTGTCTCCCCTGACAGCACCATGACATCCCCATGAGTTCGGGGGTTGATGACATCATACTCATGCCTCAAGTCGTAGGTGGTGTAGTGCACCTGCATTGTCTGAACCGCGTATATTACGTTGTTGGGGATGATCACCGAGTTACGTTCCTCGTCAGTGAAGACGTGGTCACAAAAAGTAATGTCGAGCTCCCGCAACCTATAAAGGATATGGTCCTTTAATTTTGGAATGAATTTCTGACGAACTCTGTGAGCAGATTACAGGTGCGTCCAAGATAACTTCTACCTTGACAGCTGGATCACCCTCATGTTCCCGGATAAAGGCGAAGATCTGTACTGGATTGTTCCGATTTGTTGCGATATGATGCTGCTGTTCCGAGGAAGTTGACTGTAGGGCGTCGGCTCCTGACTGATTGCCTGGCGACGAGGTGCCCGCTACTTCTGCCACCCGCTGCAGAACACGACGCCTACGCTCGTGCTTCGCCAGCTGCGCTGGGGTGTCTAATTTATTTGTCAGTGGATAAAACGCCTTCAGGGCTCTGTGAGCAAGCTCTCCCTGGGCAAACTTCAGATACATAGCGTGAATGTTAAAGGTACCTACAATCTGAGTTGTGAACGAATCTGTAGTTCCGAAGAACCAGATGGTTCTCACATAATCACCCATCGCATGAAATTTATAGGTACTTAAATTAAATGTCTTCCGGCGCGCCCCACTTGAATCTGCAGACGTATTGTGGGTTTCAGAATGTTGAGCGGCCTTTCGTTGGCGGGCTGCTCTCTCTTTGGGTAGTTCCACAGCGTTAAACGCGGCACATGTGTGACGTTGGAACTTTCGTAGCATCCCAGACAGGTTTTTGAAGGTTTCTGCCAGGAAAGTAACACTGGACTCAGAGTGAAGCCTGAGTTTAGCAAGTGCATGCCATTGGGCAAACCGATACAACAAAGATTGTACCACCGCATCATGGGGGACCGGAAAAAGTCCTTCAAAGGCCGGAATGGCGCACTAAGAGCGTGTCAGCTAGTATAAAGTATAAAATAAATAACCAGAAGACCTGTAAGATGTCTTCAAAGTCGCGCGCCGCTAACCTCTTCATCTCAGAGGTGTTGTTTGAAAACTTGCGGATCACCCCATTGCCAAAAGTGGGGATCTGTCGAAATCTATAGAAGATCAGAATTAGACTACTAGTTAGCAAGCGGTAGCGCTATGTGAAATCTCCATACCTGCTGTCCAGGGTTGACACTAACTGACTCCCGCCAGGGATGGCATAGAGCAACCTGATAAGGTGCGTAAGTAGCGCCTTCCAGGTGCCGAGTTCGCACTCGTGCATGAAATCGACTACGAGCATGCCAAATGCATCAAGGCCAAGTGGTCCAAGCCTTTTGGCGAACTGATTCTGCAGTGTATGACGTGTAGTTGATCCATATAACACAAGGAAGCACAGTTGCACTCACCAGGATGGGCACCCAGGAGCCCTCACCAAGACTGTGTTCTACCTTTACGCCGTCAACCGTGCTTCCATTGTAGATAAATTCACGAGCCTTCAAAACCTTCGCCAAAGCATATACCCGAAGATTTGTCACTCGACTTTTCATATCTTTCACGAGCCCGAGAAAACTAAACGAGTTTTTGGGCGCAAGACAGCGGGGGCAAGGGCACAACCCCATGTCCTTGATGGTTGCAATTAAAACCCTGTAAATCAACAGTGATTTAGCAGTCTCGAAATAGGTATTCAGAGGAACATACTTTTCAGGATAATCGGCAGAATATGTGAAGATTCGAGGAAAGACCCTCCGCCATATTCCGTCAGCACATTTAAGAACGACGCCGTGACTATATGCGTGAATGAAGTCCTCGTCCAACAGGATTTCCCAGCAGGAATGAAACAATTCCCTGCGGCAGTGAGCTTGAAGGGACGCTATGCCGGTCTTTGATACGCGATATAAATTACTTAGAATATCTTTCACGCTATCGGGAAGCTGACTTCATCAACAGAAGGCGAGTGTGCTGAATGTAAGGAAAACTTACTGACGGCAAGAATCCTACTAGATGGCAAGCTCCCGATTTGGGCGACGACCTTGCATACTTGGTCAGATTTCCGAAATATAAGTAAAGCGGCCAAGCTTTGGCAGTCCCAAAGTTTGCCAGATGCGTGGCATCAGAAAAGAACATCAGACCGGCGATAACACGCTCCAGTGAGCACCCATGCTCCCTGGGCAGCTTCTGAATGTGGTCCTGAGCTGCCAACCATGCATCGGAGGTGTATAACTCGTCAAATACCCGCTCTTCATGGCCGTCCAAAGGGTCTTTCCACAGCCGTTTGAAAGGGAGGAGATGAAAAGCCTGAGCTTGAACATCTGCGAATGCGGCGCGCATTACTTCAACAAGAGGGCGGTAGTGGAATCCAGGAACAGTATAGGGCTGGGGGCCGTCCTCCTTCGACTTCGTCGGAATGTTAATGGTAATGTCAGTCTCAATCCAATCATCAGGGAAGGTTACTTTTTTCCCATCCTCATCTCTATCCAGCTCTCGCAAGTTTCGCTTCACGGAGAAGTTTTCAAGGTGCTTGGGGTCAAAGTCTTCCGCCAGTATCACGTCCTTGACCAAGCGCGAGACTTTAGTTTCAGACAAAAGAGCACTCCCGGAATTCATCCAAGACATAAGTCTATGGATCGTCATGTTAGGAAAGGGATAAGGAGGTGGAAAAACCTTTTGTTGAGAATCAGTTCCTTCAAGTTGGCTAACCGTTGGAGACGTCCTTGCAAGTAAGGAGGATGGGATCAAATGATCTGGCTCGAAGGAGGGACGACGAGGGTACAATCGACAGAGACCGAACGAGTTATACGCGGTCTGTAGAGTGTCCCTTAGCATTAGAAGGACTCGTCGAATCCTGGATTGAGCAGGCAATGAAACCGAGGCTGGAACTGGTGGGACGTTGGCGTTATCCAATTGGTGGAGGTCGTCTTGTAAAGGCTCGACGTCGCGGAAAGCTCTCGGAATTCTTCTCATAGATAGTCTAGTTTCTTCTGGAAAATATCAACTGATTGATAAAACGGTCGCTACTCAAGGAATACCGACCTAGACTATCACGATAATCCGAGACGTTAAAGTTTGGCTCCACATTCTCTATCTCCGAGTCAACTTCGATAGGGATACTTTCGAGTTGCTTTGAGTTAAGGGGAGTCTGCGAGTCTAAGACACTGGAGACATCTTGCAAGCTGTCAGCCATAAATATGGGCCTGCGGAGCTTGTCAGGAGCAATTGGCTTCAAATTTGGGCGATCCTTCACATGTCGGACAGCAGATAGTATTCTCTGAGATTACATTGAGTGACTGAGTTCAAGTTTGAAATAGATAGAACACTTACTGGCCTATTACTGAAAGGGCGCAGAACCGAGCTTGAAGAAGCGGCCTCCTTTGCCCGTTCTTTTCTCCTTTGACTGGCTAGAGTACTAGATCTCTTATAGAAATGGCACGTCGCGCGATGCAGGCTGAGTCCTCGGTTGTCGGTCGCCCTTTTCCAAGAGCAACCCAGAGTGTCACAAGATAGCATTACAAGAAACAAGAGAAGGCCAGCCCAGAACGTGCGCATTGCGCTTGCAAATCGCTGGGCATAAGCAATTAAACCATGCAACCGCGTGACTAGTAGTAGTAGGCCGCTGTTCCCATGAACCGTAACTCTCCGAATGACGTACTGTCTCGGAAAGGCCCGTGAGTCGGGCCTGGAACGTTCTAACTCTCGATCACAAACCTTTCTGCATCGTCACACTTTCAAATGGAATCTTCTGATGGCGGCGGCAAGGAGCTAAGTACCTGTATTGCAGAATCTGCACTAGTAATACTGAGAGAAGACGAATGCCTAGTAGTACACGTATTGAAGTTGGTGCAATGGTTTGTAGCAAGGTACATTATCATCGCGATCGAGTATGAGTACTAATTAAATCTCAAGCAACCTAGCACGAGTAACCTGCTCGTAATCTTTCCATCGCTCCAAAAACGCTACGTCATGGGCGACTCTCTGGTTAATATAATCCTGCAGTGCGTCATACCGGTCTCGAAAGGCATCAGCCCCAAATTCAACATCTACCAACCTTCCACTTGACAGTTCCGATAACGCACAGTACACAGCGACGATTGCTGTCGGCATCATACTATCCAGCGTTCTGAGGTACCGTTGGTAACCAACTTCCTGAAGAGCATTGAGAATGATGTCCCATAACACCCTGTTCTCAAGCGCATGACCGTCATTCCCGGCGCTAAATTTGGGAGGGAAGACATTGTCGTCAATGAGGTCTTGGACTATTTGTCTCTGGTGCTCGGGTTCAGAGATACCTGACCAAGGTTCAGGACGCAAACGATATCCAGTTTGGATTTTGGCTCGTGCGATTCTCTTGCAAGCGGCCATGATCTTTTTGAAAGGATCAGAAATCGTTTGGTACAGCGCCTTCTTATTCTTTTTGACCCATTGCTTTCTGGTCCCTGATGCACGGCCAAAACTTGCAAGTGAGTTCTTTTTCAAAAAAAGAGACACGCATGCTTACCTGCTTGTGTATGAGGGCAGATGGAGTTGACGGCATTGGTCAAGGCTTCCTCGACTAACTTTTTTCTCGCCTTCTGATTTAGGAGGCAGTGAACATTGACTGCGTAGTCAATCACGTGGTCCAATGCAGACCGAACAATCTCCATGTGCAAAGGATTACTTTCAGCATACGAGGGGAGTAGTGGTTGTTGGACTATGGATGGTCCAGACTCGGGAGCTTGGGACTATGCAGCCATGACTCCGTCAGTAATTCAGCTGCTGCACATCCGCTGCACTTGCCTCGTGATTCCCGGGTTGGTGTGAATATGGGTGAAACAGAAATGGATGAGTTCTCTTCGATGGTCCGTGGTTGCGATTGACAGGATGTGGTAAGGGCTCCCCCAGAGGTTCTGGTTCACCCTGGAATCCCCGCGGAAATGTTGACACCCCATCCATAGATAAGACTGGTGGAGGAAAACCGGTCAGGTAATCCCCAATACTTAGCCCGGTCCCTGCATCGAGGAGCTCATAGTGATTGTCGGGATCATGCGGCCTAAGACTTGGCGCTCGTAGGTGAAGGGTAGTCCCTGGGTTGTCCACTGTTGTGTGAGAAGGTTGCTGTATTGCTAAAGTGTTATGGTTGAGCCAATTTTGGCTCGAAGATGGCGAGAAGTGATGGGGGTGAGTCTCTTCTTCCCTGGTAATCAGAAGATTTGATGTCTCTGGCTCGCTAGGCTGCACGAAATTATTATCGAAAAGGTTGGGGTGTGGCGGTGGGTAGTCGTCGTGATCATGGGGGGTTAATTCATCGTTGAACAGACTGTCCAAGTTATATTCATCGTCAGAAAAGAAATCTAGCTGCTGGTCATCGCACGTGTAAGCGGGTAGCATCGTTGTGGTGGACTGATGATGGGATGATTAATTAGTATTCATACCTCCTTAAAAACTGATTTCTCTGATAGGAAAAAATATATCGAACATTTACGAGACCATAAAACCAATAGTAAATAAAACTGCGACGACAACGAGGCTCACCAGGTCTAAATCCAGTTGGTTCGTACACCCCAGGCAGTTTAATTTTCGCTTCGTTGAGATCGTCGCCTGCGCGATACTCCGCATTGTATGAAGCCCAACACATCAATCACCAAGTCTTTTCAGTCAAAATTTAATATTCGGACGGTTGTTTGCAGACGTAGTACTTTACAGAAGGCATTTACAAGCGAGTGCGAAAAGCGTAGTTGTATAACAAAAGTATGCAGTAAGTTTCAACGTACAAGTGCCTGACTCATCCATCAATTCCCGCTTGACAACATATTCGTTACTCTTAGTAGAGTGAGGCCTGCAAACACGTCAGCGATTAAAGGAGGGAATCATTACCGGAAAAAAGGCTTACCATTTATCATCAGGACTCAGCCTCGATAATGCTGTCCTTTAGAAGGGACAGCTCTTCATCAGCTCGATGAAGAGATTTTTTGTCCCTGTCATACGCGGCAGTAACGTGTCTGGCATCTGCCTCGACAGACCTCAGTTTCTGACGGTCAACAATTATATCAAGTAACCAGCGTGACTCCTGCTCCGCTGCTACGAATTCCATTTCTGAACTGGCCATTGTTGTTTGAAGAAAAGCACGCAGCCTTTTGATCTCCTCGAGTTCCCATGCCGCAGTGAACATGCGCATACGCTTGCGTTCACGAACTGCTTCTTTGTAGTGCACAGCATAACGGAATGAGTCGGGTGAGAGTTGTTCTATTTGCTTCGTATACGCATCCTTAACCTAGATGCATGTGAGATGTTGCCAGAGCTATATACAACAGTAGGACCTACCCCGAAGCTCATCGACTCTGCCGAATCGTCACTATTAGAGGGTCTGCCTAATAATTTAGAGCCCAGGTAATCCTCTTCAAAACTTGGGGATGGCCGGCGGTAAGGGTGGGAGCCTTGGTTGCGTTGCCTCTGAAAATGGCTTAGAGCTGGCGACCTACGGGGCGGGATATGCGCGCATCCCGTACGGTAGGAACATTTAGAATCAGGCGTCAAAGGCAAGATATCCTCTTCAGCATCTGAACCCGAGGTTGTGGCGGCTGTGGTGGTCACATTTGAGTCTCTTGACCATTGCATAACGTGCATTATCAATACCTGATTCTGAGAGCCCGGGACTCGGAGAGAGTGGAGAGGGTGGAGGTGAGCTTTGATGATTATAGGAGTCCACCTCATCAGAGGAAACTGTAAGGGCTACAGTGGGGCATTTAAAGTGGTCTTCATCACAGGCGAGAGTTGTTGTGTTCATTCTTCAACGACTTTGATGGGTTGTTGGGCAGCAGAGCATGATGAATACATAAGCGATTAGTAAATACGAACCGGAGTTTGAAGAATTACTGTAGCAGTGAATACCAATACAAATGATCGAGCCATCCGATTTGTCCGCGACACTTGAAACTCAGCTCTTCCCAAAATTGGTATTTGAGTGATTGACAGGAATGGAAAATAGCTTCTCGCTGTGATTCTATTCGGAGCACACTGGACGTAAAGTTCAGCAGATTATGACTCACTTTGGAACTCAGAATGTCAAAAATGGTAATTGCTTGCGAGTTCCAACTACGCGTTGCAACGTGTGATCGATTGATCAGCGCCTATCATATACCTTGAGAATTAGTAAACCAGCATTTTCTAAAAATGGGAACTTTTGCTTCAAGGCACGATGTTACTCACACTTCAAGGGTATGATTCGGACGGCCAGCAACACAGCTTAATACGTATAAGAACTTGTCAGTTTATAGTCATTGATTTTTCACCAGCTTTAGCATGTTAAGTCCCAATCCATATACAATTAGCGGTACCCATTCCTCCAAGTCTTGGGATGAGGACCCGATAGCCTGTGTCCAACATGATCGACAATATCACGATCATGATGGATTTCCCACATCTGGGAGTGGTGATGGCGCGTCAATGTTCTGTGAACCAGATCCATCGCGTGAAAGCATGATGAACCCTTTCACTTGCTCACCTAAAAACTCTACCACCACCCCTCCAAGTCTTATGGGCCCGCCCTTGCATGAATTTTCACCTTCTCCCGTCAGCGGCTGCGGTGCTACAAAGCATAGATCTGCCTTGGAGTTGTTACCGATCGGTGCTCCAGCCATCAAGAACACTTGTGCACCTGGCCTCCGACGTGATGGTGCAGTCGAGCAGTTCAAGTGGACGAGCCTCCTCAGCGAGTCACAGCGCAGCCCATCATGGGTTACAAAGTATAGTGATAGGGGTAAGGCCTATAAGGACCTTCAACTGGACAAAGAGAATGTAATGGTAAGTGGTGCAGCTACGCTTGATTTTTTTATGGTGACCTAGCTTCAGGGTGCCATTGACTTCAAAGTCGAAGCCGGCTGCGCAGGTGGCAAGGCTATGTCATTGCCAGCCAAAGCATGTCCTGCTATGAACGTTCGTTTGACGACGAAGAGGGGGGTGGATTGCGCCAACCTCCCCCACTCCAACGAGGAGAACGGTGGTCCAGCTCCAAAGCGCATCTGTCGGGAGAAAACCGGCACCGACTGGCAGACGGTCCTTGACCTTGTTAAGTATGGCCAAGAACGGAACGGCGATGGCAAGGGCAATGGGTCGAATGGCACTCGCACCGAGCAACCGCCGGTACCACTTCCTTAGCTTCTTCCGTCATACCCACTGAACCACCTACAAATACAACGTCAATAGTTACAATACAGATGATTGAGGTAACAAGAACGCTATAGACAGATGTGAAGAAATAGAGCGCACTAAATAGACCAAACCGAATAGTTACTTCATGCTTGACAGTCAGTGGAACTCGCACCTCCTTCCTGACGCGGTTGATTCACGAACCTTGTCACTGGGGTGTGGAGACGGGTGGCATCTATAAGCGGGCTTTAAGATGTCGATTTTATCAATGTTTGCCTGGAAACTGTCGAAGTCACTGACATGCTAGTGAAGAATGCCAAAATGGACTTCAATCAGGACAGTGCAACTGCGCTGTTCGGCTTGAGGAAACCGGCCGAACCAGCCTCGCGGTGCGCACAAAGCGACAGGATTTGATTGGGTGCAGGATGCCCAGAACATATGAATAAATGACAATTAACAGCCGAGCAAGGTTCGCATCGCCCTCCCTAAGTTTGCTTACCAATTTTGAATTTTCTCACGAAGGCGCAGTTGGCTCAGATTTCTGACTTGGCAGACTTCCCATATCTGGCGCGTTGTAGCCTATGTACAAGTCTTACGCCGCGTTTGACTGGCCAACTTGTATTAAGTGGTATGGGTCATACCAACCGCGGAGACATCGCAGGCTCGTTGGTATTGAGCCGCGGGAAGATGTGGTGAGTACAAGTGATCCACCTTCCACCTTTTACATTCTCGCTCTGTTTAGAATTTAATCTTTTGCTGCGGTTCCGTTTGTGACTGGTACTTATCATAACACACCTCATAGGTATTACTGTTTCCCAATGTATCACTACTCCTTGGCGCTCTCCCGCCCTTCCTTTATTATGGCAAACTCCAGCTGGACAAAGAATCGTGTCGATGCAATACTCTCGCACTCCGACCCCGTCATGAACGTAATGCACTTTCTCAACCCCCTTTTTATCCTTCGTCTCTTTGCGACTACATTCAAGTCAAAGAAACTCCACGCCGGTTCAGCAAGCAAGAAACCAGAAGCCAATATTGTCTACCCGCCATGCGATACCCGCGAGATGGCACAATTCCCATTGGACGAGAGGGAGAGAATCATTCTGAGTATCGCACAATTCAGGTATATCTCTATTCTACTTTACATTTGTTACTGGAGCTCAAATGTCGCTCATAAAGGCCAGAAAAAGACCACCCTGCTCAACTTCGCGCTTTTGCGCAGTTATTGGCCGATCACCCAACTTATACTTCTGGCTCCTCTTCTGTGCAACTTTTCCTACTGGGTGGCGCACGTAATGCGGACGACCACGCCCGCGTGCAGTCTCTTAGAGATCTCGCAGAAAAACTCAAGATCACCCCCTACGTCCAGTTCATCGTCAACGCAAGTTACCCGGAAATGCTCGGCTGGCTCGCAATGGGTAGCATCGGGCTCAGCACGGTGGTGGACGAACATTTTGGAATCAACGTCGTTGAATTCATGGTGCAGGTTCCCTGTTTTACTTTGTTTCGTATTGCAACTTACCTCGGGTGAAACTAGGCTGCAGGTGTGATTCGTTCAGAAGAGCACTAGTTGGAAGACTCGTCCCATGGATGTTGCAAAAGAAGTTTCAAAGAGTCTGTCGGAACGAATTGTGATCCTGAAGGTATGTGTGACCATTTCTCGATTTTTAGATTATGATATGACTCGCGCAGGTCAATGGTGATCTATAGGACTTGGAACAACCACCGGGAGGCTTCGTGCAAACTCCGACTATTCCTAGTACTAACCTTAATGTTTTCCTAGATAGGTATTTGTTCCAATCGCTTGATTTCTTACGGTAATCCCGGCAGAGACATTTCTCTTTTTAGGAAATTAGCGTTAGTCCCGCCCCGCCCAGCATCATATAAGACTCATGCGACCTGGCTGGTTATTTCCCTACTCTCACACCTTCTCTTCCTCTACCATCTACTTCACTTTGTCTTCTCTACTTCATCTCATCTCCCTAGCTCTATGTCGGTCGCCGAGGCTAGCGCGCCACATGACGAGGACTGGCGGTATGATGGAGGCAGCCCATCGCACACTGAGGATCAAGATGGGGGCAATCTTCGGCAATCCGAAGCGGCAAACTATGTCCAGGCTCGACAGAGGAGGAGAATTGCTCAACTTGAGCAGCAGCTCGAGACTCTCGAGGCGGGGCGGGCAGCAAAAGAAAAGTATGTCCTCCACTACTTGCATTGAGTCACTATTTCTTACCGTCTATCAGGCAAATAAATTACTACATGGCTCAAGGACGAGCACTCAGACGGGTTGTCACTCTGTTCGACAATATTGAGAACCTCGTCGCCGAAAACGACAGAAGATCTGACGACGAGCAGCGGGACCAGGATACCACTCTAGAGTACTTTTTTCACTTTTGGGTCGTGAATGATATTAATTGGTGTATCTAGACAGGATCAATTACAAGTAGGGTATGTCGTCCTAACGCAAACCTTACCGTGGTTTCATAAGAAGGGCTGTGAGTTGGAATACGATGACTATTTGCACATGATGAAAATGGTACGCTTTACTGACGTCTACAGTTGGTTTGTCTCACTGGATCTTTATTAGCTTCGTCAAGGCGCTGACGGTGCTCGAGGCGACGACACCTCCAAGCTCAAGACTCTTGTTTCCGAATGGGTCAATCGTGACTTCAAGCCTGATCCACCGGTCGACCCCGAGGATAAACACTCTCGTGGATTTACTAACAATGTATGCGGCATGTTGCTCTGCCCAGCCGAACTAGATTGGAACGACCCAGCGTAGGTAACGCACTCGAACTCAGCAAGAGAAGCACTCACTATCTGGCAGGGTAAGGGCGGGAATTCGAGATCGTTCGGAGGGTTATGTTGTCACAGATCTCTCTTTCCCGACTTTCTTATATGACAAATATTCCGCCAACCCGAATGATCTAGAGGAAGGCCTGTTTAAGGGCAAAATTCTTCTTCAGGTTTGTCCCACTCGACTCTAGTCAGACAGCGAGCTTGCTGATTCTTCTTAGGGGTATAAAGCTGTATTTACATCGCCCTCATCAGTGAGGGATGTCGAAGGTGACGGCGATGGTGCTGATGTCATCCGAAACAATAGACGTGCTAAGAAGTCTTCCTCTGGAGTCAAGGTCAAGAAACATGTAGCGGAAATCATCCAGATGAAGAAAGTGACACCTCGTTCAATTGCATACATTGCATGTCAAGTAAGTTATATTTAGTTTGAATGATGAATGATAACCATAATCATGGCAGGTGCGATTCGCAATTTCTTCTATTACGTCTTGGAGGTCTATTGATGGGGACTTCGATTATGTACAATTCTGGCAAACCATCGTGGACTTCTTTGAACGGCCTCCCGGTCGCGAAGCCCACCGCAGGGTCAACAGGCTCCTTGAATGGTGGACTAGGTGCGTGACTTACATTTCCGATCAGCCCCAGCTGAACTCATTTTTTAGGAAAGTTTTTGGAAGGAATCACCGCGATGAGCTTAGCGATATGGCAAGGGCTAATATGTCAGTGAATGCTCTAGCAAGACAGAGGGCGCGACGCGACGATGCCGCTTTTGATTCACCGTAGACACCTATTGATAGTCTGCTACCCACCACGTTACTGCTGATTAGTTTACTTCTAATGTGATAGCATCTAATGTGATAGCAATTCAAGCAAATTTCTGTGATTTTAAACGGCCGAAGATAGGAAAAACAGAGCGACTACAGTAGAGTCTGCAGCTTATAGCGGATAGCACAAGTTAAGCCTGGAGTTGTGAACCTACCTACTTGGTTCCCCTAGGCTAAATGCAGGGAACATAGGGTATTGATAGCGATATCTGCAGTTTTTACTCAAATCACTGACAACACAATCTCAGCCCTAAATCGTGGATCCGCCCCCTTGGCTTCATTAGTCTGAGCGTAAGAAATGCATTACGATCTCGGCAATCTCGCGCAATTGAAAGACGCATAAACTTTGATGCCTCTTGTCCCTGGATCAACAACTTAAATAGCCAATGTCCCAAATACCTTTATCAAGAACTCCTATGGCAGTGTGCAAAGACATCAGATTATGTGGACGCATGGTAGATTGCACCTTGCCCGTATCAAATAATAAGCGAGGCACGATAGATGGTGATCAAACGTTAGCAAGAAATGGTGTCAAAATGGTGTCGTACTGTGTTGTCCCAACGTCGCGCTAACACCATCAATCAAGCTACAGTTCGGCCATCCGGCCTCTGGGCTGTTAGTAAGTTCAGGCGAAGAAATGCAGAACGACGATGGTGATCTCCCTCTGGGTTGCTATTAAATTCAGGCAGAGAAATGCGGGGTGACAAGGGTGATTCTTATACTGTCCTGACGTCGTGCTAACAGCATCAATCGAGCTACAGTTCAGCCATCTGCCAACCTGTTTGATTAAGTTCCATACGACCTCTGGATTGTTAGTAAGTGCAGGTAAGAAAATTCGGAGTGATGATGGTGATCTACCTCTGGGTTGTTAATAAGTTCAGGCCAGGTAATGCAGGGCGACAATGGTGGTTTTTGTATTGTCCCGACGTCGCGCTAACAGCATCAATCAAGTTACAGCTCGGCCGATCAGCGCCATTGAAAAACAGCCATGCATTATGTTCGCAGTATCCAAAGCGAGATACAGCTGCCAGTCATTAGATAAACATATAAGGTTGCGTGTAACTTGAAGTATGAGACAAATAATCTCTCGCCCACCTGGTAAACACATCCTCGGCTGTTGTGGATAGGTAAGACTTTTTCACACGGATTCCCAGCTGATATATAGTTGACAAATGTCAAGAACATCAAACAGGATAGCGTCAAAACTCACAGCAGTAGATATGTTTATTCTTGTTACTTGGCGGGCACATAGTTGTTCTTTAACTGATGCTATCTTATATTCTTAATTTTGAAATTGTGAATCTTACTTCCGACGTGGCCGTGGTGATCACTCTAGCCTGTTTGTCGACTGTTGCTCCACATTGTCATTCTTTGAACGGTGCTGTCTTTCATCGTGATTCAGGAAATTGGCCTACAGTTTTCGGATATCAAGAATTTTCAGCAAATGGTGTTAAAACTCATGGCAGCACATATATATATTCTCGTTCACTCGGTGGGCGCAGAGTTGTTCTTTAAACAATACTTTCTTCCATTCTTCACCTTCGAAATTGTGAATTTTACTTCTGACGTGGCGGTAGTGATTCATCTAGCCCTATCGTTAGCTATTGCTTCGCCTTACCTTCGAGTACGAGTTTGAGCAATACATAAGCCTTTTCCAGACCGCACACTAGGATATGAACATCAGGAACTGTCGCTTCCTCTACAAGGTCAAATATTCATATGTAACGATCGATAGCAGAATTATGTTGATGTTTGTGAATATGTGCTATATATTGTTATATATGTCTTTCTAATTTGTTCATCAGTTCACTGATGTAAACCAACCAAATATCTATACACATAGCTTAGTGCTACCACCTAATGGGAGCTCCAACGGACATCCAGAGCTGGATTTGAGCCACGTGGCACATGGAACGCACTGACACCATCGGCACTGCTTAGCGGAGTGCTAGTGATTCTCCAACCTTTTCTGTTCCCCGCAGTTTGTAATCAAATGGATGCTTCTACTTCTTGGAAGTACGATATCGAGTGTACAGCTAATTCATCATCGATGTCATCTATCCTATATACACGTAACATTACATTTGAGGCCTCGTGGAAGAACATGCAAAAGATGATCGATGAGATCTCATAGAGGTGACTTATCATATCAAGAGACATGTTCGAGTTGGACGCGTACATACTACAGGCAGATTCCACGACTACGAAACGATACACACTGCTGCTGGGCGAAGAAATGACAAATGAACGAAAGCATTTCTCGTGCGCACAGAACCATGATTTCGATCACAGGGCTTCATACTTCTTATAACTTTGCTATACAGTGGGGTCAACTTGAACCTTATTCTGAGCATACATGAATGACTGGAAGAACGCCTTCATGATCAGAACCCGGTCAGTTTTACCATAACACCATCGCTCTCATTCATGCACCGATGCACATCAGACACGAGGAATTCAAATAAGGTACATCGGGTAAATATGCTAATACGAGTAGAACCGCGATCTATCGAGAAGAGTAATTTAATTTGTCGTGGCATATGTGTACTCAGTAGTGGCGAACCCGACTTGAGAGTTTGTCGTGTCGTACACCGAGTAGAACCGTTCGCTGTAGAAGAACAATTCAGCAATTTAGTTTCCCGGCAAAAAATGTAGCTCAACGTACAGGAAACAATAGCCGTTCGTAAAATCCAAGCCAGAACCGCTGCTGTCTCCACTGTCGCTGACGACCAGGTATATGCTGTTGGTGGTACCGCCAATGGCGCTGTTCAACGATCGAGGCCAGATTTGCCCATTCGGGGTGAGCTCATAAGTAATTCCACCGATAGTGAAATACAAGGATGAGAGCTGCTCGTACTGGTCGGATGAGATCTGTAACAAGCCAGTGGTCTTATCGAGGGTCGCCCCCGTCGCAGTCTGATATATATTGAAGGCGTCTGAATAGTGGATTAGAAGGATTTTAATGTCGTACAGGACACCTACCGGAGGCAATGAGGATCAGGGTGGTTCCTGTATCGACGATACCAGCTGTCTCATCCAGAATGGGCGTAGACCCATACATGATGGATTGATCGATGCCCCAATATGTACTCGCTGGAAATACTGATGTGACGGGCACATAGTTGATTCTTCCAGTAATTTTGGAGGCATCATAACTGCCAAATGTGAGCTCGCCACTGCTATCACTAGAGGAAGCAGGTGCGAAGAACACTCCGAGTACCTCTGAACTAATTGTTTTCTGCGCATAGAGGTTGTCCATCACGGTTGCAACTTCAGATGTATCATCGACGAGGCCCTGCGTCAGATCAACCGGTCCAAGACCCAGAATTCCATCCAGACTACCCATCTGTGAGGCTTCAGATGCAACGCCAATAGATTGGCTGTTAACAACCAGATCAGAGCTGAGCGTCACAGTGTCTGTGTATTCCTCTCCAGAAACAGAACTCCCATCGGCGTATGGAACTTTCTAGAAACAATTCGACAAAATGTGTGTCACGTAGAAACAAATACTCACAAATTTATGGAGTGTGTCCCGGCTCGTGGTAGTCTGCTTGTAAGGCTTGTTGCTCCCGATCCAGGTATTTGAGCTTCCGGTGTCTACCAGGAGTGTGTCTGTATGAAATTGACAATGCGTCAGATAAAGAATTTGCAGGAGCAAGAGCAGCTCACAGTACGTTGCTGGACTCCCCACGCCAACGTCAGCGGTGTATGTCGTCACAGTATTGGTTGCATTGACGGAAGAGCTTCCGCCAGCTTGCAGGACTTTGAGTCGAGCTCGATCTGCAGCTGCGATGTTCTTGATCCCGTACGAGTTTACTCTAACGGAAAGCTTGAGAGTAGCCGTGGTTGACGCTGTCCGAGGACGAGGCAAAGCGCTCGCTGACAGTGAGAGGAAGGAAAGCGCCAAAAGGGCAAGGAGAGATGAAAGTGATCCGGAGGAAACCATCTTCCTAATGACATCCTTCCTAGCTGGGCCGTTTTATATGGTGGTCGGTATTAGACCATCAAAACGTTATTCTAGCAATATCACGGAGGCGAACAATAGCAAGGCTTCGAAGCGACTACGTTAAGTTGAAATGTGACTGGTTCCGGGGCTCGTTGCATGAAGGTACATTCGAGTCCTATGAAATTCATCTATGCAGGAAATGAGTGTCGGTTAGTAAGTAGTACTAGCTGCAGTAGAAGTCTGACATTGACCTTTGAATGACCTGTATGATTTTACTACAGAACCTGTTTAGCAGAAACCATCAGTAGCATTAGCGTCACTGAGAAGCGCGTGATTCTGCAATTCCAGACTTATTTGAACATTATTTACATGACGAAGTTCTGCACTTACTTGATTTAAAGTTCAACATTCTAGAAGTTCTAAAGAATGCGTTCGAACGCCAGTGGTAGCTTGATCAAGTCATAAAGTATTTGTGTGACTTGCATTGACAGCGGAATATGGTGCTATGAGTCTATCGATAAAGATACAGACGGTGTTGTATGTGAATCTTATTTAACAGTTGATGCCGAACGTTGCCGAACCTGCCTGTGAGCGGAGTTTATAATGTAGTTGTCACTCTGTAAATCAGAAACTGTTGGAGCCTTTACTTTTTTGAATGCTGGCTATGTAGCAAGGCTGTCAATACGCTGTTTTTGCCAGGTCTTGTTGTTACCCAAGCCATACTCTGAATCTCTGAGTCAACATTCCGTTTTTTATTTATCCCGATCGAGCGAATTGCTTCGAACCAACGACGTCCTTCTCCGTAATCAACTTGTTGTTCCGCTGGTAAGCACAATTCTATCACAGCAGTTGGTTCATTTTTTGACTCCGTTGAAGGCCGAAGGTAGCGCCGTGGGCTTTGATTAAAATCTAGACGAGCTTCCTTCAATGTTCAACGTTCAACGCTGGCCGCGAACACATAGAGACCCCGCCTCTTGTGTATTATTATGTTTGGTGCGCGAATGCAAACACTTCACGGTGTTATTCATCCATTGTGAGCCTCGATTCATCGCCGTGCTTTGATGTTGCCACAGATAAGTATATCATAGATTCATGTATCCAACACTCGATGTCACTGATCCGCGCCAACACATGATGGACCTACACTGGAATTCCAGAGCCAAGGCAGCGACTGCAACGGTCGAGCTTCTCGAACGACAGAATATCAACATTAAAGCCATGGAAAACACCCGGGCATTTGAAGCGCTCGGAGAACCACAAAAAGCGCGGATATGCGGTGCAGCAATGTCTGTATGGCAAGTCTTCTAGACCATGGTGATTGCATCATCCAGGCTGAGTAAGTCCATGCAAAGATAGAGGATGGGATGGTTACCGTGCGCTTCGATGTGCTATCTGCATGTTGCGACATCTCACTGTTTTGGATTTGTATTTTTGGCACCCTGTAAAGGTTTCTAAAGCAACGATGTGTCTGTATGATGGCTATGCATGTGCAAGCCTCCGACTAGTACGATGCAACTTTCATAGCCTGCCCGTGAAATTGCTGAGCATGATGAAGGTCCGACAATGGCGTGCTCGGTTTATCTGATGGATCTCGCTTTTAGCTCGCAACCTTCACCGGCTCCTGCTCAAGTCGGCACTACAAAATATAATGGCCGCTGACCGAGGCTGTACAATCAGAGGTCGGGCTTTTTTGCTTGTTGCAGGCTTCTCGTCTCTGATGTACGATTTCTCTTTTGACCTAGTATGTATGGCATCTTATATTTAACAGGTATCAATCACACAGCATGAGTCACGATATATCCGCCAGTGCAATGCATCAGCGTCGCATCAACTTGAAGTACACGATCGGATCCACCGAATAGAGCGCGCTGTTGTGTTTATTCTCTGACTTTTGCCATTATGCAGAATGCGACCTTGTTACAGAAAGCAATCAGGGGAGCTGATAGCAAGTCTCGAGCTTGGCCAGTGAAGCTAAGAGAACACAGATGCTCATTGTGATCAGATCATAGATTAATGGCCACACATATGGTTTGATACTGCACCTCGAAAATGACATTGGAAATAAGTTTGCGATATCACTAACCACTGGAATTTTTCTGGTATCTGAATAGTCGCATGCTGAATACTGGTTTGCAAATCGAATTCTACTTTGATTATCCAGGGTTTTAATTTCGAGTGAATGTCAGCGATTTGGCCAGTCTGGGGCCAAAGTCTGGGGCGGAGTCTGGGGCTATTCACTAGGCTCGTGACCAGCCCATCTCAAAATGACGCACAATCAGACTGGTTACGAGTCTAGCTATTAACCCAATCAAGGGTATTGCGACGGGGTCAAATACATATCTCCATCATACTAATTTTGGCGATAGAAATGCTGAACGGTGGTATATCTAGCACGAACGTGGTCGTTATACACCACTAACCTTCCCCACTCGCTCACACCCATCCCTCGAACATGACCTACGTCTCAAATGATCCCAGTTGGTGGCCGCAAATCAATTGGTATATTCTTCTCGGCTATTGGACAGGTCTGTCGCATAAAGATGTCTAGATCTAACGTTGACTTGCGCCGGTTTTGCAGTTGTCGCGGGCGTCTTAGTAGTATATGATTGGGGTGAGCAGGACAGTGTTCGAAAATCGCTGATATTCTCATGATATTTCCAGTCTTAACACTCGGACAAGAGGTACGTCGATGTTATCGCCGGAGCAGCTATCTCACTAAGAATGGTGTTAGATTGAACTCATCTGGGTGAGTCACAAGGATCCCATATCAGAAGAAAACAAGAGAATCCACTGAATTTGCGACAGAGACAACGCTGGTCCCTCATGACTGTGCTGTATTTGACTGTTCGTACCTCTTGTTGTGCTTTAGCGTGGTGGGCGACTTGTGCTGACTCCAAAATGTTCTAGATACGCTATATGGGAATACTGTATTCTGTGTATGTGTCGAGATCAACAACTTTGCATTGTGCTAACAGCTCATCTCTGATAACTAGTGTCAATGTTCTGAGTATGTCTCATATCATATGCGCTGTGTTCCATTTTTCTGACCGGCAGCACACAGAAACTATGCCATCGGTATCGCTGACAGATGCAGTAAGTATTCTGCAACCATCTCATTCCCATCCAATCAATACGCTCGTATGTAGGGGCGAGTGAAATTCCACGCATTGAACTTGGTTCAACATAATGATTCAATACTAGGTGTAAGTCGGAGTCTTTGATACTAGTGCGAGGGCGTTCATTAATTGGGAGCTTTAGGCATTATCACATACTCCGCAGTAAGTTGGATAAATACGGCCTTGACTGCCATGTTGGGCGGTAAGTGACCTAGGTGCAATACCTCTGGAATATTGACCTGACTGACACACGATGCAAGTGATCATGATTGCTCGGTTGCATGCCATGTATGAGAGATCTAGAACGATGCTTATGATCCTTGTTATTATCTTCCTGGCTGTAAACATCGCCTGCGGGGTAATGGCGGGAATGGCACTCAACGATACTGTAGCAGGTAAACTTTCCCTTGTTGACTTGAAAAACACGGCTCATTGGGCAAACACCAGAGGAGTTGATACTCTCTGGCACATATATGTGTCATTTTGTCCATGGAGGGAACGACCAGCTTCTGTATTCAATGGTTTGGATGCTCAACATTGTTTGGGAGGTCCTCGCTCTGTGTCTTTCAGTCTGGGTTGCTATGAAACACTTCCGTGGGATGCGACGACTCGGCCTATCGACAGGATCGACCATCGGGGACTGTTTCAGAGTGCTGATACAATCTCACGTTCTTTATTTTGCAAGGTGAGCTTGTAATGTGAACGTGGTTGAATTTTTCCGCTCAAGTTCTGCACATGCTAGCTTTGTTGGTGTCTCTTGCCTCCAGCTTGCTTTTCTCTCTCCAACAATCTCGGTGAGCTGACCGGTTGCTGATATCTGTGTGCAACCACTGCTCATCATTTCTGTAGAATTCAAATCCTATTGAAATTCTGATACTCGCAGGTGCTCTTCAAATTTTATCGGTCGTGCAGATGTTTGTGCTAGGACCATGCCTCATCCTTAGCATTCGAGAATACAACGCCAAACTCGTTGCATACTCCGACGCAGAAACTAGTATGAATTCGATTGTGTTCCAGGAGCGTGTACATGTATCAACTAGCAGTACTGTGTAGGGAGTGGTCTGCACTGTGCAGGGAGGACAAATTTGGTGGAGGATCCGTCGTGGTATTTATTTAACATATCGTGGTTCGAAGTATATTTGAAAGATCTAGACTAGGAGTGGGTTGGAGACGCAAGTGAGGGGTGTGGGCATGGAGACTCTTTCTCGTTGGTGGCTGGAGTGTGAATCAAACTGCTCTTACTCGGCTTGGTTATCGCATTGAACCCGCACTCTTTGTGCGTGCCATGGAAGTTTGGCGAAGAGATCGCTCTTCACGCACCTTGTGGTACAAGATGACATAAACATTGTTCAACGACGGCATTTGAAGGGAGGCGTACTTGTCGACAGGATATATGAAATGTATCCGAAATCAGATCCTCGATTTTGCTACCGCTGCAACTGTTTGCGGCTGGCTTCTGTTATATTTAATCAAGTTCATCTAAATCGAAAGAATTCTCAGCGACGCGATACGACAGTGTAGCTTTGAACCTACATGCTTGGCTCAAGGTGTGCTTGGGAAGACATTGATGTGGCCAATATAATCTCTGAATGGACTCGTCACTGATGGCCCTCCATGCTGTCTACTATGGCTGTGAGTTGAGCCCTGTCTGTTGAATGACTAAGGGTCATGCATAAGAGCGCAACGGGCCAGCATAAGAGAACTTGTGATAAATCGTGTGCGAAGGGCGGGAATAGGCACTACATTGCTGATCGACGTCTGTTTAAGGATGATCCAACCATGTCGAGCATACCGATTTAGAAAGAGACTTACGTGGTGACTCGTGTATGCCTCTGTCCTGTGTGACAAGGAGATGAGAAGTACTGAGTGGAGAGTAGGGAGTAGAGAAGATATCCGGGTCTTCAAGCTTCAAGTCGGAAGGCATCTTGCGCACCTGGAAAGTATTGGTGAGGTGCAAACCACAACATTCTGATGGACGTACACCGGCTCTATCACGTGTCTGGGAAAAGCAAAAGAAGAAGCAACCAGAGCAAGTCATGAAACCACAGAGGTTGATAACGCGTCAGATCAGCTGCAATGCCTGGACACTTTCATCATCCATCTGGGCTACAGAGAAGGAGTGCCAAATCATGCGTGAAGCTTGAAGGGTGGCGGTAGGGCGTTGATGGCGTGGAGACGGGCGTCGATCATCTGATTGCACCAACCCAAAGCTGACCACTGTCAGTAAGTCATGTTGTCGACGGTAATCATCTAGTTTCGAGCATCATTCAGTATGGAGTACCAGCGCGAGGTGTATGGAGGGCGAGATTGGGATTCGTGTTCGATTATGAACAACCCGGATGATTAATACCCCGCACTGAATAGAAGCACGGTGGATGAAAGAAGGATAGCATAGAATAGATTCCAGGCTAGAAAAGGCATGGATGATGATGCAAATCCTGGAAGACACGACACGAACGACAACCAAATAAAGCATGTCATCGGCAATTAGATCGCCGATTTTGTTATTCCGTTTTAATTTGCGAATTGAGCACCTACCAAGGTGACTGGCCGCGCGGCTCTTAGCGTATTGCAATACACTTCATGTGCATGTCGGACCGCGACGATGAGGACATTCTATGGGTCAATGGTATCATGTTTGAAACAGTGAGCACTTTGTCGCACGGCACATTCAACAACTGACATTGCTCAGGTCCGTGGGCCGGGATTGATTCTGGGGTTGAATGGGCGGAAACTATATCAGGTTTATTGAAGGAGTATCTTAAGAAGAAAGGGAGAACGGTTTTCGGGAACGCACGGGCGCTCGCGTGGTTTTCGCGTAGGGCCATGTGGTTTTCGCCTAGATACGCTTAAGGCCACATGGTTTTCGCTTATCTCGCTTACGTCGCTTAAACCTGTTTTTGGAAACTCGCGTGGCTTTGTCACGTGTTTTCGAGCGCCGACTCGATTTCCGTTGCCCATAACCATTGGAGCAGCACACTACGCAGGATTTTCCCTATTGTAATTGTTTATGGTACATACATACAGTAAATAATAAAACTAAAATGGAACAACAAATATATGTGGTGAAGGAAATAAAAGAGATCAGGAGAAAATGACAGAAAAAGTTGTGAAACATCAAAAAAGGGAGCAAAAGACAGATACTCAAAAATTGGAGAATGAGAGGACAGGAAAATGGGAAACTGCACAACTGGGAGAATGGGAGATGGGAGTTAAAGAAACAGGGAGGACTGGGAGACGGGAGACGGGAGACGGGAGACGGGAGACGGGAGACGGGAGACGGGAGATGGGAGACGGGAGACGGGAGACGGGAGACGGGAGACGGGAGACGGGAGACGGGAGACGGGAGACGGGAGACGGGAGACGGGAGACAGGAGACGGGAGACAGGAGACAGGAGACGGGAGACAGGAAGACATGAGACACAATGGGAAAATGAATACATTCAATGATACTGTTACATATTTTGTAATTTTACATTTGTCAAAATCCTGCTCAAAGAACATAGAACTGACTGATCTTATGTGCTATGTACTTTTATGTGGTGTGATAGATTGTACTTTAAGTTTTTTTTTGAAAAGCTGCTCATAAATGTATTTCAAAATTATTCAAAATGTGCAATTTATTAGGATGCAGCCTGAGGCCAGGAAGCCAAAGGAGGGCGCAGCCCTCCTTGGCTTCCTGTGATGAAGGAACAATGCTCATCAGGAGCCTTCAGAATTATTAGGATGAAGCTGAGGCCAGGAAGCTTTAAAAAGAGCGCGAAGCACTCTTTTTTTGCTTCCTGTGCCGAAGGCAGAACGGGTGTGGACTAGTCTATCTAAGAAGTAAAGTGCGACGGTTTCGGGAGGAGTCGTGCGCTCGCGTGGTTTGCGCCTATTTCGCGTATTTCGTTTATTTCGTTTATCTCGCCTATTTCGCCAAAGGCCATGTGGTTTGCGCTTAGCTCGCTTAACCTCAATTTGGCAACTCGCGTGCGTGATTGTGTGAAAAGGACTTCCAAATTGAGATTTCAAGATGCAAAAATTCTACGGAGTCCAAAACGCGATATAGTGGACAGTAATCCTCACGCCTACTGCGCCGTGGGAACGCAACAGACAAACAACACACTTTTCCTACCATGGGGGAAAGGCATTGAGCATAACAAAAGCAATAATAGAAATTTGGTTACATTGGTTACACAATTTGGTTACACAAATCATTACACAACTTGGCTGCTGCTTTTGAATAGAATTCTCGAGTTAAATTGCCTTCCCCTGCAGCCAAGTGTAATAAAGTGTAATACACTTTTTGTGGGTTTCATTTCTTATCAACAATGAATAGAAGTGACTTATCAATGAGTTCAGGCAATTTTCACACTTGCTAAACAACAGTTTGAATATTATAATATAACAAAGATGGATCAAAATTTTCCTATTCCGTGAGTTGTTGACTATAAAATTGCTACATGCAAGGTGCATGATGCTGATGTCTGCACATTTAGACAACAACCACAGATCACGCCCGAACGTGACCGCCAGTCGCAACGTGAACAAGATAGAATTAACAGACTTCAAATGACGTCTCCCACCAGACGCAATCGCCGCCGGGTCGCCCAGGATAATCAGGACAGACCTCCGCCTGCTGTACCACAGCCAAATTTTGTGCCAGCTAATGAGCCACAAGCCCCTGTTCCATGACCTTTTGCATGGCAACCCCCCGCACACTTCCCATATCAACCACTACCAGTTGAGCGATATCCTGGCTTGCCAAGAAATGCGATTGCGCATGTGGAGCGTGCTCATCATATCCCTCCTGTTGATTATAATGCTCGCTTAAATGAGCAAATGAATGCTGCTCAAAATAATAGGCGCCATCAGCGGAATCTCCGTCGGCAACAGGACAGAGATGAAATAAGACAGCAGGCACAGGCAGAGCTTATGGCAGCTAGAATGCAGCCTCCACAGGTACCTCACATTCCTAATGAACCTGCTCCACCTGCTCCTGCATATGGCCCTATTCATTATGAGGGTGCAGTTGGACCTCAGAACTTTAATGATCCCCTCCGCTACTTTGCGCCTAATCCTGCACCACCTTTGCATGCTCCGCCTCAACCTGATTACCATCAGTTTAACATCCAGTTTCATCACCATTTCCAGCAAGAAGAGATGGAAAATGAACAGATTAGAAATGACTTTCTTCAGAGACAAGCACAAGAGGCATTTCATCAACAGCAGATTCAGCTGGAATTGCAGCAGCAGGAAGCTAGGTGGAGAAATAGAGAGGCTCAGTACGCTTTTGAAATACAGCAGCAGGAAGTTGAGTGGCGCAATAGACAAGCTCAGGAGGCTCATCGCATACAGCAGGAGGAGGCTGAGTGGCCTAATAGACAAGCTCAGGAGGCTTATCGCCTACAGCAGGAGGAGGCTGAGTGGGCTAATAGACAAGCTCAGGAGGCTCATCGCCTACAGCAGGAGGAGGTTGAGTGGGCTAATAGACAAGCTCAAGAGGCTTATCGCCTACAGCAAGAGGAGGTTGAGCGGGCTAATAGACAGGCTCAGGAGGCTCATCGCCTACAGCAAGAGGAAGCTGAGCGGGCTAATAGACAGGCTCAGGATATTCAGCGAGCAGGTCAACAGGCAGAAGAGCGCCAACACCGCCAGGAGCAGAGAGATCGTGAGCAACAGGAGCGTCTTGAAGAGGCATTGCGTGAATATGACAATCCTGCTTCTCAGCAGCAGCATGAAGATGACGCAGAAAGAAGAAGAACTCAAGAGCAAGAACGTCGCCGGCAGCGCGATGCAGAGGATGATGAAAATATTAACCAGGCACCTGTCCAAAATGTTCCTATCCCAGATGGAGCTCGACCATACACAGAGCCCATTGATCGTCACACTCTTGGTCCTCTTAATGTGGAGTGCCCCAACTGCCATGCCATGCATTTTGCATGTGAAAGACTCACCAAATTATCTGCACGAAATCCACGGTTTGGTACATGCTGCTTGGAGGGAAAAGTCGACCTTCCTTCCTTTCCAGCATGGCCACTCGAGCTGCAACAGGCATATGGAGACAGAGCATTTGTCTCCAAGATTCGCCAGTACAACAGTGCTCTTGCATTCACATCCGTAGGCGTCACCATCGAGGATAGGGCCCTTCAAGGCTCTGGCCCAAATGCTTTTCGTATCCATGGATCTCTTCACCACCTTATGGGCAGCCTGATTCCCCCTGAAGGTATTCGGCCTTCATACGCTCAGATCTACATTTATGATCCTGAACGCGCCACCGACATCCACGCCAACCGACCAGGAAATGAAGGCCTTGATCGTCGTATTCTCAGAGAGCTCCATGATATGATCTATCGGAGTCATCCATATGCGGCTCTTTATAAGCAGGCCTATCAAGTTATGAGCGAGAAGCCTCCAGAGCAGCACACAGAAGTTCGTGCACGCATTCACTTTCAGCAGGGCACAGATGGTCGAAGATATAATCTTCCCACTGCTGATGAAATTGCTGTGATCATTCCTGGAGATGGATCTGAGGAGGTATCTGACAAACGAGATATTGTCTTGCGACTTCAAGGTGGTCAGCTGCGACGCATCAGTCAGCTCAGCCATGCATACTTGACCCTTCACTATGTCCTTCTCTTTCCTTCTGGCGAGGAGGGCTGGCACCTTGGAATACCTCTCAACATCCCTCAAGGCGGACGTACACGTTCAAAAGAAGTGACCCAGCTGTTATACTACGCCTTCCGTCTTCACCCCCGCCCCAATCATATTGATAACAATAACATCTTTCGTGGTGGAAGACTGTTCCAGCAGTATATTGTTGATGCTTGGGCTTCCATCGAACAGAGCAATCTGAATTGGATCACCAAGAACCAAAAAAAGCTTAGGGCAGACTGCTACCGAGGCCTGGCAGATAACATCCTCAATGATGGCACAGATGATCTGGCTCAGACAGGTCGCGCAATCATTCTTCCATCATCGCATACTGGAAGCCCCCGCTATATGCACCAGTTGCTTCAGGATTCCTTGGCCATTTGCCGTGCCTGCAAGAAGCCCGACCTCTTCCTAACAATGACTGCAAATGGGAGTTGGCCTGAGATCACTGAAAACCTCCTTCCAGGTAAATTTTAATTAATAATTGATTTATGATATTGTTGCTAATATTGCTTATGTAGGTCAGAGCGCTGTGGATCGTCCAGACTTGGTGGCTCGTGTCTTCTACCAAAAGCAACAAGCGCTCTTGAAGAAGGTTCGCAAGGGCTACTACGGAAAAGTTGCAGGATTGGTGTACACCATTGAATATCAGAAGCGTGGTCTCCCTCACATGCATCTGCTTATCTTCCTCGACTCAGACCATAAGATAAGGACTGTGGAGCAAATAGACTCCTTCATCTCCGCTCAGATACCGGATAGAAATGTGCACCCGCAACTCTACGAAGCTGTATCAAAATACATGCTCCATGGCCCATGCAGTCCAGAGCGTTGCTTGGAGAATGGACAGTGCAAAAAGCACTTTCCAAAGTCTTTCTGTGATCAGACATCCTTGAAGGATGATGGCTACCCAGATTATGCAAGACCAGACAATGCGCACACGATCCAAAAGAATAACAATGTCTTCACCAATAAAGATGTTGTTCCTCACCCTCCGGAACTGCTGGTTCAATTCAACTGCCATATTAATTTGGAAGTCTGTGCTTCAATCAAATCTGTCAAGTACGTTCACAAGTATATCTACAAAGGACATGACCGTGCGACTTTGGAGATGGAAGGACCGGTGGATGAGGTCAAATCATATCTTGACTCCAGGTATATTAGCTCGATTGAGGCTGCATGGCGCATCATGGAAAATGATATGCACCTTGAATGGCCTGCTGTCTACCGCTTGCCAGTCCACCTCCCAGGTGAACACATGGTTGTCTATGATCCTGACGATAATCCCGAGGAAGTTGTTGAGCGTGCAGCAGCAAAGGAGACTCACCTCACTGGATGGTTCAAAGCCAATGCTGATGAAAACATGGTGGCAGCTGGAGCCCGTGATCTCCTCTACCAGGATTTCCCCTCAAAGTTTGTGTGGCAAAAAGTTGCTTGGAAGATACGTCAGCGTGGAGTTGCAATTGGAAGGATGTATTCTGCTGCCCCCAGCTCTGGAGAGAGATTTTATCTGAGATTGCTTTTGACCGTAGTGAAAGGTATGATTTCTGCGATGATTTGTATGAATCAAACTTAATGTGTTTTTTCAAAGGCGCTACCTCCTATGAACACCTGCGGACTGTCGATGATGTTGTCTGTGAGACTTTCAAGGACGCATGTCAGCTCAGGGGTCTGCTAGATGATGATAATGAATGGATTCAGTGCTTGCGGGATGCCTCTCATATGTGCACTGGATACCATACACGAAATCTATTTGCCATCATCCTCCTCTTCTGCAACCCTACAAGCCCTGATGACCTTTGGAACCGCTTCAAGGACAATCTCTGCGATGATCTGCGCCGTCGTCTCGCTCACATGCCATTCAACATGCCAGATGCTACTGAGGAGGAGGTCTATGACTATGGTCTCTATCTCATCGATGGAGTGCTTCGCAAAAATGGAAAGTCTTTGGATGCCATTCCCCACATGCCTGTCTCTCAAATGGCAGCAAGATGGGGGGCCATGGAGGGTAACCAGTTGATTGCTGAGCAGCTCCAGTACGATCAAGAAGAGCTTCAGCAGGTGGTGGATAGAGGAGTTCCTTCTCTCAATGAAGAGCAGAGGGCGGTCTTTGATGCGGTGGTCGATGATGCAATGCATCGGGATGAGCGCAGACCAGGACATTCATACTTTGTCCACAGTGCAGGTGGATGTGGCAAAACATATCTCTGCAAGCTCATCGCTTCAAAACTCCGTGCTGAAGGCAAGATCGTCCTATGTGTGGCTTCCTCTGGAATCGCTTCTCTCCTCCTGCCAGGTGGATGTACAGCTCATTCGCGATTCAAGATCCCCATTCCCATTCATGAAGACAGCTCTTGCAACATAAAGAAAGGAGACATTCTTCATGAGCTTCTCAAGGCCACCTCCCTAATCATCTGTGATGAAATTCCGATGCTACACCGCCACATCCTGGAATGCCTTGACCGCACATTACGTGATCTTCTGAATGTTGATGCTGATTTTGGAGGAATAACCATGCTCTTTGGAGGAGACTTCAGACAGACCCTGCCGGTGGTGCCTCATGGATCCAGGGAGCAGATAGTGGGCGCTACCTTTCGCAGATCTCGCATTTGGTCAAGGCTTCATATATTCCATCTCAAGAGAAATATGCGTCTTGGTCAAGATCCCGCTTCCGATGATTTTGCAAGGTGGCTTCTTGAGATTGGAGCTGGTAGGGGCACAAATGAAGATGGAACTGTGACCCTCCCTGCCCGCATGCGGTGTCGCAACAATGATCTCCAGTCTCTCATCAATGCCCTATACTCAGAAATTCTGCTCCCTGATCGTCCTCCCTTAAATGATTCATACTTCCTGGATCGCACCATTCTTTCTGCAAAGAACACTGATGTGGATGAAATCAATGCCACTATCCTCGAATCATTCCCTGGAGAAAAAGCAGTCTTCACCAGCGCAGACTCAGTCACGGAGAGAGAATACGATTACATTCCCCCAGAGTTCCTTCATACCCTTGCCCCATCAGGCTTCCCTTTGCACAAATTGGAGGTCAAAGCAGGTGTTCCTCTGATGCTTTTGCGGAATTTGAACCCCTTGCAGGGACTCTATAATGGAACTCGCATGATCCTCCTGTCTTGGACCACCTGTGTCCTTAGGTGCCGTGTTCTTAGGGATGGAGATGATGAAGATCAGCAGGTCGATGAGAACACAGTCCTAATCCCTCGCATCACTATGGAATCCAGTTCTGAAGAGAACCCAATCCCCCTCAAGCGTCGCCAGTTTCCTGTTCGTCTTGCATTCGCTATGACAATCAACAAGGCGCAAGGTCAAAGTGTCAAGTGGGTTGGCCTTAATTTGCGGACTCCTGTCTTCAGCCATGGACAACTCTATGTGGCTTTATCTCGCTGCACCCACCCAGACAGGGTGTTTGCTATCTTTCCGGAGCATGAGGAAGGCTCAAATACAACCAATGCAGTATATACAGAAGTGCTTAGAGGACTCATAGATCATATCAATGATTGATGTACTTATATATATAGAACTGACTGATCTTATGTACTATGTACTTTTATGTGGTGTGATAGATTGTACTTTGAGTTTTTTTGAAAAGCTGCTCATAAATGTACTTCAAAATTATTCAAAATGTACAATTTATTAGGATGCAGCCTGAGGCCAGGAAGCCAAAGGAGGGCTGCGCCCTCCTTTGGCTTCCTGTGACGAAGGAACAATGCTCATCAGGAGCCTTCTGAATTATTGGGATGAAGCTGAGGCCAGGAAGCTAAAAAAAGAGTGCGAAGCACTCTTTTTTGCTTCCTGTGCCGAAGGCAGAATGGGTGTGGACTAGTAGATGTTGAGGCGAAGAATGTGTGTAATCGATTACGGAAATAAGCGAGCCAAAGGGAGTCGGGGACTTGCCGCAGCGGCGATACCGCGATACTGTAAGCACTCAATCCAGTTGGCTTGGTTCATTTTTGACTCCACAAATTAAACGCCGAAGGTAGCCCCGCACCGCACTTTGAGATGAAATAATGGCAGAGGAATATGTGGGGAAAATTCCAAATTATCGGCAGATAAACATGAGATAAACATACAATAACGACAACACGATTATCTCATGTTTAGTCCCAGTTTACAGCACATATCCTCCGAATAAAGTCTTTGATTTTCCTTGAATATTCAATGCAATTTATATTTGGCATTCGAAACAATAGTACTGCAGATCTGCCAGCGCTCTAGGTACTGACAAATTACATCAATTCCGATCTTCTACCAGCTTCTACCGCCTCCCAATCATTTTGGGTGCTCAGTATCAACCTCCAACAGTCATTTGAAACCGCAAATATGGCAGTACCGCACCAGAACGCACCCAGTAAATCCTCCAGCAGTGCACCCTTCAAACCCTTGAGAACCACAGTAAAACCACAGCTAGTACTAACAAAGAAGAGGGGGCCAGAATCCACTGTGAGCATGGCTGTTGCGAAACGACCACGACCTTCAGGAGGAGGCAGACTTGGGGGTGCGGCACCATCATCCTTTCTCAACCCGTTCCACTCCCACCATGAAAAGACTGCAGAAGAACCCTTTGACTGAGGAATGTGTGTTGTGGAATCTGAACAGTTGACCTGAAGGATGCAGCAACAGATGGTTCAGGGTTCTAGTGAGACAGTGGACGAGATCGAGGAAGTACCAGGTGACTTCGATACAGTCATTGATCCAAGCCTTTGGGATATGGACTCCACATCAGCCTTGAATGAACGCTGCAGCCATGATCACGTACCTGTTGAAGACCATGGCCCCATCTCAAATGCAGCATATATGCATCCACCTGGGCGCGGAAGTGTGTCAATTTCAGCCCTTTCTCGACCTGGTCAACTATGTTTTGTGTCCATATATACAAAACTCTCGTCCTGTTCAATAAAAAATCAGTATATTTATAGTGAGATGAATGAACACGCACTACCATAAAGTTCGGTCATTTCGACCACGAATTTTGTTGAGTTGCACGAGCGTTGGTTCATTTGGTCCAGGGATGACCATAATCAGAAAGGCTTCTTTGGTAAGATAGCGGACACCACGAGGATTGTTGCAGCAGGTCATGTAGAGGGCTCTCGTAGAGTGGTTGCCACGCTTGATTGATTGAAACCTAGTGTACGAACACAATGAGAGACTTCAATATCAGATATCTAGTAAATGAATTACGCACCAATCAAGATTGATTTGCTATACGAGTCCACTGCAGGGATGGGGGAGCCGCACTGTTGGTCTGTCTCCCGCATGCGCTGATGCTCTTGTTCGCGCCGATCAGCATCTAGATGCCTTTGGTGAGTCTTTCTTGACTGTTGGAGTTGACAACCGTCAGTTAAAGAGCAATGGCTACAGGCGCACCAAACAAGGGCTCCTGCCATCATAGAAGTGTCCGCACAGTGAGTGGTTTGAGTGCGCAGCAATGTGTCGTGTCCGCCATCATTGTGAGAGAAGACGATGAGCACCCACGGCACATTGTGAGCGCGCAGAGCTCGAGCTCGAGATCTGGACTTAGCGTTTGAAAATAATCATGAGTTACAGCTCGAGACAGACACTGGTTATTCAGAGAAAACAGGGCGGACATGCTACATTGCGTTTATTTACTGATTACATGGGATTTTCTGAAAATAATAGCTGCTATTATTTACCCTCAAAGTCCAGTGCCGCGGGCTTTGATTAAAATTGAGACAAGCTTCAACGTTGCAACACTGGCTGTGTATTTGCGCGAATGCAAACACTTGATCATGGTACTATTCATTCATTGTGAGCCTTGAGCTTGATTCATCGCCGTGCTCTGCTGTTGCCACAGGTATGTATATCATAAATTCATGCATCCAACACTCGACTAGTCCACACCTGTTCTGCCTTCGGCACAGGAAGCAAAAAAGAGTGCTTCGCACTCTTTTTTTAGCTTCCTGGCCTCAGCCTCATCCCAATAATTCAGAAGGCTCCTGATGAGCATTGTTCCTTCGTCACAGGAAGCCAAGGAGGGCTGCGCCCTCCTTTGGCTTCCTGGCCTCAGGCTGCATCCTAATAAATTGTACATTTTGAATAATTTTGAAATACATTTATGAGCAGCTTTTCAAAAAAACTCAAAGTACAATCTATCACACCACATAAAAGTACATAGTACATAAGATCAGTCCATTCTATGTTTTTTGAGCAGGATTTTGACAAATGTAAAGATACAATCTACTACACAACATAAAATTACAAAATATGTAACAGTATCATTGAATGTATTTATTTTCCCATTTTTCCCTGCCCCCCATCTCCCATTGTGTCCCATGTCCTCCCGTCTCCCGTCTCCCGTCTCCCGTCTCCCGTCTCCCGTCTCCCGTCTCCCGTCTCCCGTCTCCCGTCTCCCGTCTCCCGTCTCCCGTCTCCCGTCTCCCGTCTCCCGTCTCCCGTCTCCCGTCTCCCATCTCCCATCTCCCATCTCCCATCTCCCATCTCCCATCTCCCATCTCCCATCTCCCATCTCCCATCTCCCATCTCCCATCTCCCATCTCCCATCTCCCATCTCCCATCTCCCATCTCCCATCTCCCATCTCCCATCTCCCATCTCCCATCTCCCATCTCCCATCTCCCATCTCCCATCTCCCGTCTCCCGTCTCCCGTCTCCCGTCTCCCATCCTCCCACAATTTTCTGTCCTCCCATCTCCCATTCTCCAGGTTTTATGTTTCTATATTGTTCATTGTTTCCTTCTGATTTATTTATTCACAACCTTTTATCATTCATTCCCTGTCACCACATATATTTGTTGTCCCCCTGTCTGCAAGATTGTATCATATGTTGTTCCATTTTCAGTTTTATTATTTACTGTATGTATGTACCATAAACAATTACAATAGGGAAAATACTTGTGTTGCACAGTGCGCTGCAGCGGCGATTGAGTTGGCGCTCGAAAACACGTGACAAAGCCACGCGAGTTTCCAAAAAGAGGTTTAAGCGAGCTAAGCGTTGTAGAGACTCATGCCTCTCATGGTGTGATATGGCAGTATTCACTAGGGAGTACACAGCACGAACTTGCAGCATCACTCTGTGTGCTATCTGCAGCTATCCCTATATGAGGCGCAGCTTTCCCGCGCAAGGCGCAGCATGCGCGCACCTTTCCCGCGCTTTATGATGTATACGCGCGCGCACTTTCCCGCGCTTGATCGCCCTATAGCGCCAGCCTTCTGGAAGCATCCATCCACTGTCCACCAAGCTCTCTAGTGCGTGTATTTCCATTTCCCTTATTTACATATCATCCCACCTTTATTTATATCATGGACCCTTACTTACATATAGCTTTACATACCTTACTCGGTAGCGCTTCGGCTCCGCGTGACAGCGCTTAGGCGCCGTATATAAGCGCCAGCATTACATACTATTATGAAACTTTGGAACTTGGCACTCTACCTCCCACTTACCCATCTACTACCTAGCAGAATATAGTTGCAATCTATTCCTTGGCACTTTGCACTCACATCTCTTGTTATTCATCATATCACCACTTAAGCAAACTCACTCTTACTCTCACTTGTTTCCGCTCATGCGTGCGCGCGCTTCCCGCGCCTCGCGCGTACCTTCGCTTTCCCGCGCTTCGCATTGGCCGACCAGTAGCGCCTACTACCAGATCCTTGCTGCACTCGCTTCCCCTTTAGGGTCGAACGCACTTGTCGTCTCAAGTATAGCAGACTAGGCAACGCGCGACCTTACAACATTTACAGATACAGTCAGGAGCTTTGTTTGTTCCTCTCTGTATTGTTGTTTCTACAGCGTTCCCATGTGGCCTTTAGCGAAATAGGCGAAATAGGCGAAAGCCATGCGAGCGCCCGTGCATTTCCGAAAACCATCGTACTTTACTTCTTAGATGCCACTGGTCTGCCCCAACACAGGATGGACCTACACTGGAATTACGGAGCCAAGACAGCCATTGCAACAGTCGATCTTCTCGAACGACAGAATGTCAACGTCAAACCCGATGGGAAACACCTGTGCATTTGAAGTGCTCGGTGAACCACCAAACGGGAGGATATACGGTGCAGCAACATTTTTATGGCAAGTCTTCTAGGTTATGGCGATTGCATCATCCAGGCTGGGTATTTCCATGCCAAGATGGAGAATGGAATGGTTACTGTGCGATTCATCGCGTGAAGGTGCGATCCTATCTGTATGTTACGACATGTGACTACTTCGGATTTGGATTGCTGGCACCTCATGAAGGTGGAATAAGGATTCTGAAGCAACGATGTGTTTGTACGATGGTTATGCATGTGCAAGCATCCGACTACCATGCAACTTTCATAGCCTGCCCATGAATTTGCTGAGCATCATGAAGGTCAGACAATGGTGTTCTTGGTTCATCTGATGGATCTCGCTTTTAGCTCGCAACCTTTACCGGCTCCTGCTCAAGTCGGCACTGCAAAACATCCCTGAAATACAATGGCAACCGACCGAGGCTGTATAATCAGAAATCGGGCTTTTTGCCTGTTGCAGGCTTTTCGTCTCCCATGTGCGATTCCTCTTTCGACCTAGTATGTATCCGTCTTACATTTCACAGGTATCAATGATACAGCATGAGTCACGATGTATCCGCCAGTGCAAAGAATCACCGTCACATCAAGTGCACGATCAGATCCACCGAATAGCGTGCGCTGTTGTGTTTCTTCTCTGACTTTTGCCATGCTACAGAATGCGACTTTGTTACAGAAAGCAATCAGGGGAGCTGATAGCAAGTCTCGAGCTTGACCAGCGAAGCTAAGAGAACACAGATGCTCATTGCATTCACATCACGGTTAGATCGATGGCCACATGGTTTCTTATGTGACACCTCGAAAATGGCATTGGAAATAAGTTTGCGATATCACTAACCACTGGAATTTTTCTGGTGTCCGAGTAGTCGCATGCGTAAACTGGTTTGTAAATCAAATTCTACTTTGATTATCCAGGGCTTTTTGTTTTATTTCGAACCGTTTCACCCGATCAAGGGTCTTGAGGCAGGATCAAATATACTTCTCCATTATACTGATTTTGGAGATAGAAACGCTGAACGGTGGTATATCTAGCACGAACACTTTCATTATACACCACTAACATTCTCAACTCGCTCACACCCATCCCTCGAACATGACCTATATCTCAAATGATCCCAGTTACTGGCCGCATATCAGTTTCCATATTTTTGTCAGCTATTGGGAAGGTCTGTCGCATAATGATGTCTAGATCCAACGTTGACTTGGGGTTTTGCAGGTGCCGCCGGCGTCGTGGTGGTATACGATTGGGGTGAGCAGGACAGTGTTCGAAAATCGCTGACATTCTCATGATATTTCAAGTCTTAACACTCGGACAAGAGGTACGTCAATGTCATCACCGTAGCAGCCAACTCGCCAGAAATAGTGTCACAGATTGAACTCATATGGGTGAGTGATAAGAGTCCCGTATCAGAAGAAACCAAGAGCATGCAATGAATTTGCGACAGAGACAACGCTGGTCTCTCATGACTGTGCTGTATTTGATTGTCTGTACTCGTTGTGCTTTAGCGTATGGGCAACTTGTGCTGACTCCACAATATTCTAGATACGCTATATGGGAATACCGTTTTCTGTGTATGTGTCGAGACCAATAACTTTGCACTGTGCTAATGGGTCATCTCTGACAACTAGTGCCAGTGTTCTGCGTATGTCTCATATGCACTGTGTTCCATTTTTCTGACCGGCGAGACACAGGAACTATGCCATCGCTATCGCTATCGCTGACAGATGCAGTAAGTATTCTGCAGCCATTTCATTCCCATCCAATCAATACACTCATATGTAGGGGTGAGTGAGATTCCAACCATTGAACTTGACTCAGCATAACGACTCGATAGGTGTAAGTCGGAGTCTTTGATACTAGTGCGAGAGCGTTCACTAATTGGGAGTTTCAGGCGCTTTCACATACTACGTAACAATTGGGACAAATGCGGCTTTGACTGCCATGTTAGGCGGTAAGTTGCACAGGTGCAATACCTCTGCAATATTGACATGACTGACACACGATGCAAGTCATCATGATTGCTCAGTTGCATGCCATGTATCAGGGATCTAGAACAATTCTTATGTTCCTTGTTATTATCTTCCTGGCTGTAAACATCGCCTGTAGAGTAATCGTGGCAATAGGACTCAACGATACTGTAGCAGGTAAGTTTTACTTGTTAACTTGACGAACACAGCTCATTGGACAAACACCAGAGGAGTTGATACTCTCTGGCACACATATGTGCGGTTATGCATCTGAAGGGAACAACCAGCTTCTGTATTCAATGTTTTGGATGCTCAACACTGTTTGGGAGGTCCTCGCACTGTGCCTTTCAGTCTGGGTTGCTGTGAAACACTTCCGTGAGCTGCGACGACTTGGCTCATCGACAGGATCGACCATCGGGGCCTGTTTCAGAGTGCTCATACAATCTCACGTTCTTTATTTTGCAAGGTGAGCTTGTAATGTGAACGCGGTTATATTTTTCTGCTCAAGTTCCACACATGTTAGCTTTGTTGGTGTCTCTTGCCTTCAGCTTGCTTTTACCTCCCCAGTCATCTTGGTGCGCTGACCTGTTGCTGATATCTGCGTGCAACCACTGCTCATCAGTTCTATAGAATTCAAATTCTATTGGATCTCAGATGCTCCTTAGTACTCTTCAAATTTTATTGGTCGTGCAGATGTTTGTGCTGGGACCTCGTCTCATCCTGAGCGTTCGAGAATGCCATGCCAAACTCATGGCATTCTCTGACGCAGAAATTAACATGAATTCGATTGTTTTCCAGGAGCATGTACATGTATCAACTAGCAGTACTGTATAGGGAAAATGCATGCCGAGTGGTCTGCAGGGAGGAGACATTTGGTGGAGGATTCGTCGTGGTATTTATTTAACATATGGTGTTTCGAAGTATATTTGAAAGGTCCAGGCAAACCTATTTCTTGTTGTATCACTGCTGGAACCAAGCATCTGCGCTTGAACTAATGGTAAGCTGAAATTATCTGAAACGACTAGCAACTGATCAGTAGTTTCATAGGTACGCTCGAGGCCTTCTCACATTCTATGATTTTCCACTTTCCACTCAGTGGACCCCATATCCTTGTCATGCTCATTTGCAAGAAAGACATACATTCAACCCATGAGTTTACATTCATTCCTTTCATTCTCCTTGGCTCATCAGATGGAGGAAATCGCATCTGAGCACTGATGAGTTATCAGCCATCTGGCTTCACAACTCGCAGTATCTATATGTCCAGACAGTGGAACACCAATGTGCAGAATCAGCTGTCAAGGCACTTTACCAACAAGAAATAGCGTTGCCTAAACTTTTCAAATATACTATATCATTATGTCAAATAAATATTGCAACGGATCGTCGACCAAATTTCTCCTCCCCACAGACCATTCGGCAAGCATTTCCCTACACAGTACTGCCAGTCGATACATGTACATGCTCCTGGAATACAATCGAACTCATGCTAGTTTCTGTGTCGGAGTATGCCACGAGTTTGGCGTGGTGTTCTCGAACGCTAAGGATGAGGCGTGGTCCCAGCACAAACTTCTGCACAGCCCATAAAATGTCAAGAGCTCCTTCAACTATCATAGCTCCAATAGAATTTGAACCCTACAAAATTGATGAGCAGTGGTTGCACGCAGATATTGGCAACGGGTCAGCGCACCCAAATTTCTGGGGAGAGATCTCTAGCGAGCTGGAGGCAAGAGACACTAAGAAAGCTAACATGTGTGGAACTTGAGCAGGAAAAGATAACCGCGTCCACATTATAAGCTCACCTTGCAAAATAAAGAATGTGAGATTGTATCAGCACTGTGAAACAGTCTCCAATTGTCGATCCTGTCGACGGGTCAAGTCGTCGCAGCTCACGGAAGTGTTTCACAGCAATCCAAACTGAAAGAGACAGTGCGAGGACCTCCCAAACAGTGTTGAGCATCCATACCATTGAAAGCATAAGCTGGACGACCCCGTCAGATTCATAATAGCACATATACGTGCCAGAGACTATGAACTCCTCTGGTGTTTGTCCAATGAGCTGTGTTCGTCAAGGCAACAAGTAAATCTTACCCAGTGCAGTATCGTTGAGTCCTATTACCGCGATTACTCCGCAGGCGATGTTTACAGCCAGGAAGATAATAACAAGGAATATAAGCATCTTTCTAGATCCCTGATACATGGCATGCAACCGAGCAATCATGATGACTTGCGTCGTGTGTCAGTCAGGTCAATATCACAGAGGTATGTCACCTCGGCAACTTACCGCCTAACATGGCGGTCAAGGCCACATTTGTGCCATTCGATGCGTAGTACGTGATAGCGCCTCAAACTCCCAATTAGTGAACACACTCGCACTAGTATCAAAGACTCCGACTTACACCTATTGAATCATTATGTTGAGCCAAGTTCAATGATCAGAAACTCACTTACCCCTACATATGAGTGTATTCGTTGGATAGGAATGAGATGATTGTAGAACACTCACTGCATCTGTCAGCAAGACTGATGGCATACTTTCTATGTGCCGTTAGTCAGAAGAATGAAACACAGCACATATGAGACATACCCAAAGCATTGGTACTAATTGTCAGAGATGACCCATTAGCATAGTTCCCATGTTTTTTGCCTTGACACATACACAGAAAACGGTATTCCAACATAGCGTATCTAGAACATTTTAGAGTCAGCACAAGTTGCCCACATGCTAAAGCACAACACGAGTACGAACAATCAAATACAACACAGTCATGAGAGACCAGCGTTGTCTCTGTCACGAATTCATTGCATGCTCTTGTTTTCTCCCGATATGGGGTTCTTGTCACTCACCCAGATGAGCTCAATCTATTCGGACACCATTCTTAGCGAGTTGACTGCTCCGGTGATAACATAGACATACCTCTTGTCCGAGTGTTAAGACTGGAAATATCATGAGAATATGAGTGATTTTCGAATACTGGCCTGCTCACCCCAATCATATACTACCACAACGCAGGCAGCAACTGCGAAACGGCCAGTCAATGTTAGATCGAGACTCATCATGATGCGACGAACATATCCAATAGCTGGAAATAATATTCAAATTGATCTGCGGCCACCAACTGGGATCATTTGAGATGAAGGTCATGTTTGAGGGATGGGCGAGCGAGTGGGGAATGTCATTGGTGTATGACGATAGCGTATGTGCTAGATATACCACCGTTCGGCCCTTGTATCACTAAAATTAGGCTGATGAAGATGGAAATTTGATCTCACCTCAGGACCCTTGATCAGGTGAAGTATCATCCATGCATCAGTGAACCGGTGAACATGGTTGATGGTAGTCTTCGATCTAAAGCTACTGCTAACTCAATTAGTACAATATTTGTTGCACCAAGTACCTTCGGTGTTTGCCGAAAGTCGAAAAATGAACCAACTGCTAGTACTCAGTTGGACTTTGTACACTACGAATTTTTACTAGCACTAACTAGTACTAATACCCCGTGCACCTGCAGAGCATTTTACACACTACGGTTTGTTACGCCGGTGTAGCGTAATTATCGTCAATGCCATCTTTTCATTTTTGTAACATTGCCTATACAATGTATTGATCGATGGCCGGGCTTCCCGATAAGTACATTCGTGATGGAGTCCCGCCCTGTAGCGCTACACCTTGAACTGGGGAGCATTTTATATAACCAGGAAACGTGTATAATGAATTCAAAATTTACGACTTTGTGGGAGTCGGCACGCAATACAACTCGATGTCCTCACTTTCCTCAACGCGTAGCCAATAAAAATGAACGAGGAACGAACATGACACTAGGTAAATAAGTGGTTGGATCAAAGGCTTTTGATGCGCGACTGATCACCCACTCTGTCAGCCACAGTGGCTTGAACTTCTGTCATACTCTCCAAATCAAATCATAGACTAACATCTCAGTCATTATATCCGCGTGCCCGAGACAGACCCTTCTTCGACTGTGGAATCTCGATTCCCTGCTCCTTCCAGATCTCAATCTGGCGATCTTTCGCCACTTTGCCTGTACGGCTCTCGTGGTCTTCAACAGACTCAGGTTTCTCGCCACGAGGCGTGACTCTGAGCGCGTGGCGAGTGTGAGGCCAGAAATCGAAAGTTGCGGTGTGAGTCACAATCTATCACCTAGTCAAACTTTACGCTCTTCATCGAGTAGAAACAGCACTGACTCTATTATCCCAGACCGCGACTGAATTCGGCTCCCAGTGGAAGCGTACGTGAAAGTCAACATTATCGGCGATCTGGTGGAACAAGAAATTGAGAATGGTGTCGGATTCGGGTTTGGGGACGCCGAGTATGCGAAGAGTAAAGCCAGGGTTGACATAAACGACAGGATGCACGCTTTCGACAGGTTCGCGACGGACGTAGAGGCCAGCTGCGCGAGATCCATCCGCTTGCGCGACCACGCTGTGCAGAGCTGTAAGACCCTCAAGGTACACCTGCATGCCAGGACTAAGGGAGGAATAAAGAGCATAACTGTCGGTGATCATCGGGATGACTTTTTTAGAACATTCGAGTTCCATGAAGTTCATCTATGCAGGAAATGAGTGTTGGTTAGTAGTAAGTAGCTGCAGCGGAAGTCTGGCGATAAGAAATGGCCTGTAGGATTTCACTGCAGAACCTGTTTAGCGAGTAATATTATATACTGTCACTGAGAAGCGCGTGATTCTGCAATTCCAGACTGATTTGAACATTATTTACATGACGAAGTTCTGCACTTACTTGATTTAAAGTTCAGCATTCTGGAAGTTCTAAAGAATGTGTTCGAACGCTAGTGGTAGCTTGATCAAGTCATAAAGTATTTGTGTGACTTGCATTGATACCGGAATATGAGTCTATCGATACAGACGGTCAGCTACAGTTGATGCCGAACGTTGCCGAACCTGCCAGTGAGCGGAATTTATAATGTAGCTGTACTATTCACATTTTCGTCACTCTGTAAATCAGAAACTGTTGGAGCCTTTGAATGCTGGCTACGTAGCAAGGCTGCCAATGCACTACTTTTTCCAGGTCTTGTTGCTGCCAAAGTCATGTTCTGAATCTCTGAGTCAACATTGCCCAAATTTGAGCCTCACATTCTGCCGGCAGCAAACTTCATCGATTATCTCACTAGTGTTGTCTTTGTCGTCATTGGTCTGAGAAGATGACTTTGTGAAGCGCGAGTGCTTCGTTTCAGTAGTGATACAAGAATAAATAGCTTTGCCTAGATCTTTCAAATATACTTCGAAACACAATATGTTAAATAAATACCATAACGGATCCTATTTCTCCTCCCTGCAGACCACTCGGCAAGCATTTCCCTACATAGTACTGCTAGTTGATACATGTACATGTTCCTGGAAAATAATCGTATTCATGCTAGTTTCTGCGTCGGAGTATGCCACGAGTTTGGCGTTGTGTTCTCGAACGCTCAGGATGAGGCGTGGTCCCAGCACAAACATCTGCACGATCAATAAAATTTGAAGAACGCCATAGAGTATCAGAACTCCAATAGAATCCGAATTCTACAGAAATGATGAGCAGTGGTTACACGCAGATGTCAGCAACAGGTCAGCTCACCGAGATTGCTGGAGAGAGAATAGCAAGCTGGAGGCAAGAGACGCCAACAAAGCTAACATGTGCGGAACTTGAGCAGAAAATATAACCGCATTCACATTACAAGCTCACCTTGCAAAATAAAGAACGTGAGATTGTATCAGCACTCTGAAACAATCCCCGATTGTCGATCCTGTCGATGGGTCGAGTCGTCGCAGCTCACGGAAGTGTTTCACAGCAATCCAGACTGAAAGACACAGTGAGAGGACCTCCCAAACAGCGTTGAGCATCCAAATGATCGAAATAAGAAGTTGGTCGTTCCCTTCAGATACATAACCGCACATATATGTGCCAGAGAGTATCGCTTCCTCTGGTGTGCGCCTAATGAGCCTTGTCCTTCAAGTCAACAAGTAAAGCTTACCAATTACAGTATCGTTGAGTGATATCGCCGTGATCACTCCGCAGGCGATGTTTACAGCCAGGAAGATAATAACAAGGAACATAAGCATCTTTGTAGATCCCTGATACATGGCATACAACCGAGCAATCATGATCACTTGCATCGTGTGTCAGTCAGGTCCATATCACAGAGGTATTGCACCTGGGTAACTTACCGCCCAACATGGCAGTCAACGCCACATTTGTGCTACCCATTGCATAGTCCGTGACAGCGCCTAAAAGCTCGCCATTAGTGAATGCCCTCGCACTAGTATTAAAAACTCAGACTTACACCTATTGAGTCATTATGTTGAGCAAAGTTCAATGGTTGGAATCTCACTCACCCCTGCATATGAGCGTATTGATTGGATGGGAATGAGATGATTGCAGAATACTCACTGCATCTGTCAGCGATACCGATGGCATAGTTTCTGTGTCTCGCCGGTCAGAAAATGAAATACAGCGCATATGAGACATACCCAGAAGATTGACACTAGTTGTCAGAGATGAGCTATTAGCACAGTGCAAAGTTGTTGATCTCAACACATACACAGAAAACGGTATTCCAACATAGCGTATCTAGGACATTTTGGAGTCAGCACAAGTTGCCCACATACTACAGCACAACACGAGTACGAACAATCAAATATAACACAGTCATGAGAGACCAGCGTTGTCTCTGTCGCGAATTCATTGCATGCTCTTGTTTTCTCCCGATATGGGGTTCTTGTCACTCACCCAGATGAGCTCAATCTATTCGGACACCATTCTTAGCGAGTTGACTGCTCCGGTGATAACATAGACATACCTCTTGTCCGAGTGTTAAGACTGGAAATATCATGAGAATATCAACGATTTTCGAACGCTATCCTGCTCACCCCAATCGTATACCACCACGACGCCCGCGGCAACTGTGAAACTGCATGTCAACGTGAGATCTAGACATCCTGATGTGACAAACCTGCCCAATGGCTGTCAAAAATATTGAAATTGATTGTCGGCCACCAACTTGGATCATTTGAGACGTAGGTCATGTTCGAGGGATGTATGTGGGCGAGTGGGGAAGGTTAGTGGTGTATAACGACAGCGTTCGTGCTAGATATACCACCGTTTCGCATTTTCATCGTCAAAATCAGCATAATGGAGATGTATATTTGATCCCGCCCCAAGACCCTGAAACGGTTCCAAATCAAACAAAAAGAAGCCCCGGATAATCAAAGTAGAATTTGATTTACAAACCAGTATTACGTACGCATGTGACTACTCGGACAACCAACAGTGGTCAGTAATATGACAAACCTATTTCCAATGCCATATTGTCGAGGTGTTCTGTATGAAACCATGTGGCCATCGATCTAACCGTGATGTGATTGCAATGAGCATCTCTGTGTTCTCTTAGCTTCGCTGGCCAAGCTCGAGACTTGCTATCAGCTCCCCTAATTGCTTTCTGCAACAAGGTTGCATTCTGTAATACTGCAAAAGTCAGAGAAGAAACACAACAGCTCACTCTATTCGGTGGATCCGATCGTGCGCTTGATGCGACAGTGATTCATTACACTGGCGGATACATCGTGACTCATACTGTGTGATTAATACCTGCTAAATATAAATGACAGGTCGAAAGAGAAATCGCACATGTGAGACGAGAAGCCTGTAGCAGGCAAAAAAGCCTGATTTCTAATTGTACAGCCTCAGTCGGTGGTCATTGTATTTCAGTGATGTTTTGCAGTGCCGACTTGAGCAGGAACCGGTAAAGGTTGCGACCGAGAAGCAAGGTCCATCAGATGAGCAAAGAACGGCATTGTTTGATCTTCATCATGCTCAGCAAATTCATGGGCAGGCTACGAAAGTCGCATCCGTAGTGGGATGCTTGCACATGCATAGCCATCGTACAGACACATCGTCGCTTTAGAATCATTATTCCACCTACACAGGGTGCCAAAGATACAAATCCAAAACAGTCACATGTCGCAACATGCAGATAGCACCACATCTTCACGCGATGAAGCGCACGGTAACCATCCCATTTTCTATCTTCGCATGGAAATACTCAGCCTGGATGATGCAATCGCGATAACCTAGAAGACTTGCCATAAAAATGTTGTTGCACCGTACATCCACCCTTTTTGTGGTTCTCCGAGCGCTTCAAATGCACAGACATTGTTAGGTGTTTCCCATGGGGTTTGATGTTGATATTCTGTCGTTTGAGAAGCTCGACTGTTGCAGTGGCTGTCTTGGCTCCGGAATTCCAATGGAGGTCCATCCTGTGTTGGGGCAGATCAGTGACATCGAGTGTTGGACACATGAATCTACGATATACTTACCCGTGCCAATACCAAAGCACAGCGATGAATCAATGTTCACAGTGAATAAATAATACCGTCAAGTGTTTCCATTCGCGCACCAAACATAATATGAAAGAGGTACACGCGGGGTCTCAGATCTCGACTCGCAGCCAAATTGTTGAAGTTTATGACAAGAGTACTTACTGGTGTGACGTTGTTGATGCCGAACATTGCCGAACGTGCCAGTGAGCGGAGTTTGTACTATTAGAATTCACATTTTCGTCACTGTAAATCAGAAATTGGTGGAGCCTGTACTTTTTTGACATATGCTGACTATGTAGCAAGGCTGCCAATACGCTGTTTTTTTCCAGGTCGTGTTGCTGCCAAAGCCATGCTTTGAATCTCTGAGTCAACAATGCCCCGACTTTGTGGAATGCGTCGGACTGTGAGCCTCACGGCAGCAAACTCCGTCAATTATCTCACTCACTAGTGTATTTGTCGTCATTCTGAGAAGATGATTTTGTGAAGCGCGGGTGCTTCGTTCCAGTAGTGATACAACCTAGTAAATAGCTTTGCCTAGATCTTTCAAATATACTTCGAAACACAATATGTTAAATATATACCATGACGGATCCTACCAAATCTCTCCTCCCTGCAGACCACTCGGCAAGCATTTCCCTACACAGTACTGCTAGTTGATACATGTACATGCTCCTGGAAAACAATCGAATTCATGCTAGTTTCTGCGTCGGAGGATGCCACGAGTTTGGCGTGGTATTCTCGAACGCTGAGAATGAGGCGTGGTCCCAGCACAAACATCTGCACGACCGATGAAATGTGAAGAGCACCACCGAGTATCTGAGTTCCAATAGAATTTGAATTCTACAGAAATAATGAGCAGTGATTGCACGCAGATGTCAGCAACAGGTCAGCGCACCAAGATTTCAGGAGAGAGATTAGTAAGCTCGAGGCAAGAGACACCGACAAAGCTAACATGTGCGGAACTTGAGCAGAAAACTATAACCACATCTACATCACAAGCTCACCTTGCAAAATAGAGAACGTGAGATTGTATCAGCACTCTGAAACAGTCCCCGATGGTCGATCCTGTCGATGGGCCGAGTCGTCGCAGCTCACGGAAGTGTTTCATAGCAACCCAGACTGAAAGACACAGTGCAAGGACCTCCCAAACAGTGTTGAGCATCCAAATCATCGAAAACAGAAGCTGGTTGTCCACTTCATATACATAACCACACATATATATGCCAGAGAGTATGGTCTCCTCTGGTGTCTGTCCAATGAGCCGTGTTCTTCAAGTCGACAAGTAAAGCTTACCTGCTACATCATCGTTGAGTGCTATTGCCGCGATTACTCCACAGGCGATGCTTACAGCCAGGAAGATAACAACAAGAAAGATGAGCATCGTTCTAGATCCCTGATACATGGCATGCAACCGAGCAATCATGATAACTTGCATCGTGTATCAGTCAGGTTAATAGCAGAGGTATTGCACCTGGCTAACTCACCGCCCAACATGGCAGTCAAGGCCACATTTGTGCCATTTATGGCGTAGTTCGTGATATTGCCTAAAACCCCCAATTAGTGAACGTCCTCGCACTAGTATCAAAGACTCCGACTCACACCTATCGAGTCATTATGTTGAGCCAAGTTCAATGGTTGGAATCTCACTCACCCCTACATGAGCGTATTGATCGGATGGGAATGACATGGTTGCAAAATACTTACTGCATCTGTCAGCGATACTGATGGCATAATTTCTGCGTCCCGCCGGTCAGAAAAATGGAACACAGCGCATATGAGACATACGCAGAACATTGGCACTAGTTGTCAGAGATGAGCTATTAGCACAGTGCAAAGTTGTTGATCTCGATACATACACAGAATACGGTATTCCAATATAGCGTATCTAGAACATTTTGGAGTCAGCCCACACGCTAAAGCACAACACGAGTACGAACAATCAAATACAACACAGTCATGAGAGACCAGCGTTGTCTCTGTCGCGAATTTATTGCATGCTCTTGTTTTCTTCTGATATGGGACTATTGTCACTCACCCAGATGAGTTCAATCTATGATACCATTCTTAGCGAGTTGGCTGCGGCGGCGATAACATCGAACGTACCTCTTTTCCGAGTGTTAAGACTGGAAATATCGTGAGAATATCAGCGATTTTCGAACACTGTCCTGCTCACCCCAGTCGTATACCACCACGACACCCGCGGCAACTGCGAAACTGCAAATCAATTTTAGATTGGGACATCTTGATGCAACAAACCTGTCCAATAGCTGAGAAAAACATTTAAATTGATATCCAGCCAGTAACTGGGATCATTTGAGACGTAGGTCATGTTCGAGGGATGGGTGAGCGAGTGGGGAATGTCAGTGGTGTATGACGATAGCGCTCATGCCAGATATACTACCGTTCAGCCGTCGTATCACCAAATCAGCATGATGGTGGCGAATATTTGATCGCGCCTCAAGCTTTAAGACCCTTGATTGTTGCATTGCGTGGAACAGCCTGAGTGCAAAATGAACGTGGACACCGGAACCCCTTGATCGAATCAAAGTAAGATTTCATTTTCGAACCAGTACGGTTACCCACGTGACTACTTGAACATAAGGAAAGTTCGTGATGTTGACAAATTATTATAATTATCTCCAATGTGATTTTTACTAGCACTACTACCCCGTGCACCTGCAGAGCATCTTACACACGCATTCAGGTGTCGAACCCAACTTGAAAGTGGGCGTTTCTCGAGACAAGAACTCCATAGACTTTTGTAGCAGTAGATGGGGTGCTCGAACCTAATAAAGACTGGTTGCGAAGGGTGCGTTGAAGTACTCACAAGTAGTACTACAGAAAATATGCTATCAGTCAGAGCCTCGACGTTTCTATGCGGCGATTTGTCAAGGTTGTCTGGATTAAACGCTTTCGCCTGCGTGACTGATCACCCGCTCTGGCCAGCAGCCACAGTGGCTTGAACTTTTAACATACTCTGCAAATCAAAGCATAGACTAACATCTCAGTCATTATATCCGCGTGCCCGAGACAGACCCTTCTTCGACTGTGGAATCTCAACTCCCTGCTCCTTCCAGATCTCAATCTGGCGATCTTTCGCCACTTTACCTGTCCGGCTCTCGTAGTCTTCAACAGACTCGGGTTTCTCGCCACGAGGCGTAACTCTGAGCGCATGGCGAGTGTGAGGCCAGAAATCGAAAGTTGCGGTGTGAGTCACAATCTATTATCTGCTCAAACCTTACGCTCTTCGTCGAGTAGAAACAGCACTGACCCTGTTATCCCAAAATGCGACTGAATTCGGCTCCCAGTGGAAGCGCACGTGGAAGTCGACATTATCGGCGATCTGGTGGAACAAGAAATTGAGAATGGTGTCGGATTCGGGTTTGGGAACGCCGAGTATGCGAAGAGTAAAGCCAGGGTTGACATAAACGCTCTTCCAGCCGGTCACTGGATGGACGCGAACGACAGGATGTACGCTTTCGACAGGTTCGCGACGGACGTGGAGGCCAGCTGCGCGATATCCATCCGCTTGCGCGACGGCGCTGTGCAGAGCCGTAAGACCCTCGAGGTATACCTGCATGCCTGGACTGAGGGAGGAATAAAGAGCATAACTGTACGTGATCATCAGGATGACTTCTTTGCACGACGGACCATCTTTTGCTACTTACCCAGAGCTCCAGAGCGTGTCACCGCCATACTCGGGACCAGTAATCACCTTCAAAGACGTGGTACTTGGCGGTTGGACCTCATATGTCACATCGCTGTGCCACAGCTCGATCTTCGAAAACCCGCTAGCATCAGGACGTTGTGCAGCGTCATTGTAAACGACTGAAAGATAAAATTAATAGACATAGGTTTTCTGAACAATCCGACTCACCATGGACCTCCTCAAGTCCCGGTTCTCGAGGGATGGGGGTCGATGCATGCTTGTGAAGGGGTCCAAAGTATCTACCAACGTCGAGCTGCTCGTGGATACTGAGCTCCTGGTCTCGGAAGACTACGCAGGGATGTGTTAGTTATCCCAATAGTAGACCTGTTTGTGCCTATTCAGGTTCACTCACAAACAACGCCTCTCTCCGCAACAAGAAGGGCGCTGGCAAAATAAACTCATTAAAATATAGTTGCAGTCGTGTAGATGACACTCACAGTTCGTCCTTTTGCTGATTCGTTAGTTGGCGGAGGTCGATACCAACGAGTTCTGTGCCAATGGCGGGTGTGAGGTGTTTCACTTTCTGTGCAGCACTGAAGAGAGCAGTCTTGCTTGGGTCTGCAAAGTGGCCGCGGTCGGTGACCTCGATTTCTGTGAGCGGTTCCCACTCCACAACAGGGAATTGGGGCTTGGTGAAACATCAGACTTTGCCTGCGAGATCGAAATCCAAAGTCACTCACCTTGTACTTGGCATATTGGTAGTCGTCGTTCTCGGTCTCCACAGTGGGCGAGAAGAAGGGATTGAATAACTGAGTGTCCTCTGTTGGCTTATTGGCTTGAGCTTTCTTCAACTCCGCAACACTGCCGATAGTTGCATTGCCGCTTTCCTCGCTGATAGCTACCGGTGCCATGCTGTGGTGATTTAGAAGGGAAGAATCTGGTGTTAGCTTCTGCATCGTGCATTTCTCCTACTTTTGTACTAGAGCAAAGAGATCAGGCGACCATTCCCGGAAACTCAATGCGGAATGTGGTGCCAGTCGAAGGCCTTATTGCGCAACCACATCACTCACTTGCCATTTTGGATACGATACAATCAAAGTAGGTATTTCGAGCCACATGATGACGATCGGTGCCTTTCTGCATTCTTCGACGGACGACCCGGTTCTAGAGGGGCCTTCGGCTGTATGGCAACGCGTCCATCGCGATGATCAAGGCAATAGTAGATTTCCGTAGTCTTGTAGTGAGTTGAGACACTTAATATTATGATAACGATGACTCTTGCAGTCACCTGTTAGAGCTTTGTATTAAATTTAGCAAAAGAAGGACGTACAAGCAGCTACACCTCAAATGTCCATTTCGTGGCGGTCCGGTTTGAGCGCTGAGCGTCAAGTACACCACAGCACCTGTGCGGGGCCCGTTGCAGCACAGCAAGTGATCGGGTATAAATATCGATAGGAGCATGCAGTTCTAGGCTAAACAATTATATCCGACGTCATGTCCAAACGATTAAGAGCTTGGTTCTGAGACTAGGAATCCGACCAGGCATGCATCAAGCATGTGCATGAAGTCCGCATCCGCCCACGCATGTGTCAGGGCTAGATTGTCCCGCTCAAGGATGCAGCCCATACGAAGATGTGAGTACTCACAAAGCAACTTGATTCCATCTCCGCCCGATGCTCTGACGAGCTCCTTCTCGCCACCCGGGTGATGTGGAGGTAGGGTGGTATTATAAACCTTTCCATTGATCGTTGTCCAAGCATCCTCTTTTTTGTTGTGTGACTTGAGCACAGATGATGGGATGCGCATGGATGTATCGACTTGGTTGTGCATAAGTCTGGCCAGATGCGTTGAGATTTCCCCAATCGACAGGATCAAATCCAGGCGCTCAAGTCACTTTATCCCGGAAGGTCGTCGTAGGTGGTCATAGGTGCAAGAAGAAATCCGCGTTTCGAAAATGAAATCATCTTTGGTGGATTTGGGATGGATTTCGACTACTAGTCAAGCGGTAACATGAGTCGGACTTTCAAACACGCATAACGCGCACCTCGTTTGAACAATTTAGGGTACTACTCTTGTTTACTGGCAGTACATAGCTCTTTGCACAACGTTAAAATACAAACGGTCAACAACTCGAAAGCCCATCAAACACCTTGTTGCGAAAGTCCACAAGAAGGTCAATGGTGTGTGAACACCAGATATTGGAGACTTGGACTCGAACAACTAAAACAACACTCCTACTTGACGACATGCCTATAATGCGAAATTAAATCTTCAACACAAGGCCAGGATCCACCTTCGACACGAAGCACGCGCAAATTGGGAAGCGTGAGTGCATTGAACAAGCGAACCAATGGTACTGCTGGGTGAAAGGGGCCGCGTACATTGCCTTGGATGGAGAGTAATTGAATGGTGGAGTGGGTAAACGGTTCGCAGGGCAGGCCGTCGTCGACGAGCATCTCGATTTTTAACGAGGAGAGGGTGGGAAATTTTTGGAGTAAATTTATGATGTTGGTTGGGTTGCTTTTATAGAGGTCGATATTTGTCAAGTTGAGGTGAGATAGGCGCTCAATGGCGTGGCAATCCAGCGCTTCAAAATTCAGACTGCGCAGAGTGAAGAGTCGCGAGATGGCTGTCAAAACAGGTGATAGTGTGTCGCGTGTTTTGAAAAGGGCATGTATGACGACCTGAAGCTCCTGAAGTGCCGGGAGGTCACTTAGCAAGATTTCGGGTGCGACAGCCCTCAGGCTAGCGCTGTCAAACTCGACTTTGAGAGAGAAAATCTGAGAAGTGTAAGGTTGCAAAAGCGTGCGTAGGTCGGTGGTGTCATTTTTGATGCGCGTGATTTCTAAGGAGAGGGGGCGTCCTTGTGCGCGCTTGAGCCACGAGTCATAGCAGAAGACTGCCTGTCGCCAGTTCCAATAGTCGATTTTCATGGTCAGTCTGCACCACAAGGAGGGCATGTCTAACGCAACCTCTCTCCAGCGTCGGCATATTCTGGTGAGTAACATAGGAGGTGATTTTGAGTTGGGGGGCAACATGTAGTCGGTTTGGGGAAGATGGATAAAAATATGACATAGGACTTCAGTTGGCAAGCGGCACAGATCGAATACAGGCTCCTCGTGCAGGTTCATTATGGCGACCTTCTTTTCGGTCAGCTTCTGGAGAAGATACTTCGTGCTCCTAGTGACAGGTCTGATAGGGTGTGCTTCAACTGTGAGCTCGAAGTGAAACTGATCGGTGTTCAATGGAAATCTGGCCATCGTCAACGTGATTCATCATATGGGAATGAATGCACAGTTACCTATACCCAACTGAAGCTGACAGGGCGCGATGTGTTGCGACGTATGATGTGCACGAGCCTAAGGGTACTTGTTGGTCCGAGTCAGAGTTCTCTGAGAGCTGAGAGGAGTTAGGGGCGTACTATTTATTTGGTCGTAACCCGGCGTGACGTGCATGTGACGTGCCACTGAAGCACTCGCGCGCCAGAATATATTCTACATTTGAAATTTGACAGTCTCGGATGAAGTTGCACGTACGAGGTTCATGACCATTCCTTCGTTATTTTATTCATCGTAGGGACACATACCACTAGCTACACTCACATCGGCCAATGATTATTTTCTTTTGCCTCCCTCTCCGAACCATCTGCGAAGTATGTCGACGTTTAATGGGCACATATTCTGCAGTCAGCAGCGGAGGGCAACATTTCATGGGTGCAATTTCTCTAGCCTGTAGCGAGGGAGCGACAATTCGTCTACAAACTCTGAAAATGTGGTATCAGAGATATGGTCAAATAAAGGGCATCACTCAAGAGACCTATTGAACAGAGCAGATAATATTTCCCTTGAATAGTGATTCTGTGGTTGTGCTGTGACGGACAGTTGAAGTACTGACGCGTAGGGTAAGGTTTGATGCGGCATGTGGGAGTGACGCGACACTGACAAGGCGTAGGTGTGGCAGTTGGAGTGCTAAGATCTGAGATCTAAGATTTGACATGGCATGAAAGAGGCTTTATGACGCGGTCGTGACGTGTCATTCACAATGCATTGACGCTGCATAGGACACTGCATCTGAAAACTAACATTAGAGAAGCAATGCCACGACTCGGAGATACACACTACATTCCCGAGTAGCCCGAACACAGCACAAGCACTGTATAAAAAGTGAATGCAGCACTAGATCCAGGGCCAGTTTATGCAGATGGACACTCGTTGATGATCAACGAGGATTCAAGTTGAACATGATTTGTACCAAGTGCCGCCACCTAGAGAGGGAACACGCGTGGGAATATTTCTGTATGACTTCTTTTAAAAAGAAGAGGCCGCCGCCTAGCGCTTCACATCGAGGTCCAGACTCCTTGGACCATATCTGAATCGAAGCCACCAAGAGCTGCTATGACATTGAACAAGATCACTTTTCACCTGGCAAGTTCTCCAGCCTGAGATTCCTGTCTCGATAGTAAGCACACCGCAGTGATCATCCAGCCTAAAGATATCCACGCACAGATGAAGCAGCCACGAAATTCCGTGATCGTCGCAAAAGCAAAGACAAGATCTGATAAAAGAACGATAAGGATCTCCAAGATCGATTAGATGCCACGTTTTCGAGAATGACATGTTGACGCCCTTCAATCGATCGAGATTTATGTTTTCTACTTCAGCTTCCACCCCGATCAATCTAGATCTATCTCTGCTTCCAAGTCTTCTTAGATCTCGACTTCGTAAGTAGGAATACTGCTTTGATATATATACGTACACTATGCACTACGATTCAAAACAAAAACTATCATCATCAGAAAGAAAATCATCGTATCTGGGCAACAGCCAAGAAAAAAATTACAAGTTCATTACTGAACCAAATCATTATATGCGATATACATATAGAACAAAACAGGTGGTGCAGGGGTGATGGAAGATGCAAAAGATAAGATGAATTACAAGAGCGAATTTGGAAGCAAAGTCTTGAAAGAAGTCAGAGATGGACAGTGCGATGCGTAATACAAAGAACAACACGGAAAACAACTTGGTGAGATATGCAAAGGAAATTGAAAAAACCGATGTGATCAGTACAAACCTCGTGAGATCACCATGTGATATCATCATAACCAGCACGATTAGGTATAGCCTTTCAGCCAACCATGCATTATCATCGTACCCCTTCCTTAGTGTGGGTAACGATAGTCCTAAAATTATCAACTCTCCAAACATCACTGCCTCAGCATCGAATGTGACTGATTGGCAGCGGGCAGGTACCAAGGCGGCGTAGGCGGTGGTACGAGTCGAGACGGAGGGTGGTGCACAGACGTTTGGTGGTGTCCTTGCGCGGACGTAGATTGATGATGTCCTTGCGCCGACCCAGATTGATGGTGCCCCTGCGCCGTAGATTGGTGATGTCCCTGCGTCGTAGATTGATGATGTCCTTGCGCCGACCCAGATTGATGATGTCCTTGCGCAGTCGGCTGATGATGCCCTTGATTCTGTTGAGAGGCAGGCGGTGCTGCAGGCGTATGTGACGCAGCAGGTGGGTGACGCGATGTAGATCCCGATGACGAATTACCACTTTGATGAGTCACAGAAGGAGTCGTGTGATGGGATATCGATGGCGTTTGATGGTGTTGCACAGACGGCGTTTGGTGGTGCGCAGACGGCGTCTGATGGTGCGCAGATGGTGTCTGATGGTGAGCAGACGGCGTTTGGTGGTGCGTAGACGGCGCTTGGTGGTGCTGCACAGATGGCGTCGTATGATGAGACATGGATGGCGTCTGTCCAGATGGATGATGCGAAACGCCCGCAGATGGATGTTGCCCGCCCATAACTCCAGGGGACTGCATCACTCGAGTCGACGACGGACGCTTCGAGTGCGCAGGGCGTGGAGGACGCGTATACGTCCCCCCTGCGCTCGATTGCGAATTCATATTAGGATCTTGATCCTGCATCGCATCGCCGGCGTCCGTGTTGATCTGGAACGAGCCTTGATGGATCCCTAAATTCATCTTGTCGTCTCCTCCGCCGTTACTATTCCCACCCCCACTTCCGCTGCCACTGCCATGTCCGTTTCCACTAACTGAATTCATGACGGCTCCACCCGCAGATCCGCCTCCTAATGCAGCGCGGCCACCCTTGTCGGCATCAGCAGCTCGCGCACTTGCACGAAGCATCTCCATATCGATGCGCTGGATTGATGGCGTCTCCCCGTTTGCAAGGGCTTTCTCGCGCTTACGCACGAGCTTCGCGTAGTCTGCGAGCGCGGATGGGTTGTTGAAGTGGGTCCAAGGCGGGTTAGAATACACATGACCAAAAAAACACATCGAAAGAGAGCCATCAACAACCAATCCCACAAAAGAAAAAGTCACATACGCAACCCACAAGCATTACACAACGTCCTTGCACCATCCGGTCCCCGTCTCCACTCTGGCGTCTCCCGAATATTGCAGGAATGGCATTTTCCAGGAGGTGTCGCGCGCTATCCACCGTACCACCCAGTCAGCACCGAATACTGTCCAAGTAAAAAACATAAAACGACTCACACTCCGCTTCCGATACTTATTCTTCCCTCCACTCCCTCCACCCCCATTCCCACCCAGCGCAGCAGCGGCCGCCATGGTCGTCAGCGCTCTCTTGGTCCTTATGAGTTCCATATCTGCTTCAGCCATCGATCGGTCTTGATCCTGTGCCCCACCCAAACCCGTAGCCGTTCCAGGAATCTGCGCCGCTCCTAACCCCGATGGAGATGCGAGAGGAACAGGAACGTGCCCTGCCGATGAAGATGGGGCGATACCAGGCCCAGATCCAGGAGGTAGCATACCTTCTACATCCTCCCAAGGCCGCTTCGGCGCCCGATCTGGCGCATCGATGTCCATTATGCCCATTCCTAGACTGGAGCTCGAGTTTATGTGTCCTTTGACGGCTGCTTCTAGAGCGTGGGGGTGCACTGAGACGAGTGCGTGGGGTCCGGGTGGGGAAGTAAATGCGGATGCAGAGAGAAGGGAGGATGGGAAGATGGGGATGTCGTTTCGGAGTGCTTCGAGAAGACGGACAACCTCTCCTGCACGGGCTGTCATTTCTGCGAGTTCTTCCGCAGGCGGTTGGAGATGTGGGTTGGAGGATTGGAGGGTGGCTGTGGAGGGGGTTAGTGTTGGGATTGGAGTGGGGGAGGGTACAAAAGAATTAAAGGAGACAAGATGGGAAACTCACAATAATGATCTGCAAATTTATATAACGCCGTACAATGCTGAACGATCTAGAGAACCAACGTCAGCATCGCGTCCATACTCATCCCCCACGATCAAACGCAAGACAAACAAACCAAGAGAAAGAAAGACTTACCTCTCGAATGACATCGTCCTTGCTCATCCTATCACCTCCTGCAACCCTTTGAGATCCTTGAGACTGGGACTGGGACTGAGACTGAGAAATGAAGCCCGTAGATCTCGCTGGACCTTCCAACATCATAGGCGGTCTTGGCTGTGATTCGAGTACCGCAGGTCTTTGCTGAGGCTCAAATGGCGTAGGTCTCACTTGCGACTCGAGAACCGTAGATCTTGATTGAGACTCAAACGTCGATCTTGGTTGTGGCTCGATCATCGTCTGCCTCTGAGGCTCAAACGTCGGTCTTGGCTGAGACTCGAAAGCCGGAGGTCTCGCCTGCGTCTCGAATACTGGTGGTCGTGTCTGCGTCTCTAAATTCGTCTGCCTCGGCTGCGGCTCAAACACTGCCTGCCTGCCTTGCGTCTGTGTCTGCGTCTCCACCCCTGCTCCCCTGACCTGCGACTCGAACGCTGGTGGCCTCTGTGACTCGAACGCCGGTGGCCTCTGCGTCTCCATACCCACACTCCTCGGCTGCGTCTCCATGCCCACACCCCTCACTTGCGTTTCCAACCCACTCCTAGTCTCCACTGCCACAGGTCTCGCATCGCTCACCGACTGCCTCTGTAGTAAAGTAGGCCTGACTTCCACCGCACGTGGCTCGACCACACCTAAATTACGATCGTTGGAAGTCGTTCCGCGGTGCTCGCGTGAAGGTTGAGGTTGTGAATGAGAGTGAGGCGGCTGTGATTGTGGCTGTGATTCCAGCACGGACGAACGTTGATCTACCCTTGGTTGTTGTGCATCATGCGAATAACCCAATTGCTGCTGCTGCTGCTGCCTTTCCCCCGGATACCCTCTCGCCTCCGTCTGCGAATAATTACGTTCTACAGGGGGAGGCGGTGCATACGGTCTGGTATCCTGCGCTGGGGGATAGGCAGGCGTGGGTGGAGGGTATGTATTTCGGGCCTCTTGGGTAGGGGTGTATCGCGTGTCCTGCGTTTGGGGCTGCGGTGGACCTGGCTGCGGCGGAGGTGGATAGGCCCTTGATTCTTGAGGATAGGGACGGCCATGCGCGTCATAAGTTGGACGGCCATCCTGAGGGGGATAGCGCGGATCCTGATAGGCCCTCTCGATTTCGGGGCTTGTCTGATAGCCCCGTTGATCAGCTGGATAGGCCCTCTGGGGATCCGGATAGCGGGGGTCTGGGTATGTCCTCGTATCTTGTGCTGGGTAGGTTGCACGTGCGTCGTATCTAGGGTCGGGAGTTGTGGTATAGGGTGGGCGTGGATGGTCTTGGGTGTAGCGCGGGTCCTGTGGATAAGGACGTGCGTCTTGCGCATATGGGCTATAAGTGGCGCGTGCTTCTGCTGGAGTGTACACGCTTCGATCGTCTGGTTGTTGTGGGTCACGTGGTGGGTGTGGATAACGGGGGTAGGATGTTGTTCTGTCGTGAGCGAATGGGAGAGTCTTGTCGTCTATGAAATTTCTGGTTGAACTTGTCGTGCTTGTTGTACTTTCTGCTGTTGTTGGTGGTACGTAGTGGAAGGAAGAGTTTTGAAATTGCTGATATGAAGTTCTGTGAGGACGTGCAGAGATTGGAGTTGGATAGGCTGTTGGATCTAGTGTTGTTGGTACTAGGGGAGTTGTACGAGCGAATTGCTGATTTGGTGGCCATGCAGCGCTTAGTGGGGTTGGGTATACTGTATCTTGTTCTGTTGTTGTGTGTGCTAGTTGTAATGATTTTATTGGTGGTAGTCTGACTTGAACTTCTGCCGTTACTTGAGGTCTTGCACGACGAGCTGGCGAGGCCATAGATCTCCGATCTGAGACCAGATACCCGATCTAATATTTGACCTGAAAAAAAAACAAAATATAAAACCGTTGCCAGCCGTACAAACGTCGTTGACAATTGAAACTTTGAACGAGAAGACGAGGAGGCAGCTGGGGTGAAGGGCGTTCCCTGCGTTTTTACTAACAAAAGCGGAGAATCAATACAAAACACGTGGACTATCTCGGATCTAGCCTCACCAAAAACACGTTCCAACAGCCAACGAGCCCGACGATGAGCTCGATGATTAGCACGATGAGCACGGATGTGAGTACGTAGTGAGCACAAAATGAACAACGTCGTTCGCTGAGAATTCGCTCAATCTAGATAAATTCAAATAAAAAAAACTTGTTTTTACCAGACAAAATCGGCGATCCGATTCCCGATAAAGATTCCCGCTCGTCGTACGTTCGGGAATTTCTCGATTCGTCACACATCGGCCATATCGCCGGAATCTTCATAGCACTTTACGATATTTCCGATCTCGTAGCGATCTCGTCCCTTTATTTTATAACGAGCCCCCCCGACTCAAGCCCGGCCGCTCGTTGTCCCTTGGCTTTCGTCCGGGACCCTCCCTCCTCGACACAGATATCCAACTGTCTAAGTACTTCATCCAGGTGACTACCTTGAGTACTTCTTCAACGTCATGGTGTCATCGGCCATCCGGTCTTCCAAATCACTCACAGTTCTTAGGTCGTCATCGTTTTTACTTGATACAAACAATCATCGTTGACTCTATTTCAGTGATGCGTGGGTTCATACCAGTAACAACATTCAACTGATCTGGATATCAGACGATCCGATGACTCGACGATCTTACATCTCCACTCTTCACGCACAATTCGTTACTACTTCTCTGCGCCCCATGGTATGGGGCTTGGCGATCCTGCATGATTTGGGCGGCGTGCTAGGGAGTCGCTAGGTGGGACACACTCCAGAGCGATTGCGATCAATGTATCTTCAACATTCAGATTGTCGTTATCGCTCTAGTCATCGCTCAATATCTCTCGTAGCCATTGGTCGACGGAAAACTTGGATGAACTACCCGTGTAAGTTTGTAGGTTGATTATGTAAAATTGACCTTCAAAAGTCTTAGGTCCGTTTCCGCTCATATCCGCGATCCTACATTCATTTAGCAGAAAGGGCTCGACTCATAAGTGCTATCGAAGGTAGACCTCGTGGAGAAGGGCCATCAGCGAGGAAGTCAGCCACTCTAAGGCCTCCCAGCTAGGCACACCTTGAACAGGAGACATGTAGGTTCTAACAAGGTTTAACTCATCAATTCCCTCAATCTAGATGAATAAGAAAAACTTGTAATGCTTATAACATCGGTGATCTAATTCCCGATGACATGCTTCCGTTGTCGTTCGTGTCGTCGTCCTAATGTACGTTCTTCCAGGATTCGTATCATCATACATGCCTTATCTAGCCCGGCATCTATTCGTGGTTCTATTTGGTGCGGGGCTTTAACCATCACGCCGGTTGTCCATAATCGAACATGTATTCTAATCCCGCCATCGATGCACTTCGCGTCTCTATCGATAGTACCTGCAGGAATAGCCACTTTCCGGAAATCCTGCGTGCAATATATAAATATATCACCGGTCACCGGCACCCACCCTTATTGGTCGTTGCAACAGCTCACGTGCGAGACATCACGCTATTCTTCAACGTTGCTGCAGAGTATCTTCGAATTTCCCCGTTTCTCACACTCTATCAGATACTTCTTTCAAGTCATCATTTGCTTGCCCTAGGACTGTGATCCACGTCAATGGGGGTACGGATGCATATCTGTATCTCGTTCAGTGCTTTACTTTGATGGTCGTGTTAAGCAGGGCCTCCAACATAATATCGCAGTCGATTCCTCAGTAGTTTGATAGGTACGCTTGAGGCCTTCTGACATTTTCTTATTCTCCACTTATCACTCAGAAGATCCGATATCCTTGTGATGCTCATTCGCGGGAGAGACGTACAGTCGAGCCATGAGTGTACGCGATTCATTCATTTCTTTTTCCGTGGCCCATCGCATAGAGGAAATTGCATCTGAGCACCCACCATTCTGCAGACCCCATATCCTTGTCATCCTCATTCGCAAGAAAGACGTAATCGAACCATGAGTCTAAGCGATTCATTCATTCTCCGTAGTCCATCGGATGGAGGAAATCGCATCTGAGTACCGATGAGTTATCAGCCATCTGGCTTCCCGGTTCGCAGTATCTATATATTCAGTGAAACTCCACAAACGCGCAAATGTCAGGGCACTTTCACTGATCCTCATTGTTGTATTTTAACATCGGTCACCAAAGACCAGTTTGGTTGCTAGTCGTTCCGAATAATTTCCCCTTACCACTTAGTTCAGACACGGGCGTTTCGTTCCAGTAATGATACCACAATATATAAATAGGTTTGCCTGAACCTTTTACATAAATATACTTCGAAACACAATATGTTAAATAAATACCACGATGGATCCTCCACTAAATTTTGCCTCCCTGCAGACAACTTGGTCCCTACATAGTACTACTAGTCGATACATGTACATGCTCCTGGAAAACAATCGAATTCATGCTAGTTCCTGTGTCCGAGCCTGCCACGAGTTTGGCGTGGTATTCTCGAACGCTCAGGATGAGGCGTGGTCCCAGCACAAACCTCTGCGCAACGGATAAAATTTGAAGAGTACCTCCGAGTATCGAAAATCCAATAGAACTCGAATTCTACAACAAATGATGAGCAATGTTGACATGCAGATGTTGGCGACAGGTCAGCGCACCAAGATTTCTGGAAATAGTAAAGCAAGCTGGAGGACAGAGACACCAACAAAGCTAACATGTGCAGAACTTGAGCAGAAAAATATAATCGTGTTCACATTACAAGCTCACCTTGCAAAATAAAGAACGTGGGATTGTATCAGCACTCTGAAACAGTCCCCGATGGTCGATCCTGTCGATGGGCCGAGTCGTCGCAGCTCACGGAAGTGTTTTACAGCAACCCAGACTGAAAGACACAATGCGAGGACCTCCCATGCAGTGTTGAGAATCCAAATCATTGAAAGAAGAAGCTGGTTGTACCCAACCACAGAAAAACATGCATGCATGCCCGAGAGTATGAATTCCTCTGGTGTTTGTCCAATGAGCTGTGTTTTTCAAGTCAACAAGTACAACTTACCGAGTACAAGATTGTTTATTCCTATTGCCCCAATTACTCCGCAGGCGATGTTTACAGCCAGGAAGATAATAACAAGGAACATAAGCATCTTTTTAAATCCCTGATACATGGCATACAAACGAGCAATCATGATCACTTGCACCGTGTGTCAGTCAGGTCAATATCAGAGGTATTGCACCCGGTAACTCACCGGCCAACATGGCATTCATGGCCAAAATTGTGCCATTTATTGCGTAGTACGTGATATTGCCTAAATCTCGCAATTAGTGAACGCCCTCGCACTAGTAGCAAAGACTCCGACTTACACCTATTGAGTCATTATGTTGAGCCAAGTTCAGTGGTTGGAATCTTACTCACCCCTACACATAAGCGTATTGATTGGATGGGAATGAGATAGTTGCAGAATACTCACTGCATCTGTCAGCAATACCGATGGCATAATTTCTGTGTCTCGCCAGTCAGAAAATGGAACACAGCGCATATGAGACATACGCAGAAGATTGACACTAGTTGTCAGAGATGAGGTATTAGCACAGTGCAAAGTTGTTGGTCTCGACACATACACAGAATATGGTATTCCAATATAGCGTATCTAGAACATTTTGGAGTCAGCACAAGTTGCCCACCACGCTAAAGCACAACACGAAGTACAAACAGTCAAATACAGCACGGTCATGAGAGACCAGCGTTGTCTCTGTCGCGAATTCATTGCATGCTCTTGTTTTCTTCTGATACGGAACTCTTGTGACTCACCCAGATGAGTTCAATCTATGACACCATTCTCAGTGAGATGGCTGCTGCGGCGATGATATCGACGTACCTCTTTTCCGAGCGTTAAGACTGGAAACAACATGAGAATATCAGCGATCTTCGAACATTGTCCTGCTCACCCCAATCATATACCACCACGATGCCAGCAGCAACTGCAAAACCGCAAGTCAACGTTGGATCCAGACATCTTTATGCAACAAACCTGTCCAATAGCTTAAAAGAATAATGAAATTGATATACGGCCAGTAACTGGGATCATTTGAGACGTAGGTCATGTTCGAGGGATGGGTGTGAGCGAGTGGGGAAGTTTAGTGGTGTATAATGACAGCGTTCGTGCAAGATATATTAACCGTTCAGTGCTCAGCCCTTGTTGGAGATGGATTTTTGCTCACGCCTCAAGACCCTCGATTGAGTGAAACGGTGCAAAGTTAATCAAGAACCTGTCAATCAAAATAAATTTTGATTTTCAAATCAGTATTACGCACAGGACTACTTGGACACCAGGAAAGTTCCAGTCGTTGGTGATGTCGGCAACTTCTTTGAAACGCGTGTTTTTGCTGCAAGGTGGCAAAAATCAAGAAGTTCCCCATGAAATCATGTAGTCATCGATCTAACACAGGTCGAGCTGTGATATGCGTGAAACAAGTATTTACGTACTCTTCAGCATCGCTGGCTGAGCTCAAGGCGTAACAGCCCTACGAGTACTCTTATGGAACAAGTGTCATTCTGCGGAACTCGGACAAGAAATCGTAGCAGAGTGGGTCGAATATATCTCACTTCGTCCGTCGCCTGGTACGCTCGAATAATTGGGCTATCATGATTTTATCAAAACGATGAACAAAGAGATGGTAAGCATATAGAGCGAATTCGATACAAGCGCACTTGGTATCATGGTGATGCAGATGTATTGTACTGCCAGATACCTCCTGATTCGTGATTGATAGATGTTGGATACTTATACGCCACCATCGGAGGAAATTGCACACGGGAGACAATAAAGCTGCAACACGCCAGAAGGCTGATTTGTGATTGTACAGGCTCATATCGATGGCATCGTGTTTCAGTAAACATCTATCCTGCCAAGAGTGAGACCTGTCGTTCCTGTTTAGGTCCGTCCTGTGTCGGCACAGATCAGTGTCAAATACATGAAAGCTATGATATAGTTACTTGTGGCGACACCAAATTACAGCGACGAATCAAGGCTTCAGAATTGCTATCGACGGAGAAACGGAAACGAGAGTTGAAAGAAACTTCTCGAAGGGTCGAGGTTCAAAGGTGCCGTTTTTTAATTGATACAAACAATCATCGTTGACTATATCAGACGATCCGATGACTCACCGATCTTACATTCTACATCCACTCTTCGAGCACAATTCGTTACTACTTCTCTGCGGCCCAGATGAATGATAGGATGGGCTCGGCGATCCTGCATGGTTTGGGCGGCGTGCTGGGAGTCGCCAGGTGGGACGCACTCCAGAGCGACTGCGATAAATAAATTAAGATTTGTTAGTAGCCATTGGTCGATGGAAAACCTGGATGAACTATCCGTGTAAGCTAAAGTGAGTTTGTAGGTTGATTATGTAAAATTGACCTTCAAAAGTCTTAGGTCCGTTCCGCTCATATCCGTGATCCTACATTCATTTAGCAGAAAGGGCTTCGAGTAAGTGTTAGACCTCGTGGAGAAGGGCCATCAGTGAGGAGGTCAGCCACTCTAAGGCCTCCCAACTAGGCACCCCTTGAACAGGAGACATGTAGGTTCTAACAAGGTTTTAACTCATCAATTCCCTCAATCTAGATGAATAAGAAAAACTTGTAATGCTAATAAAATTGGCGATCTGATTCCCGATGACATACTTTCGTTGTCGTTCGTGTCGTCGTCCTAATGTGCGCGCGTCTTCCAGGATTCGTTTCTTCATCCATGCCTTATCTAGCCCGGCATCTATTCTAGGTTCATCTATTTGGTGCGGGGCTTTATAACCATCACGCCGGTTGTCCATAATCGAATCGAACACGTATCCTAATCCCGCCATTGATGCACCTCGCGTCTCCATCGATAGTACCTGCAGGAATAGTCGCTCCCCGGAACTTTATTCTCATACTGCGTGCAATATATAAATATATCACCAGTCACCGGCACCCACCCTTATCATTGGTCGTTGCAACAGCTCACGGGCGAGACATCACGCTACCCTTCAACGTTCCTGCAAAGTATCTTCGAATTCGTTTCTCACACTCTATCAGATACTTCTTTAAATTTCAAGTGATCATTTGCTTGCCCTAGGACTGCGATCCATGTCAACGTGTGTGTATGCATGGTCTGTATCCGTTCGTTGCTTTACTCTAATAGTCGTGCTTGGCGAGGGCTCCAACAGAATATCGTGGTCGACGCCTGCGGCCTCATCAGTAGTTGCTAGTTTGATAGGTACGCTTGAGGCCTTCTAACATTTTCTGATTCTCCACTTATCATCAGCAGACCCATATCCTTGTCATGCTCATTCGCGAGAGAGACGTACAGTCGAACCACGAGTCTATGAGATTCATTCATTTCATTCTCCGTGGCCCATCGCATGGAGGAAAACACATCTGAGCACCGAGTTATCAGCCATCTTGTTCCACGATTCGCAGTATCTATATGTCCAGACAGTAGAACACCAACGCGCAGAATCAGTTGTCGAGGCACGTTTACTGATATTCGTTGTATTTTAACATCGGTCATCAAGGACCAGTTTGGTTGCCAGTCCTTCCGTTCCAGTAGTGATACAACAATAAATAGCTTTGCCTAGACCTTTCAAATAATACCGAGACGGATCCTGCACCAAATTTCTCCTCCCTGCAGACCACTCGACACGCATTTCCCTACACAGTACTGCTAGTCGATACATGTACATGCTCCTGGAAAACAATCGAATTCATGCTAGTTTCTGTGTCGGAGTCTGCCACGAGTTCGGCGTGGTATTCTCGAACGCTAAGAATAAGGCGTGGTCCTAGCACAAACATCTGCACGACCGATAAAATTTGAAGAGCACCTTCGAGTGTCTCAGTTCCAATAGAAGATGAATTCTACACAAACGATGAGCGGTGGTTACACACAGATATCAGCAACAGGTCAGCATACCCATATTTCTGGAGAGAAAACAGCAAGATGGAGGCAAGAGGTACAAACAAAGCTAACATGTGCGGAACTTGAGCAGAAAATATAACCACGTTCACATTACAAGCTCACCTTGCAAAATAAAGAACGTGAGATTGTATCAGCACTTTGAAACAGTCCCCGATGGTCGATCCTGTTGATGGGCCGAGTCGTCGCAGCTCACGGAAGTGTTTCACAGCAACCCAGACTGCAAGGCATAGTGCGAGGACCTCCCAAACAGTGTTGAGCATCCAAACAATCGAAAAAAGAAGCTGCTTGTCCCCATCGATTCCATAATCGCACGTACGCTTGCCAGAGAGTATGAACTCCTCTGGCGTTTGTCCAATGAGCTATGTTCTTCAAGTCGACAAGTACAGCTTACCTAGTACAGTACCGTTGAGTGTTATTGCCGCGATTACTCCGCAGGTGATGATTACAGCCAGGAAGACAATAACAAGGAACATAAGCATCTTTCTGGATCCCTGATACATGGCATACAACCGAGCAATCATGATCACTTGCATCACGCGTCAGTCAGGTTAATATCACAGAGGTATTGTAACTGTAACTCACTGCCCAACATGGCGGTCAACGCCAAATTTGTCAGATTTATTGCATAATACGTGATAGTGCCTAAAAACTTCCAATTAGTGAACGCCCTCGCACTAGTGTCAAAGACTCAGACTTACACCTAGTATTGAGTCATTATGTTGAACCCAGTTCAATGGTTGGAATCTCACTCACCCCTGCATATGAGCGTATTGACTGGATGGGAATGAGATGGTTGCAGAGTACTTACTGCATCTGTCAGCGATACCGATGGTATAATTTCTGTGTCCCGCCGGTCAGAAAAATGGAACACAGAGCATATGAGACATACCCAGAAGACAGAGACTGGTTGTCACAGATGAGCTATTAGCACAGTGCAAAGTTGTGGATCGCGACACATACCCAGAATACGGTATTCCAATATAGCGTATCTAGAACATTTTGGAGTCAGCACAAGTTTCCCACCACGCTAAAGCACAACACGAGTACGAACAATCAAATACAGCACGGTCATGAGAGACCAGCGTTGTCTCTGTCGCAAATTCATTGCATGCTCTTGGTTTCTTCTGATACGGGACTCTTGTCACTCACCCAGATGAGTTCAATCTATGACACCATTCTTAGCGAGTTGGCTGCTCCGCCGATGACATCAACGTACCTCTTGTCCGAGTGTTAAGACTAGAAATATCATGAGAACATCAGCGATTTTAGAACACTGTCCTGCTCACCCCAATTGTATACCACCACGACGCCCGCGGCAACTGCGAAACCTTAAGTCAACTTTAGATCTGGATATCTTGATGCGACACACCTGTCCAGTAGCTGACAAAAATATTGAAATTGATATACGGCCAGTAACTGGGATCATTTGAGATGTAGGTCATGTTCGAAGGATGGCTGAGCGAGTGGGAATGTCAGTGGTGTATGACGATAACGTTCGTGCTAAATGCACCACCGTTCAGCGCGCAGCCCTTGTACTATCACCAAAATCAGCATGGTAACAATGGAAATTTGGTCACGCCTCAAGACCCTTGATCAAGTGATACGGCACGAAATCGATCTAAAAGCCGGCAATCAAAGATTTTGATTTCCAAATCAGTATTACGCACGGGACTACAGCTTGTTCCAGTCGTTCGTGCGCGTGATGTCGGAAACTTATCTCCAACGCGATTTTTGAGGTGTTTTTGCTGCGAGCTTGCAAAAAATGGAGGATTCCCTATGAAATCCTGTAGTCTTCGATCTAACACAGTTCAAAATGTGATATGCGTGGAACAAGTATGGACACACTCTTCGACATCGCTGGCTGAGCTCGAGGCGTAACGGCCCTCCAATCAAGGTTCATTCTGCGGAACTCAGACAAGAAACCGTGACAGAGTGGGTCGGATATATCTCACCTTATCTATCACCTAGCACGCTCGAATAATGATTTGTACAGCCTGATACATGCTAATTCGTGGTTGATTGGGGAAATTGCAAGCGGGAGACTAGGGTATAGCACGGTATATCCGCGGGTCGGAAGACGATCAACACCGTACCCATACGGGTACGGGTATAGTATTAGCCGTACTAACCCGCGGTCTGTGTAACACATAAGTTGTGATTCTAGCGAGAGCAATGGTGCACAACCTACCAGGAATACAAGTGCCGGCGCAAATTTAGATTTTTGTATCCTCGTTTGGGCGAGGAAATAGAGTAGTGATAGTATATGTGATAGTGAGACCTGGCAGGGCCAATTTCGCTGTGGTCCAGACTTGTGTGCTGATGTACGTTGGTCACCGGCTGTGTTCAGTAAAGCGCTGCTGGTTATGAGCCATGACCATCGTCCAGAGGAAGAACTGACCGTTTTGAGGGAGGAGGCTAAAGACACACACGATGCTGAGCACAATGAAACAATAAAACAAGAGTTTGCATTCGCGCACCCAACATAATACGAAGGATGCAACACCTCCATGTGTTCGCAGCCAACGTTGAAGCTTGGTTAGTGCAAACTTCGGTGTTTACCGAAAGATGTGTGCTAATCGTTCACTGCCGTTCCGGCAGCCGGAACTCCCACTTGTACCATTCTCTCTTGTTACCTCACTCGCATCGGACATGGCAGAAGATAATTGACCTGTGCGTGAAGTTCAACGGACAGGCACTACTAGTATGCCATCGAAACCAGAAGGAACGATTCTCGTATTTCAATGGTCTGCTAGAACTTATCAGCCATATGTGGCTTCACGATTCGCAGTATCTGTATGTCCAGACAGTGGAACACCAACGCGCAGAATTAGCTGTCAGGGCACTTTTACTGATTCTCGTTGTATTTTAACATCGCCCATAAAGGACCAGTTCCGTTGTTAGTTGCGGATAATTTCAGCTTACCACTTAGTTCACGCGCGGGCGCTTCGTTCTCGTAGTGATACAACAAGAAATAGCTTTGGCTAGAACTTTCAAATATACTTCGAAACCCTATATGTTAAATAAATACCATGACGGATCCTCGATCAAATGTCTCCTCCTGCAGACCACTCGGCAAGCATTTCCCTACACAGTACTGCTAGTCGATATATGTACATGCTCCTCGAAAACAATCGAATTCATGCTAGTTTCTGCGTCGGAGTATGCCACGAGTTCGGCGTGGTATTCTCGAACGCTAAGAATGAGGCGTGGTCCCAGCACAAACATCTGCACGACCGATAAAATCAAAAGAGTACCATAGAGAATCTGAGCTCCAATAGAATTTGAATTCTATAGAACCTATGAGCAGTGGTTACACGCAGATGTTGGCGACAGGTCAGCGCACCAAGATTTCTTTAGAGTAACAAGCAAGCTGGAGGCAAGAGACACCAAGAAAGCTAACATGTGTGGAACTTGAGCAGAAACATATAACTGCGTTCACATTACAAGCTCACCTTGCAAAATAAAGAACGTGAGATTGTATCAGCACTCTGAAACAGTCCCCGATGGTCGATCCTGTTGATGGGCCGAGTCGTCGCAGTTCACGGAAGTGTTTCACAGCAACCCAGACTGAAAGACACAGTGCAAGGACCTCCCAAACAGTGTTGAGGATCCAAACCATTGAATACAGAAGCTGTTCGTTCTCTCCAAGTGAATAATAGCACACACATGTGCCAGAGAGTATGAACTCCTCTGGTGTTTGTCCAATGAGCTGTGTTCTTCAAGTCGACAAGTACTAAAGCTTACCTGCTGCAGTATCGTTGAGTGCTATTGCCGTCATTACTCCGCAGGCGATGTTTACAGCCAGGAAGATAATAACAAGGAAGATAAGCATCGTTCTAGATCCCTGGTGCATGGCATGCAACCGAGCAATCATGATCACTTGCATCGTGTGTCAGTCAGATCAATATATTGCACCTTGGCAACTTACCGTCCAACATGACAATTAAGGCCATATTTGTCCCAGTTATTGCGTAGTTCGTGATAGTGCCTAAAATTCTCAATTAGTGAGTGTTCTCGCACTAGTATCAAGACTCCGACTTACACCTATGGAGTCATTATGTTGAGCCACGCTCAATGGTTGGAGTCTCACTCACCCCTACACATGAGCGTATTGATTGGATGGGAATGAGATAGTCGCAGAATACTCACTGCATCTGTCAGCGATACCGATGGCATAATTTCTGTGTGCCGCCGGTCAGAAAAATGGAACACAGCGCATATGAGACATACCCAGAACAATGCCACTAGTTGTCAGAGATGACCCGTTAGCACAGTGCAAAGTTGTTGATCTCGACACATACACAGAATACGGTATTCCAATATAGCGTATCTAGATCATTTTAGAGTCAGCACAAGTTGCCCACCACGCTGAAGCACAACATGAATACGAACAATCAAATACAGCACGGTCATGAGAGACCAGCGTTGTTTCTGTCGCGAATTCATTGCATGCTCTTGTTTCCTTCTGATACTGGACTCTTGTCACTCACCCAGATGAGTTCAATCCATGGCACCATTCTTAGCGAGTTGGCTGCTGCTGCGATAACATCGACGTACCTCTTGTCCCAGTGTTAAGACTGGAAATATCATGAGAACATTAGCGATTTTCGAACAGTCCTGCTCACCCCAATCGTATACCACCACGACGCCAGAGGCAACTGCGAACCTGCAAGTCAATGTTAGATCTAGACATCTTTATGCGACAGACCTGTCCAATAGCTGAAAAAAATATTCAAATTGATCCACGGCCAGTAAGTGGGATCACTTGAGACGTAGGTCATGTTCGAGGGATGGGTGTGAGCGAGTGGGGAAGGTTGGTGGTGTATAACGACAGCGTTCGTGCTAGATATACCACCGTTCAGCGTTCCTATCGCCAAAATCAGTATAATGGACATATATATTTGACCCCGCCTCGAGACCCTTGATCCGGTCAAACGGTTCGAAATCAAACAAAAAGCCCTGGATAATCCAAGTAGAATTTGATTTACAAACCAGTATTACGCATGCAACCACTCGGACACCAGAAAAATTCCAGTGGTTAGTGATATCGGAAACTTATTTCGAATGCCATTTTCGAGGTGTCCCGTAAGAAACCATGTGGCCATCGATCTAACCGTGGTGTGATTGCAATGAGCATCTGTGTTCTCTTGGCTTCGCTGGTCAAGCTCGAGACGTACTATCAGCTCCCCTGATTGCTTTCTGTAACAAGGTCGCATTCTGCAGTATGGCAAAAGTCAGAGAATAAACACAACAGCGCACTCTATTCGGTGGATCCGATCGCGCACTTGATGCGACTTCGTTGCACTGGCGGATACATCGTGACTCATGCTGTGTCATTGATACCTGTTAAATATAAAACACCATACAAACGGGGTTGAAAGAGAAATCGCACATGGGAGACGAGAAGCCTGTAACAGGCAAAAAGCCCGATTTCTGATTGTACAGCCTCGGTCAGTGGCCATTGTATTTCAGGGATGTTTTGTAGTGCCGACTTGAGCAGGAGCTGGTAAAGTTTGCGAGCTAAAGGCGAGATCCATCAGACAAACCAAGCACGCCATTGTCGGACCTTCATACTCATCAAATTCATGGGCAGGTTACGAAAGTCGCATCGTAGTCAGATGCTTGCACATGCATAGCCATCGTACAGACATATCGTTGCTTTAGAATCCTTATTCCAGCTTCACAGGATGCCAAAGATACAAATCCGAAGTAAACACATGGCGCAACATGCAGATAGGATCGCATCTTCACGCGATGAAGCGCACGGTAACCATTACATTCTCCATCATGGCATGGAAAGCCTAAGCGCTCAGCCTGGATGATGCGATCACCATAACCTAGAAGACTTGCCATGCACCGTATATCCGCCCTTTGTGTGGTTCTCCGAGTGCGTCAAATGCACAGATATTGTTAGGTGTTTCCCATGGGTTTTGATGTTGATATTCTGTCGTTCGAGAACCTCGACCATTGCAGTGGCTGTCTTGGCTGCGGAATTCCAGTGTAGGTCCATCCTGTGTTGGGGCAGATCACTGAGATCAGTGGCATGGAGTGTTGGATACATGGATCTATGATATAATTACCTGTGGCAACACCAAAGGACGGCGATGAATCAAGCTTCAAGCTTCAAGGCTCGCAGTGAATAAATAATACCGTCAAGTGTTTGCATTCGCGCAATAAACATAATACACAAGAGGCGGGGTTTCCATGTGTTGAATGTTCGCGGCCAGTGTTGAAGCTTGTCTAAATTTTAATCAAAGTCCGCGGCGCTACCTTCGGCGTTTCATTTGCGGAAGTCAAAAAATGAACCAAGCCAATTGCTGTATTCTGCAAGCAATGCCGTTCCAGAACTCGCACATTCTCTTGTTGCCTCACTCGCATCGGTCATGGAAGACGAGAATCGACCTGTGCGTGAAGCTCGACGGACACATCATAGTAAGTTTTTTTCCCCCTCTTCTATCAACTACCTTATCACAGACACGCTACTTTCCCTTTTCCTTGTCCAGCCCTTCACTCTCTGTTGGTTCGTCTAGGTGACTGACGAGGCCATGCTATGATAACATCTTCAACGCCGTGGTGTCATTGGCCATCTGAATCACGACCATTATTTTACTCAGACGGATGATAAGTACTTTTGTTCACTCTTAAGATCTCATCTTTATCGACTGCCTGGACTTTGACACGCTACTCTCCAAGGACACTTCGTGATATACTCGAGCCGTCAGTTTCTTTTTTAAAACTCATCACACTTCATATCGTTGAATTTTGCATGACACAGATGATTGATCCTCATTGATTTATCTCATCGACGCGCTAGTTGTAACATCCGTACGACAACTCATCTAGATATGCGTGCTTTGTACCAAACAGATGATGTGTGGAAGGGAGAAGAAATTATGGGCTTCCTTATATCAGCTGTCTGGGCTTGGCAGATCGCAAGGATCCTGAATGTTGATCGATGCACGGTTTGGGTGGTGTACTGGCCCGAGGAGTGGGACGCTTGGTACTCTTCACGGAGCGACTGTAATCAACGTGTGTGTATATTCCAAATTCAGATTGTCGCGGTCACAGCTGTAGCGGTTGCTGAAGTGTATTGCAATACCCACGATGCGCTAAAGAGCCCCGTCACTGGTCAACAGAATATTTTGATGAACTGTTGCAAAGAAAGTACTATTGGCTGTATTCAAGGGCTTCCCGGGTACGTCTTGAACCAGACACGTGCGAGTCTAATTCCCTCGATCTAGATAAATAAAAACTTGGAATCCTGACAAAATCGGTGATCTAATTCCCGATCACTATATACTTTCGTTGTCGTTCATGGGTTTACCATTCTAGGTTGATTCTAAATCATCCTTCTTTCATTCATCGTGCTTCTATATTCAGTGCGGGGCTTTATATATTGATTATCGCTCACTCGGGTTATTTATAATCGAACACATATCCCAATATTCTAGCCATCGATGCACCTCGCTCGCGTCTCCATCAATAATCCCTGGAATAACCGCTCTCCGGAACTTTACTTTCCTCATCCTGCATGCGATATATAAATACATCACTGGTCACCAGCACCCAAAAGTTGTTGTCCTTATTGGTCGTTACAACGGCTTGCGTGCGAGATATCACGGTACCCTTCAATGTTCCTGTAAAACTTCATTCAAGTGATCATATGCTTGCCCTAGGACTGTGAATCATGTCAACGGGTGTGTGTATGCATGTCTGTATCTCGTTTGGTGCTTTACTCTGATAGTCGTGCTTAACGAGGCCTCATCAGTAGTTACTAGTTTGATAGGTACGCTTGAGGCCTTCTAACATTTTCTGATTCTCCACTTATCACTCAGCAGACCCATATCCTTGTCATGCTCATTCGCAAGAAAAACGTACAATCAAACCATGAGTCCACGCAATCCATTGCTTCTATTCTCCTTGGCCCATCGGGTGCAGAAAACGCATTTGGGCACTAATGAGTTATCAGCCATCTGGCTTCACGCTTTGCAGTCACCCCATCGTCTATATATCCAGACAGTGAAACTCCACAAACGCGCAAATATCAGGGCACTTTTACTGATTCTCGTTGTATTTTAACATCGGCCATCAAGCTTCAAGCACCAGTTGCGGATAATTTCACCTTGCCACTTGGTTCAAGCGCGGGTACTTCGTTCCAGTAGTGATACACCAAGAAATAGGTTTGCCTGGGCCTTTTAAATATACTTCGAAACACCATATGTTAAATAAATACCACGACGGATCCTCCACCAAATCGCTCCTCTCTGCAGACCACTCGGCAAGAATTTCCCTACACAGTACTGCTAGTTGATACATGTACATGCTCCTGGAAAACAATCGAATTCATGCTAGTTTCTGCGTCGGAGTATGCCACGAGTTTGGCATGGTATTCTCGAACGCTAAGAATGAGGCGTGGTCCCAGCACAAATATCTGCACGACCGAGAAAATTTGAAGAGCACCACCGAGTATCGAAACTCCAATAGAACTTGAATTCTACAGAAATGATAAGCAGTGGTTGCACGCAGATTTTAGCAACAGGTCAGCGCACCTGAATTTCTGGAGAGAGTGTAGTAAGATGGAGGCAAGAGCCACCAACAAAGCTAACATGTGCGGAACTTGAGCAGAAAATATTGCCGCGTTCACATTACAAGCTCACCTTGCAAAATAAAGAACGTGAGATTGTATCAGCACTCTGAAACAGTCCCCGATGGTCGATCCTGTTGATGGGCCGAGTCGTCGCAGCTCACGGAAGTGTTTCACAGCAACCCAGACTGAAAGACACAGTGCGAGGACCTCCCAAACAGTGTTGAGTATCCAAGTTATCGAAATAAGAAGCTGGCTGTCCCCTTTAAATACAGAACCGCACATATATGTGCCAGAGAGTATTGCCCCCTCTGGTGTTTGTTCAATGAGCCGCGTTGTTCAAGTTAACAAGTACAGCTTACCCAGTACAGTATCGTTGAATATTATTGCCGCCATTACTCCGCAGGCGATGTTTACAGCCAGGAAGATAATGACAAGGAATATAAGCATCTTTCTAGATCCCTGATACATGGCATATAACCGAGCAATCATGATCACTTGTATCGTATGTCAGTCAGGTCAAGATCACAGAGGTATCGCACCAGGGCAACTTACCGCCCAATATAGCAGTCAAGGCCACAATTGTCCCACTTGTTGCGTAGTATGTGATAGTGCCTGGAACTCTCGATCAGTGAACGTTATCGCACTAGTATCAAAGACTCCGACTTACACCTATTGTGTCATTATGTTGAGCCAAGTTCAATGCTTTTTTTTTTTTTTTTTTTTTTTTTTTTTAATCCAATTTTTGTCCGATTGGGGTACAATACCCTATGTAGGACAATTCTATCTAGGAAAGGGGGACACCTGTGTCCCCTGCCGTGTCTCCGGCTCTGCAAATGCCCCAATAGAGGTATGGCCTCTACTGGTCCGCCGTTCCCGCCGGCCGTTTTAGGTGCACGAGCCTACTACTCCACGGGGCCGTTTCTGATACTTCTCGTTTGTATGTAGGCCTGACGTGTGATAATGGATATACAAATACTCGGACCGCCTGAGCGATCGTTGTACGAGGGGAGTAAGTGGAGCGCGGATAGAAAGGTAAAGGTAAGACTGGGCTGGCGCGACGTGCTGCGAGTTGATCCCTGCTGTACCGTGTGGCTCTTCGACGAAAGTTCTAGCCCTTCCTCAACTCATGTGTCTCCTTCCGACTGATCTCCAGATTGGCCTTGGGTTGGCGCGTGTTGCCCTGCGTCAGCGAGTGCTACCAGGTGCTTGCATGGGTTGCAAGCACGCGTAGGATGTTTGTTTGTTCTGTGGGGCAAACTGACGTTATCTATTTCTTGCGAGTACTGGGAGGGACATCACCAAAAGTGGGTTTCAAGCGTCCTGTACTGTTAACGTATCGAATGATATGGTCCGTGGCTTTGGCATCTGACAGCAGGTATGAAATGGAGAGTGCGCGACGTTTGAGGACATTGGTGAGTGTGTGACGCTCACGTGCGTATTGCGGGCAGGATAAGAGGAAGTGTTGGACGGTCTCTGGGGTGTCGACGCAGTGAGGGCAGTTGGGGGACATGCTTTTTCCAATGCGATGCAGATGTTGATTGAGTGAGATATGGCGGGTGCGGAGCCAGAGCATTAAACTGATGTGCCGCTTAGGTAGATGTTGAACTAGCGAGATGAACGATTTGCTTGCAGCGTTGAGCTTGGGGTCGATGGAGGTAGCGTGAGCGTGTCTTGGGGACTTTAGCCAAATTCTATTCCAGCGGTTCGATGAATCTTTCTTCTGGGCCTGTTTCAACGCCGACAGGCTACTGGGGAGGACTCCCTTCCGAAGGTATGGTGGCAGTCTGTGCGTGGCGCTGTTGTCCCTGCGGTTCTTTGCTGCTATCTTAGCCTCCTTGTCTGCCTTCTCGTTTCCTTCTACTCCATCGTGCCCTGAGATCCAATGAACGTTGACCTTGAAGTTTCGGTTGCGGCTGGTTTTCTTAAGTTGATTCAATATACTACGGAAATGGTCTGTCAGGTAATGGCCTGGTTTGGTGGAGAAGATGTCACCGGATTTAATTGATGCCTGGTTATCGACGAATATGGAGACGGGATACGTGATATCTTCTTCTTGCGAGATCAACTGAGCTGCTAACGTTAAACCGACGACTTCTGCCTCAAAGACTGTGTGCTCGTCAGTAGTTCCAAGATGGTAGCGTAGGATACTCGGGCGTTGTTTTCCTCTTCTGTACAGTACTGCCGCCGCCCCTACTTTCTTGTCTATCCCTGACCCATCGCAGTAGACCTTTACTTCATCGTTGTTAGCATTATGGGCTGCTATGGCTAGTTCTCTTGTCGATGCGATGTGGGTAGAGTATGAGTTCTTGTCATTCGGGGGACGTCTGCTGTGTTTGATGGTCTCGACCGAGTTGATGTCGAGTTCAGCGGCATGATATATATGATGCAGGGATGAGCGGTGGTGTTTGACATACTTCTTGGCTGCTTTACGGACGGGTTCGCTTAGCGGATGAGACTTCGGGTGCGCGGCTAGTCGTATTGCGGCTTGATAGCATAGGTTTTGCATCCGGTGTTCCATCGGGAGTAGCTTTGCGTGAATCTCTAAGGTATCATTAGCGGTGGTTCTCATGGCGCCTGTAATACTTAGGGCAGCGAGTCTTTGTACTCGGCCTATACGACGGGCTACTCCTATCGATCCCAGTTGAGGTTTGTCGTTGTTGCCGACAAACAAAGGGCGAAACCATAAGTCGACTGCGTAGAGCATTTTCGGTAGTGCTACGGATAGGTACAGCTGACGCATCAGGGAGAGTGGAATACCATTGGACGTGGAGGAGAGCCGGCGAAGTTGGAAGACGTAGGCTGTACCTTTCGCTATGGTGTAGGCTATGTGAGCTTGCCATCTGAGCGCATCGTCCAATATAACTCCCAAGAATTTGTGTGTCGCGGTGGGCGTGATCGTGGTACCGCGCGTGATTAGTGGGGGCCGGTCTTTAGCTGAATTCAGAGAAAAGTCCATTAGTGCGAACTTAGACGTTTCAAATTTCGAGTTGTGCGCTAGGGCCCACTCGTAGCCTCCTCCTCTACGTTCCAACATGTTCTTCAATGTATTGTGAGTCTCTTGGAAGGTCTTCCCGATGGCTATAAATGCCGTGTCGTCTACAAATGCAAGGGTGCGTTCAGTCTTCGTGTGACCCTTGGCTATATCTACCAAGTCCGAGTCGTATATGATATATAATATCATTGAGAGAGGGTCGCCCTGTCCGATACCGTTAGTAATAGGGATCCAATCCGATAAGTGTCCGTCGAATTTGAGTTGCGTGCGCCTTCCTGTCAGCAGTCGTTCCGTGAATCTCACCAGTGTTTCTGGGAGTCTCCTGGTACGCATGTTGTGTAGTAACCGGTCAGTAACCGCATTCGGGAAGGCTCCCTCTATATCTAGAAACAAAGCAGATACTACCTTCTTTTGGCGCCATGCGTCCTTGATCGTGGCTTCGAGTAGATGGAGTGAGTCTGTCGTTGAGCGACCCGGCCTGCCTCCAAAGTGTGTGCTGGGGAGAAGGTTGTGTCGTTCTAGGAGGTAGGTCATTTCATCTGCTACTATGGCAGTCAATAGCTTGGCGGTTGTGTTGAGAAGCGCTATCGGTCTGAAGGCTTTCGTTACTGTGTAGTCCGGTTTACCCGGCTTTCGTAGGACAACGGTTATGAAGTCGCGCCATGGGTTATAGTACGTCTTGAGTGTGAATACGGCCCTGTACAAATGGAGAAGGTAAGGTTGGAGTAAGTATGTGCAACGTTTGAATACTATATTACAAATCCCATCAGGGCCTGGGGCCTTGTATGGGCTCAACTTTGAGATGCTACGCTCGATCTGCGTCATAGATATAGGTGCCGGGGTAGGGACGGCGTCCGGGTAGTTGTAGTCTTCCGGTACTGATGAGTGTTCTGGAGGGGGGGGGAAGAAAGCTTGTGCTAAGGCCTCGCTCTTATCCTTGTTGGTGTCGGCTGTGCCTCCGCCTGATCGCTTGAGGGTGGGGATTCTAGATAAGCCTCCGTCGCTAGCTGTTGCTGTAAGGTATCTGTTAGCAGTCCATATGTCGTTACCTGAGAGGTCCTCTAGCCATTCGATCCAGTGGTCCTTCTTGGTCCGTTTGATGGCTTCAGCGTATTGATTGCGTTTGATTCGGTGCTCCTCGTGGCTGTAGTGGCCTGCAAAGTCTCTGTGCTTGTACGAGAGATGGCTTAATTTCGCGACCTCGCGACGCATGATGGTTAGGTCCTTGGTCCACCACCTCTTGGAGTGGGGGTTGGGCTTGGACTTGGGGACGACTCGTTCTATGACTGCTTGGATTGCGGCCGTAAGAGTGCGTGCCGCAGTCTGGAATTCGGCTTCCGTAACGAGCGGTTGAGCTGGTAGGATCTTGTCCAACTCTAGTTCTAGTTCCTCGTTGAATACTTCCCAGTCTGCTTCACGGTAGTTGTGCTTGATATCAGTCGTCGCTTGGGGGAGTTCGAGTTCGAGGATGCTTAGGATGGGCACATGGTCTGTTGCTGGTCCACGTAAGGCTGGGTTAGTCGTGCAGCTTATAAAGGATTCTCCTGTGTGGTCAGTACAAAACACGTTGTCTGGACGTGTCCAATTCTTTGAGCTAGACGATTGGAGGGTCGGTAGACCTTTGGGTAACGTCATGATCATGCCATAGTCCGCTATGAGGTCTAGAAGTGGCTGTGCCGCGTTGAGATACTGGTTATTGAAGAGTTGCGTGTTCCTGTCCTCGTCCCATAGGGGATGGTGTCTATTGAAGTCCCCGAGCCATATCATGTGGTCGTCCGCTGATGGACGTAGACGGGTGATCTCGCGTTCGAGGAATGATGCTAGTTCTTCTTGAGTTTTCGTTAGTTTGCAGTCGTTGTAGATGTTGAAAATGGTGCAACGTCCGAAGGGTCCGCGAAATTGGGTGACTACAACGTCAGGGGACGGAAATGGGATCTGTTGCCAGGAGTTAGTATCTAGAGTTTTGGATATTAGTGTGACAGCTCGGGAGGTTAGTTCTGGGGATGAGAAGCGGGTGGTGGGGTAGACCGCATGAAAGTAGGGCGACGATATTGTATTCTTCGTGCGATTAATGTGAGGTTCTTGCAGGGCTAGTATATCCCAGTCGCGGGCAATAGGGCTGTTGAGGAGTGAGTGTTGGGCTATCAAAGAAGTATTAAGGTTTTGCTGCCAAATTCGTAGTCTGGTCGTCATATTGTTAGTTCGTTCAGACATTAGGGGGGGTCTGGGTCCGTGGGGTGTCATTGCATAGTGGGGAGTTTGGAGGTGATGAGAGTAGGGAGGATGAGCGGGAGGGGGATGATGGTTTGTTGGACAAGGATGAGGATGGAGATGGGTGATTGGGGGTTGATGGGTTGTGTGGTGCCATAGACGGAGTCTGTTTCTGTGGTGCTGTTCGAGGAGGTTCTATGTCCCAGCCTGAGGAGATTGGGATCGAGTTGGGGCCTGTCGGTGTGAAGGCTCGGTGGTGAGAGCGGCCAAAATGATTGGGCATGCCTCGCGAAGGTTTGCCGTGAGGTCTCCTGGTTTCGAAGGGAAGATTTGACTGGTGGAGCATGGGTCTATAGTTGGAGGGTGGTTGTTCGACCGGCTTGCGATATGGTGCTGGTTTTGGAGGCAGCATTACCTGTGTCCAGTCTTCGTCAGTAGGGAAGTAAGGCATAGAGTTCTCTGGGAGCTTAGCGTCGATTCCTGCGCAGCGATTTTCGAATTCAGGACAGTTTCTGTCCCAGCTTGCGTGATCTTGTGAGTTGCAGCTTACGCAGTGGAAGGTTCGATAAGCGTTGCAGTCGTTGGTTCTATGGTTCTTTCCGCACGTCCCACAGGTGTCCGTTGGGGCATTGCAGTCTCTTGCTATGTGTCCCCAGGTTTGGCACTTGACGCATCTTACTGGCTCCCGTTTATCTTTGCGTGGGTGAAACTTCTCCTGACCGATGTAGATACCGTCGCGTAGCGTTATGTTGGCTGCTTTTGGGTCCGCAAAGTGAAATAAGGCATGAGCTACCTTTTGTCCTGGTGATCTCCGAATTCTGGGTTTGATCCATCCCGCTGCTTCTATAGAGCCTGTCGGCAGGTTGTTTTCTTCCTCTGCTGCACGTCGCCATTCTGCGTCCTCGATACCGGATGTGATTGGTAGGAACGGTATAATGATGGTGAAACGGCGTTCCTTGATGAATACCGGGGAGTCTAGAGCGCCCGTGAACTTTAGTCTATTTTCTGGGATACGTAGCCAATTTGCTGCTTCTGCTGTGGTTAGTTCAACAATTAGGCCACCGTTTCGTAGTCGTGTGGTGGCTTTGATTTGAATGTCAGGAGATTCTCCATCCGAGATTGCAGCAAAGGTGTTTTTGAGTTTCTTAGCGATGTCTACCGAGCTGTCTTCGGGTTCGTATAATCTTCCGCCGAGTGCCGGTTCAATTAGGATCTGACGTTCCTTAATTGCGGCGCGTAAGAGGGCTGCCGAGACTGGGGCCGGGGTCTGTGTGTTTTGCCGTACTACTGCGCTGTAAGAGAGAGGGTTGTTCGGCTGGGTTGAGGGGGGCCTAGCTGTCAGTAGGGCATTCTTTACGTCAGTGATACTATTTAAAATAGCGTCGGTTGCTTGTTCTGCTCGGGTAGCGGCTGCTGATGCTGAGGTGGTGGTGCTGGTGTTTTCAGAATTAGCCTCCATGTCTGATTTGAGTTTCGCTAGGTCTTCTACGTTTGACTTGAGGCTCTCTGAGGTGGTGAGTATGGAGGCTATTTGAGGTGAGATAGCTGCTATAACGTGTGCTGAAAGTGATGACGAGAGGTCGGCTACGATTTGGGCTGAGAGTGATGTCGTAAGGGAGTCGGCTAGTTGCTTGGTGGTTGATGATGGCGTTTGTGGTGGGCTGTTCGTGAGGTTGTCTTCTAAGAGTATTGCGACGGCTCTGAGACCTTCTATAGCTGTGCGAGGGATTCCTGTGTATTGGGTGATGTGAAGAATTGTAAGTATAAGACTTTCGTTTGACATTGGCTCGCCTGGATGACGGAAGGGGGACTTCTCTAGAAAGGTGATGCTGCTTTCATTATTCTTGACATCGTACTCTTGCTGCATAATTTCATCTCTCGTTAACAGTAGAGATACTGTGTTTCGATGGGACGCTCTGATTCTATTTGTGGGAGTAGGAGCACGAGTGCTCGTATTGCCGGTCCCCAAGGGCATTGGACGCGACTTCCCGGTGGCCATTCGACTCTAGGAACAACAGTGAGTCTGTTGGAGTTGGACTGGCGTTTTATTAGTATTAGGTTCGAGAGGTTTGACGTCTGAGACGTCTAGAACGCTGGTGAGCGCAGTGCTGGGATCCGGGATTTTTCGGGGTCCTAGTCAGGGTGCCACTTGGTGCTAAACCAAGAAGCGATAGTTCAATGCTTGGAATCTCACTCACCCCTACGTATGAGCGTATTGATTAGATAGGAATGAGATAGCTGCGGAGTACTTACTGCATCTGTCAGCCATGACGACGGTATAATTCCTGTGTGCCGCCGGTCAGACAATGGAATACAGCGCATGTGAGACATACCCAGAAGATGGAAACTAATTGTCAGAGATAAGCTATTAGCATAGTGCAAAGTTTTTGGTCTCGACACATACACAGAATATGGTATTCCAATATAGCGTATCTAGAACATTTTGGAGTCAGCCCAAGTTCCGTAGCACGCTAAAGCACAACATGAGTACAAACAATTAAATACAGCATGGTCATGAGAGACCAGCGTTGTCTCTGTCGCGAATTCATTGCATGCTCTTGTTTCCTCTGATACTGGACTCTTGTCACTCACCCAGATGAGTTCAATCTATGCCACCATTCTCAGCGAGTTGGCTGCTGCGGCGACAACATCGACGTACCTCTTGTCCGAGTGTTAAGACTGGAAATATCATGAGAATCTCAGCGATTTTCGAACACTGTCCTGCTCACCCCAATCGTATGCCACCACGATGCCCGCGGCAACTGTGAAACTGCATGTCAATGTTAGATCTAGACATCTTGATACGACAGACCTTCCCAATAACTCAAAAAAATAGTTGCACTGATAGACGGCCAGTAACTGGGATCATTTGAGATGTAGGTCATGTTCGAGGGATGGGTGTGAGCGACTGGGAAGGTTAGTAGTGTATAACGACAGCGTTCGTGCAAGATATATCACCGTTCAAACGTTTACCCCTCGTATCACCAAAATCAACATGATGGAGATGGATATTTGATCCTGCCCCAAGATCCTTGATTGGGTGAAACAGCCAGAGTCCAAAAAACCGCGTGGAATCCCTTGATCGAATCAAAGTAAATTTGGATTTCGGAACCAGTGTTACGCACGTTGCTACTTGAACTTCATCAGGAAAGTTCCAGTCATCGGTGATGAAGACGACTTATTTCCAATGTGATTTTTGAGGTGTTTTTGCTGCAAGCCTGAACAAATGAAGGAGTTCATTATGAATCATGTAGTCAGCGATCTAACACAGGTCAAAGCATGATGTGATCGAAACAAGTACGAGCACTCTCTTCGGCTTCACTGGCCAAGCCTGAGGCCTGAGGCGCAACAACCCTCCGATTAAGTACTCTATGGAACAAGGGCCATTCTGCGGCATAGCATCTCGTACATCATTGGGCTATTATGATTATATCAAAAACGATGAACAAAGAGAAGGTAAGCATAGAATGAATCCAATACAAAGCGCACCATATTCGATACATTGTGCACTTATGTGATATCGTGATGTGTTGCACAGGCAGGTACATCCTGATTCATGATTGATATTTTTATATGCCACATCCCAAGGTCGAAGAGGAAGTTGCACATGGGAGACAAGAAGCTTGGCGAAGTGAGTATTGCGGTGCAAAATCAAATAAAAGAGGAAGCCCCTCGAATCTTGATACCCAAAATAGAATTTGATTTGTGAACCATGGCGGACATTGCTCGGACACTCCACTCGTTGGTGATGTTGGCAACTTATTTCTAACGCCATTGTTGATGTGTTCCGTATGAAACCAGGTAACCACCAATCTAATACAAGTTTGAGCATGATGGGATCGCAACAAGTATGTGTGCTCTCTCGGTCTCGTTGGCCAGCTCGATACTTGCTATCAGGATTCAGCTTCCCCGATCGCTTTTTTGTAACAAGGTAGAATTGTGTGGCGTGGCATGTTCAGAGAAGGTGTTTTGATGGTTGTTGGATGTGTTGTTTGTTACGATGATTAAATGGCCACTGTGCTTTGCAAATGAATGGATTGTTAATAGCGAATCAGAGCTCGAGCGACGCACCGAATAGACAGTGGGGGGCGAGGATATGGATTAGTGATGGTGTAGGTGACTGGGAGACGTGGCAGGGCCGATTTCGCTGTTTTTGCAGGTGCATTGAGAGGCTTGCTTGTTGAAATTACACGTTGGTCACCGGCCGTGTTCAGTAAACGCACCAATGAAAGTGCTGCTAGTTATGCTAATAGTCCAGAGAAACTTGAACCGACCTTTTGAAGCAGGAGGTTCAAGATGCACATAATACTGGACACGATGAACGAATGATATCAGTGTTTGTCGCATGCGTGCATCAAACACAGTACGAAAGATACGCAGGGCCTCCGATGGCGATGTGTTCGCGGACAACGTTGAAGCTTTAGATTCGGTGTTTGCCGAAAGTTGAAAAATCAACCGACTACAGCTATTTGACTACTGAGATAGACCGCATACTATCATGCAAGATTTATATTATAGGCCGTAAGGCTGTTCTGGAACTCATCCGTGTCATTCTCTCTTGTTGCTTCACTCGCATAGATTGTAAAGGACGAGAATCGACGTATACCTGAAGCTCGACAGATAGGCACTATGCCATCGAAACTGGATTATGGAACGACTGTCTTTTTCCATCTAGTATTTGGTCTGCCTAGTTCATATATATATGGGACTAAAGTGTTGCTCCCATGATAGATCCTCCAGACATAATCTTCCTTGCGCTCAAGGACATTCTCAGGCAATTACCCGTTTAGTCTACTGCAACTCGAACTTCTGCTGGTGCTCTGACTCAACCTGAGGCCTGAACACTGGTTGGACTTTCTTTGTATGCCATGAATATATCCCAACTCTTTCCACCGATTCCAAAACATTCAACGTTAACCGGCCACCCTTTCATGTGTACATAACACTACGTTCACGTCTTCCAATTCATTCCCGCTCTTCGCTTTGTATTTATTTCTAGACAAGACTACCCTGCGTATCTACTAATCTTCACCAGCCTGACAATATCAGTCATCCCGCTAATCCTCTCAGCTCATCCTCGCACCAATTCAGCGTCAGATTCAAATCAACATGTAAGTATTACATTCTTTAGATACGCACCTTTAGCGAGCACGCTGGCATAGCTCTATTTCACCACTCGATTTCATTTATAGACGTCTTCTCCAATTCGATCATGCCCGCCCTTATGCACCCACGCCGATCTGCGCATTCCAATATGGCAGTCTTCACCCCAAAAAAATTGTTACTGGTGTCGGAGACGGCTTATCTAGGGAGTCTGGTTTTGGCCAACTGTGAGTTGTTTTCCCCACTCCGGCACTGCTCTCGATGACATATGCTAGGCTAACCATCGATACAGCAGCGCTCTTAATTATCGATCAGCGTCTAGACTTGACTTGACTCCGACCCCACCCGAGAATCACGAACCCATCTATCAATTAAACCATATACTTCAAAGCTCAAGGAAGCATTTCTACGAGCTTTCATCTAGGATACGTTCTGAGTCCCTGCAACCCACTTATTTCCCCCTCGCAGTCCGTTTATATGGACAGTCCAGATGTACGATAGGGAAATGGTGATTGCCATGAAGAACCATTAATTTATCAGCCATCTGGTCTCCCGCGAAACTTTGTTTTCAACAAAAGAATTTCCCCCTTGTGCGCCATTTGCCCGACTCCACCGACTGGTCCAGATGGCTACCAGCTGTCTGAGCTTTGACATCCTACTCGGTGTGCCAGTGATCAATGACGATGGTGTGAACAATTGGGTCCGTGTCATAATCTGGTTCGATGCTTCACGCTGACAGATGTGCTACTTCCTCTATGGGTATCAACGGACACACGGATTTGAATAAATACCCAACGCACGATTCTACGAGCACCGTCACTTCGTTCTTTGTACTTTAGACAGACAATAATAAGGAAATTCGTCATTCTCGGGCTATCAGCTGTTTGAGGTCAAACACGCTGCTTTGACTTTCCTGTTTCACCGAAATTTCACATCACGTCCCACATACCTAGCCCAGATAGATGATTGCAAAAGCAGAACCGATGTATTGTCATCCAGTTGTCGTTTTTCACATATTTTGTGCTTGGACAGCTGGTGATAAGCCGTTTTCTTCATTGCCCGTTGAGATATCATGTACCTTTCAATGTTCCTGCAAAATACTCTCAAATCTTCCCGTTTTCTCCACATTCTATCAGACACTTTGTTCAGGTGACCGTTTGCTTACCGTTCGGTGCTTTACTCTGATGGTCATGCCTAGCAGGGACTCCAACAGAATATCTTGATTGATGCCTCATTAGTAGTATGATAAGTACGCTTGAGGCCTTCTGACTTGAAGCACCGATTTTCTAAATCTCTACTCAGAAGACCTCATCTCCTTGCCATGCTCATTCGTGGACAGCCACTATAGTCAAGCCAGGAGTCCACGCGATTCATTCGTTTTCATTCTCCGTAGCCCAGAGTGAGGAAAACACATCTGAGCACCAACGAGTCATCAGCCTTATGGCTTCACGCCGCTTCGCGGTCACTTCTTCATCTGTATGTTCAGACAACAGAACTCCACAAACGTGCAGAATTAGCTGTCAGGATTCTTTCACTGATTCTCATTGCTGTATCTTAATATCGGCCATCAAGGACCAATTTGGTTGCTAGACATCGTAGATAATTTCAGCTTGCGACTTGGTTCAAATATGGATACTTCATCCTAGTAGTAATACAACAAGAAATATATTTGCATAGACCTTTCAGATATACTTCGAAACACTATATGTCAAATAAATACCACGACGGATCCTCGACCAAATTTCTCCTCCCTGCAGACCGCTCGGCAAGCATTTCCCTACACAGTACTGCTAGTCGATACATGTACAGAATCCTGGAAGACAATTGAACTCATGCTAGTTTCTGCGTCGGAGTCTGCCACGAGTTTGGCGTGGTATTCTCGAACGCTAAGGATGAGGCGTGGTCCCAGCACAAACATCTGCACGAACAATAGAATTTGAAAAACACCATAGAGTATCTGAGATCCAATAGAATATGAATTCTACAGAAATGATAAGCACTGGTTACACGCAGACGTCAGCGACAAGTCAGCACACCTGGAGCTCTGGGGAGAGAGACGCGAGCTGGAGGCAAGAGACACCAAGAAAGCTAACATGTGCGGAACTTGAGCGGAAAATATGACCGCGTTCACATTACAGGCTCACCTTGCAAAATAAAGAACGTGAGATTGTATCAGCACTCTGAAACAGTCCCCGATGGTTGGTTGTGTCAATGGGCTGAGTCGTCGTAGGTCAAGGAAGTGTTTCACAGCAACCCAGACTGAAAGACACAGTGCAAGGACCTCCCAGACAGTGTAGAGCATCCAAACCATTGAAAACAGAAGCTGCTCGTCCTCTTCATATCCATACCCGCATATATATCTGCCAGAGAGTATCAACTCCTCTGGTTTTTGTCCAATTAGGTCTGTTCTTCAAGTCAACAAGTCACAAGCTTACCCCCTACATCATACTTGAGTTCTATTGCCAATATTACTCCGCAGGCGATGGTAACAACCAGAAATGTGACAACAAGGATGATGAGTATCATTCTAGATCCCTGATACATTGCATGTAGGCGAGCAATCATGATGACTTGCATCAGGTTTCAGTCGAATCAATATCACAGAGATATTGCGGCTAGGTAACTCACCGTTCAACATGGCAACTACGGCCACATTTGTCCCATTCAGTGCGTAGTTCGTAATATTGCCTGAAACACCCAATTAGTGATCACTTTCGTACTGAGATGAAACACTCCAACTTACACCTATTGAGTGATTATGTGGAGCCAAGCTCGATGTTTAGAGTCTCACTCACCCCTACAAACGAGTGTATTCATTGGATGTGAATAAGATGATTGTGGAATACTTACTACATCTGTCCGTGAGACCCATGGGATATATGCTTCCAGTGTGTGCCGCCGGTGAGACTAATCCAACACAACGCATGACACTTACACAGGACAAAATCACTAATTGTCAGAGATGAGGTATTAGCACGGTGCCAATTTGAATTTGTTAGTCTCGACACATACATAGAATACGGTATTCCAATATAGCGTATCTGAAATATTTCGGGATCAGTACCTGCAAACCACGCTATAGTACAACAAGAAGTACGAACAACCAAATACAGCACAGTCATGAGAGACCAACGTTGCCTCTGTCGCGAATTCATTATACGCTCCTGTTTTCTTCTGATACACGACTATTGTCACTCACCCAGATCAATTCAATCTACGGCACCTCACTTAGCGAGTTTTCCGCTCGGCGATAACATAGACTTACCTCTTTTCCCGGTGTTAAGACAGGAGATATCATGAAAAAATCAGTAATTTTCGAACCAGTACTGTCCTGCTCACCCCAATCGTACATCACCACGACGCCGGCGGCAACTGCGAAACCGCTGGTCAACGTTAGATCCACACATCATGATGCGACAAACCTGTCCAATAACTGAAAATATTTTCCATACTGATATATGGCCACCAAATTGGGTCATTTGAGACTACAGTCATATTCGAGGAATGTGTGAGCCGGTGGGGGATGTTGGTGGTGTATAATGTATCGATGCGTGCTAGATATATCACCGCTTCTATAGCCAAAAATAGCATGGTAGAGATGGACATTTGATCCCACCTCAAGACCCTTGATTGGTGAAATGCTGTGAAATGAAGCAAAAAGAGGAAGCCCTCACGATCGATAATCAAAGTAGATTTTGATTTCCAAGACAATATTGCGCACGCAATTACTTGAACACCAGGGAAATTCCAGTCGTTAGTGATGTCGGCAACTTATTTCCAATGCCATTTTTGCTGCAAGGTAGCAAAAATCCAGGAGCTCTTTATGAAATCTTTTAGCCATCGATCTAACACAGGTTTAAGCGTGATGTGATCGAAACAAGCATATACATTCTTGCAAAGCCGAGACCGAGGCGCAACAGCCCTCCTCTTAGAGAAAATGGTCATTCTGCGGCATAGCACCAGAGAAGTAACAGTGACACAAAGTAGGTCGGAGTGGAGCAACTGTATCTCACCCTATCCGTCGCCTCGTACGCCTGAACTATTGGGCTATCATGATTACATCAAAACGATGAACAAAGATATATATGACAAGGATGAAGCGAATCTGATCTAGAACGCACTATATTCAATGCATCCTGCGCTTGATGTGATGGTGATGTATTGCACTGCCAGACACATCACGATTGATGATTCGTGATTGACATTGTTGAATACCTATACGACACCATCCTCAAATCGAAAGAGAAATTGCACACGGGAGACAATAAGCCTGTGACACGTTAGAAGCCCCATTTCTAATTGTACAGGCCTGATGGTATCGTGATGCAGTAAGCTTTCATCCTGTACGAGTGAGTCCGTCGGATAGGCAAAGAAGTCATTGGCAGACTGTGAAAATTACACGTTGGGGCAGGGGCCAGCGGCCAGAGCAAGAGCAAGACAGACAAGCTGTCACGGTGATCATGATGCAAGCTTAACCGTGACGCATGCACGGTTGTCTACGTATTGACTAGTGTTTGGATCGTGGAGACCCCGAATGTGCAGTCTCATGGAACTCCTTACGTACGCATATAACTCGAGCGAGGACACGAAATCTGTGCCAGCACTTAGATTCGTGACTAGTCTAGCGTACGTCTCTTGGGAATTTTGACCCGAGCTCACACAGCCCTACCTAACCTGCGATTGTATAACTCTATCTACTCCCGGTCACAGACTCAAGTTCCTATTACTGTGGCTCTAACTCCCTGCGACCCAATATTCTTCCCCTCACACTCATTCGCCCGAGTCCGGTCCAGATCATCTCGTTGGGCACTTTCACTTTCAAACTCTTACGGTTGTGCTTAGCAGGATGGACTGTGTTTTGCAGTCGCATCGATAAACATCAACGTATGTGTATTATCCAAGCTGTTCAACGAACTGACTGTTGCATACGGAGTCAAAAAGGCTACAGGTTAACGTTCACCGCCAGGATACGACAGCATCCAAACACATACTAATGGCTTCGACCGGCATGTACACCACAGAATGCCAAGATGACTCAAAAGGCGGGTCGGTTCGACATCCAGAGTGGATTGCTATCTACCATGGCGATCCAAGCGACGTACTGGAGGATGAGGAACTCATGAGCAAACATTCCTATAGATTCCTGTATCGTTCGTGGGAGTCTCGAACAATCAGCTGTCTGGAATCTGGATCCAATTTTCGACAGTCAGCATTCCCGAGATTGGTGTTCGCGTTTGAGGATATCCCGTCTAGTGGTTCCTCTTTCTTGGCTGTGATTCCTGTCTTAGCCTGCTCCTTGATGCACTCTAGGAACTAATCAACCTGCATCTAGACTCGTCCCAGGCTGACCCAAAGGATGCCCAGCTCCACTTGTCAATTCCTGGTTTTGTATCAGAGTGGCTCGAAAGGCACGAATGGCGCGTCAGGTACCAGGAGGAGAGTGGAGGTCGGACTCCGAGAATCGGTGTTTGATCTTGCCAGTGGCTTGGAAAATCTGGATATGTTGAAGCGCCACTAGTACTCTTACACCTGGGATCCATGTACGCCGACGGAGGATGGTACGTTTGTTCCTGTGGCTCCAAACGAGTAGTTTCAAATGAAGTATTAATTATCATGCATATATGCATCGATCAAATGAATATCTGTAGCGTGAAAATACGAGTGATGTCATTGTATATGGAAAGCAAGAGTGATCAGCTTGAACAACAACGATTCTGCGATCATGGTCAGTTCTTGGTTGTTATTTTTCCTTCTTCGTGCATCGTGCTTAGATGATAATCCAGAGCATTCATGAATATGTTGAATTCTCAGACTATCAGCTGTCTGAAATCGGATACGCTACTTCTACTTTCCTTGGTCCGTGGAATAGTCACATCGCACCCCACCCGAACGGCCCAGATCGATGATGATGCAATAGATGCGACACAGCCATTGCGTCGCAAGCCATCTGAGCGAATAACGACCTGTTGAAGTGAAGTGTATATTTTTCAAATCATCATTTTTTCGCACCAGGGCGACTGCAATTGATATTATGTGTGTGTTGTATGTATATACGCATCTCGTTCGGTGCTTTACTCTTACAGTCGTGCTGCTTGGCAAGATGGAAACAGATGGTTGCAAGGGCCCTAATTCACATCCGACGCATGATTTGCAGTTGGATGGGTGACGCTATGATGATCAAAATATGTATGCTCATATATAGCAGATCATTTTCGCAGGATGATGCGCCGCATAGCGCGGGATAATGAAGACTTTAATGTGACGCTCCGATGGGTGCCAGGGCACTCTGGCGTGCATGGAAACGAAGAGGCTGACAAGCATGCCAAACGGGCCTCGGAAGGTCATCACAACGACAGCCCGGTCAACTGCCTCCCTCGTTACCTCCGTCATCGCACCCTCCCCCTAAGCATCTCCGCTCTGAAAGAATCGCAAAGCAAGAACACAGCTGAGCGTTGGACGCACCTCTGGCGTACATCCCCACGATTTCACCACATCAATCGCCTCGACCCCCGCATCCTCAAACGATCCTTCATCAAATTATCCGCCAATTTCCCAAAACGCCTCACTAGCCTGTACATCTTTCTCCGCACGGGACATGCACCGCTCAACAAGCACCTTCATCGCATACAGAAATCAGCCAGCCCTTCCTGCCCTCATTGTCCGGGCAATGACGAAACTGTGCACCATTACCTTCTGGTCTGCCCGCACTATCGAAGAGAACGTCATCTTCTCGTCACAGCTCTGGGCCGAAAAGCCTCGTCCATCCAATTTCTTCTCTCAGAGCCTGAAGCTACCTGTCACCTCGTCGAATACATCAATGCTACTGGAAGAATGAGAGCAATTCTCGGTGAAGTACCTACCCCGCGCACCTCGTCAGACTAATCACCCGCATCGTAGTTACACGCACCCCAAATTCTCGCTAGAATCCTCACTTAACCCTCATCAAAATCCTCTCATGTACATATCCACCCCACCCTACCTACCTCACCCACTCGTCTACATGGAGTCACCAGCGCCTCTCAGCCCTAACGGAACACACCATTCGGAACAAAGGCCCCTCTGTTCATCCCCGGGCCCATGTCACATACACGTTCCCTATATTTCCAAACAGACTCCTGTACCTGCCCGCGAAAGCGGCCGAGTACGCGTTACTATTTTGCAAAACGTTAGAACACACATCGCTCCTGTATATACACAAGTCATCTCATCTTCGAAGGGCGGCACGTCTAAAACGGCCGGCGGGAACGGCGGACTGGTGGGGGTACGCCCTACACCAGGGCATTCGTGCGCCCAGAGATGTGTTGGGGACACTGGGGGTCCCCTAGACTAGATAGTACTGTCCTCCTTAGAGTACACCTCTCCATAGGACATAAAAATTGATTTTTTTTAAAAAAAAAAAAAAAAAAGTATGCCAGAGTTCTAAAAGTTCACGATTGGCGGTTCACTGATACTTTTGCAGGGATACAGCAAGAAACAGGTTTGCCTGGACCTTTCAAATATACTTCGGAATACAATATGTTAAATAAATACCACAACGGATCCTGCACCAAATTTCTCCTCCCTGCAGACCACTCGGCAAGCATTTCCCTACACAGTACTGCTAGTTGATACATGTACACGCTCCTGGAAAACAATCGAATTGATGCTAGTGTCTGCGTCGGAGTCTTCCACTAGTTTGGCGTGGTACTCTCGAACGCTAAGAATAAGGCGTGGTCCCAGCACAAACATCTGCACAGCCGATGAAATTCGGAGAGCACCTCCGAGTATCAGAGGTGCGATAGAATTTGAATGCTGCAGAAATGATAAGCAGCGGTTGCACGCAGATATCGGCGACAAGTCAACGGACCGAGATTTCTAAAGAGAGAACAGCAAGCTGGAGACAAGAGACACCAACAAAGCTAACATGTGCGGAACTTGAGCAGAAGAATATAACCGCGTTCACATTACAATCTCACCTTGCAAAATAAAGAACGTGAGATTGTATGAGCACTCTGAAATAGTCCCCGATGGTCGATCCTGTCGATCGGCCGAGTCGTCGCAGCTCACGGAAGTGTTTTACGGCAACCCAGACTGAAAGACACAGTGCGAGGATCTCCCAAACAGTGTTGAGCATCCAAAACATCGAAGTAAGAAGCTGCTCGTCCCCTCCAAATACATAACCGCACATATATGTGCCAGAGAGTATCGACTCCTCTGGTGTGTGTTCAATGAGCCGCATTCTTCAAGTCAACAAGTAAAGCTTACCTGCTACAATATCGTCGAGTTCTATTGCTGTGATTACTCCACAGGCGATGATTACAGCCAGGAAGATAATAACAAGGAATATAAGCATCATTCTAGATCCTTGATACATGGCATGCAACCGAGCAATCGTGATCACTTGCATCGTGTGTCAGTCAGTCAATATCACAGATGTATTGCACCTGAGTCACTTACCGCCCAACATGCAAATCACGGCCACAGTTGTGCCATTTGTTGCGTAGTACGTGATCGCGCCTAAAACTCGCAATTAGTGAACGCCCTCGCACTAGTATCAAAGACTTTGACTTACACCTATTGAGTCATTATATTGAGCCGAGTTCGATGGTTGGAATCTCACTCACCCCTACACATGAGCATATTGATTGGATGGGAATGAGATGGTTGCAGAATACTCACTGCATCTGTCAGCGATACCGATGGCATACTTCCTGTCCCGCTGGTCAGAAAAATGACACACAGCGCATATGATCCATACGCAGAAGATTGACACTAGTTGTCAGATATGAGCTATTAGCACAGTGCAAAGTTGTTGGTCTCGACACATACACAGAATACGGTGTTCTGATATAGCGTATCTAGAAAATTTTGTATTCAGCACAAGTTGCCCACCATGCTAAAGCACAGCATGAGGTACGAACAATCAAATAAAGCACAGTCATCAGAGACCAGCGTTGTCTCTGTCGCGAAATCATTGTATTCTTGTTTTCTTCTAATACGTGACTCTTGTCACTCACCCAGATGAGTTCAATCTATGGCACCATTCTTAGCGAGTTGGCTGCTGCGGCGATAACATCTACGTACCTCTTCTCCGAATGTTAAGACTTGAAATATCATGAGAATATCAGCGATTTTCGAACACTGTCCTGCTCACCCCAATCATATATCATTACGACGCCGGTAGCAACTGCAAAATCGTAAGTCAATGTTAGCTCCAGACATCTTGATGCAACAGACCTTCCCAATAGCTGAAAAACATAACGAGATTCATTCTCGGCCACCAACTTGGATCATTTGAGACGTAGGTCATGGTCGAGGATAGGTGTAGGCGAGTGGGGAAGGTTAGTGGTCTATAGCAACAGCGCTCGTGCTAGATATACCACCGTTCAATCTAAGACGCCATATATACTAGGTTGAAAGAGGAATCGCACATGGGAAACAAGAAGCCTGTAACAGGCACAAAAAGCCCGATTTCCGATTGTACAGCCTCGGTCAGTGGCCATTTTATTTCAGTGACGTTTTGCAGTGCCGACTTGAGCAGGAGCCGGTAAAGGTTGCGAGCTAAAAACGAGATCTATCAGATAAACCAAGCATACCGTTGTCGGACCTTTGCAACCATCGTACAGACACATCGTCGCTTTAGAATCCTTATTCCACCTTCACAGGATGCCAAAGATACGAATCCAAACAGTCACATGTCGCAACATACAGATAGCACCACATGCAAAAATTGAGGAGCTCTTTATGAAATCTTGTAGGCATCAATCTAACACAGGTTTAAGCGTGATGTGATCGAGACAAGCATACCAGAGAAGTCGGACAAGAAACAGTGATACAGAGTAGGTCGAAGTGGAGCAAATGTATCTCACCTTATCCATCGCCTCGTACGCTTGAACTATTGGGTTATCCAAAACGATGAACAGAGATATAACAAGGATGGAGCGAATCTGGTCTAGAACGCACTTTAGTCAATGCATCATGCGCTTGATGTGATGGTGATGTACTGCACTGCCAGACACATCACGATTGATGATTCGTGATTGACATATCTTGAATACATGTACGACACCATCCTTGGCAACTCGAAAGAGAAATTTCACACGGGAGACAATAAGCCTGTGACTCCACGCTAGAAGCCCTGTTTCTGATTGTACAGGCTATCCTGATGGTATCGTGTTGCAGTAAGCTTTCATTCTGTAAGAGTGAGTCCGTCAGGTCAAAGAAGTCATTGGCGGAATACAAAATTTACACGTTGGAGCGCGGGCCAGCGGTCTGAGCCCAGAGCAAGACAGACAAGCTGTCACGGTGATCATGATGCAAGCTTAACGTTTAACACGAGCACGGTGAAACCTATTAGTCTATGTATTGACTAGTGTTTGGACCGTAGAGACCCCGGATGTGCAGTCTCGTGGAACTCCTACGTAGTACTTCTCTGTCTCCCGTACGCATATAACTCGAGCACGGGAATCGAGGACACGAAATCTGTGCCAGCACTTAGATTCGTGACTAAAGATCTGGCGTACGTCTCTTGGGAATTTGACTCGAGCTTAGACAGCACTGCCTAACCCGCGATTGTATAGCTCTATCTACTCCCAGTCACAGACCCGAGTTCCTACTACCGTGACGCGATTCCCTGTATTTCATATATAACCCATGCCTATCTGCAGGTACCAATCTTATACATGTGGAAGTCTGCATTCAGAGAACTTTGGTCCTCGCGTTTAGACCCCAACTTGATCAAATCATCTATTCCAATGTTCAAGGCGGGTTTTTCCTTATGAGATTGCGTCTATGATAAGCTCTAACTCCCTGCGACCCAATATTCTTCCCTTCACAGCCATTCGCCCGAGTCCGGTCCAGATTATCTCGTTCGGCACTTTCACTTTCAAACTCTTACGGTTGTGCTTAGCAGGATGGACTTAAACACCAACGTATGTGTATTATCCAAGCTGTTCAACGAACTGACTGTGGCATATGGAGTCAAAAGGCTACATACAGGTTAACGTTCACCGCCAGGATACGACAGCATTCAAACACATACTAATGGCTTCGACCGGCATGTACACCACAGACTGCCAAGATCACTGTTTCGACCCAAAAGGCGGGTTGGTCCGACACCCTGAGTGGATTGCTATTTATTATGGTGATCCAGGTGACGTACTGGACGACGGCGAACTCATGAGCAAACATTCCTGTAGATTCCTGTACAATTTGTGAGAATCTCAAACAATCAGCTGTCTGGATCCAATTTTCGACAGTCAGCATTCACGAGATTGGTGTTCGCGTTTGAGGATATCCCGTCTAGTGGTTCCTCTTTCTTGGCTGCGATTCCTGTCTTGGCCTGCTCCTTGATGCACTCTAGGAACTAATTGACCTGCATCTAGACTCGTTCCTGACCCAAAGGATGCTCAGCTCCACTTGCCAAATCCCTGCTTTGTGTGCCAAGGTGGCTCGAAAGGAATGGATGGCGTGTCAGGTACAAGGAGGGGAACGGAGGCTGGGCTCCGAGAAACGGTGCTTGATCTTGCCAGTGGTCAAACCGAAGTTTGGGAAATCTGAAGCACCACTAGTACTCTTACACCTAGGGTCCACGCCGACGGAAGAAGGTTTTATCCCTGTGGCTCCGAACGAGTAGAAATGAAGTATTTGTCATGATGCATACATCGATCAAATGAATATCTGCAGCGCCTCTTGTTTGAAAATACAAGTGATATCATTGTATGAGGTCATAAATTTTTGCCCGCAGCATCCATCTTATCCCAAAGTTCAGAGCTATTGTACCTTGACACTGGACAAGTAACAATGCTCTCAAAGAATGTGACACCTTCTTTATTAACTGCTACATAGATAAACATAGTTCCATGACTCTAAGATAATGCCATATCTCATCAGCAATATTTCAGAATGAATTATTGAATCTAGTGCTATTCTGTATTATTTGATATAACTTGTCTAACTTTTTAGAAATGTGTTACACTTAGTCTAGGTTTGTATCGGAGGGTTTTCCTGATGTCCCTATACAGTATTGCTAGTTGATACATGTACATGCTCCTGGAAAACAATCAAATTCATGCTAGTTTCTGCGTCAGAGTATGCCACGAGTTTCGCATTGTATTCTCGAACGCTAAGGACGAGGCGTGGTCCCAGCACAAACATCCGCACGACCGATAAAATTTCAAGAGCACCTCTGAGTATCTGACCTCCAATGGAATTTGAATTCTATAGAACTGATGAGCATTGGTTGCACACAGATGTTGGCAACAGGTCAGCGCACCGAGATTTCTGGAGAGAGATCAGCAAGATGGAGGCAAGAGACACTAACAAAGCTAACATGTGCAGAACTTGAGCAGAAAAATACAACCACGTTCACATTACAAGCTCACCTTGCAAAATAGAGAACGTGAGATTGTATGAGCACTCTGAAACAGTCCCTGATGGTCGATCCTGTCGATGAGCCGAATCGTCGCAGCTCACGGAAGTGTTTCACAGCCACCCAGACTGAAAGGCACAGTGCGAGGACCTCCCAAACAGTGTTGAGCATCCAAACCATTGAAAACAGAAGCTGCTTGTCCCCTCCATATACAACACCGCATTCATATATGCCAGAGAGTATGAACTCCTCTGGTGTTTGTCCAATGAGCCGTGTTCTTCAAGTCGACAAGTACAGCTTACCAAATACAGTATCGTTGAGTGCTATTGCCACGATTACTCCGCAGGCGATGTTTACAGCCAGGAAGATAATAACAAGGAACATAAGCATATTTCTAGATCCCTGATACATGACATGCAACCGAGCAATCATGATGACTTGCATCGTGTGTTAGTCAGGTTAATATCAGCGGTGTTGCACCTGGGCAACTTACCACCCAACATGGCAGTCAACGCCACAGTTGTGCCATTTATTGCGTAGTACGTGATAGTGCCTAAAAATTCCCAATTAGTGAACGCCCTCGCACTAGTATCAAAGACTCCGACTTACACCTATTGAGTCATTATGTTGAGCCTAGTTCGATGGTTGGAATCTCACTCACCCCTACATATGAGCGTATTGATTGGATGGGAATGAGATGGTTGCAGAATACTCACTGCATCTGTCAGCGATACCGATGTCATACTTCCTGTGTTCCGCCGGTCAGCAAAATGGAACACAGCGCATATGAGACATACGTAGAAGATGGACACTAGTTGTCAGAGACGAGGTATTAGCACAGTCCAAAGTTCTTGATCTCGACACATACACAGAAAATGGTATTCCAATATAGCGTATCTGGAACATTTTGGATTCAGCACAAGTTGCCCACCACACTAAAGCACAGCATGAGTACAAACAATCAAATACAGCACGGTCATGAGAGACCAGCGTTGTCTCTGTCGCGAATTCATTGCATGCTCTTGTTTTCTTCTGATACGGGATCCTTGTCACTCACCCAGATGAGTTCAATCTATGACACCATTCTTAGCGAGTTGGCTGCTACGGAGATAAGATCTACGTACCTCTTGTCCGAATGTTAAGACTTGAAACATCATGAGAATATCAGCGATTTTCGAACACTGTCCTGCTCACCCGAATCATATACCACCACGGCGGCGGCGGCAACTGCAAAACCCTAAGTCAACGTTGGATCTAGACATCCCTGATGCGACGAACCCGTCCAATGGCTGGAATAAATCCTCAAATTGATTGTCGGCCACCAACTGGGATTATTTGAGACGTAGGTCATGTTCGAGGGATGGGTGTGAGCGAGTGGGGAAAGTTAGTGGTGTATAACGTCAGCGTTCGCGCTAGATATACGTTCAGCCCCCAAATCAGCATGATGGTGACGGATAGTTGATCCCGCCCTGAGGCGCAGCAGCCCTCCGATTACTAAGTACTCTTATGGAATAAGGGCCATTCTGCAGTATAGCACCTCGTACACTTGGATCATTGGGGGCCATTATGATTATATCAAAAACGATGAACAAACAGAAGGTAAGGAACGAATCCAATCCAAAGCGCATCATATTCAATACATTGTGCACAGTGCACTTATGTGATGTTGACGTATTGCACCGCCAGATACTGAGAGACACCATCCTCGAATCGAAAGAGAAATTTCACACGGGAGACAATAAGCCTGTCAATAAGGCTAGAAGCCCCATTTCTAATTGTACAGGCTGATCCTGATGGTATCGTGTTTCAGTAAGCTTTCATCCTGTACGGATGAGTCCGTCGGATAGACAAAGAAGTCATTGGCAGACTGCAAAAATTACACGTTGGAGCAGGGGCCAGCGGCCTGAGCAAGACAGACAAGCCGTGATTATGATGCACGAGCACGGTGAAACCTAACCTAGTCTACGTATTGACTAGTGTTTAGGCCGTGGAGACCCCGAATGTGCAGTCTCGCGGAACTCCGACTTCAACGTACGTACGCATATAAGTAACTCGAGTACGGGAATTGAGGACACGAAATCTGTGCCAGCACTTAGATTCGTGACTAGTCTGGCGTACGTCTCTTGGGAATTTTGACCCGACCTCACACAGCCCTGCCTAACCTGCGATTGTATAACTCTATCTACTCCCGGTCACAGACTCAAGTTCCTATTACCGTGGCTCTAACTCCCTGCGACCCAATATCCTTCCCCTCACACTCATTCGCCCGAGTCCGGTCCAGATTATCTCGTTGAGCACTTTCACTTTCAAACTCTTACGGTTGTGCTTAGCAGGATGGACTGTTTTGCAGTCGCATTGATAAACACCAACGTATGTGTATTATCCAAGCTGTTCAGCGAACTGACTGTTGCATACGGAGTCAAGAAGGCTACAGGTTAACGTTCACCGCCAGGATGCGACAGCATTCAAACACATACTAATGGCTTCGACCTGGCACGTACACCACAGAATGCCCAGATTACTGATTCGACTCAAAAGGCGGGTCGGTTCGACATCCAGAGTGGATTGTTATCTACCATGGTGATCCAAGCGACGTACTGGAGGATGAGGAACTCATGAGCAAACATTCCTATATATTCCTGTATCGTTCGTGGGAGTCTCGAATAATCAGCTGTCTGGATCCAATTTTCGACAGTCAGCATTCACGAGATTGGCGTTCGCGTTTGAGGATATCCCGTCTAGTAAGACTTTGACAGGCCATATATGCCCAATGCACGATTCTGCGATCATGGTCAGTTCTTGGTTGTTATTTTTCCTTCTTCGTGCATCGTGCTTAGATGATAATCCAGGGCATTCATGAATATGTTGAATTCTCAGACTATCAGCTGTCTGAACTCGGATACGCTACTTCTACTTTCCTTGGTCCGTAGAATAGTCGCATCGCACCCCACCCGAACGGCCCAGATCGATGATGATGCAATAGATGCGATACAGCCATTGCGTCACAAGCCATCTGAGCGAATAACGACCTGTTGAAGTGAAGTGTATATTTTTCAAATGATCATTTCTTCGCACCAGGGCGACTGCAATTGATATTATGTGTGTGATGTATGTATATATGCATCTCGTTCGGTGCTTTACTCTTACAGTCGTGCTGCTTGGCAAGATGGAAACAGATCGTTGCAAGGGCCCTAATTCACATCCGACGCATGATTTGCAGTTGGATGGGTGACGCTATTATGATCAGAATATGTATGCCAGAGTTCTAAAAGTTCACGATTGGCGGTTCACTGATACTTTTGCAGGGATACAACAAGAAATAGGTTTGCCTGGACCTTTCAAATATACTTCGGAATACATTATGTTAAATAAATACCACGACGGATCCTGCACCAAATTTCTCCTCCCTGCAGACCACTGAGCAAGCATTTCCCTACACAGTACTGCTAGTTGATACATGTACATGCTCCTTGAAAACAATAGAATCCATGGTAGCTTCTGCGTTGGTGTATGCCACGAGTTTCGCGTTGTATTCTCGAACGCTAAGAATAAGGCGTGGTCCCACCACAAACATCTGCACGGCCGATAAAATTTGAAGAGCACCACTAAGTGTCATAGCTCCAATAGAATCTGCTCTCTATAGAACCGATGAGCAGTGGTTACGCGCAGATATTGGCGACAGGTCAGCGCACCGAGATATCTGGAGAGTAATAAGCAAGCTGGAGGCAAGAGACACCAAGAAAGCTAACATGTGTGGAACTTCAGCAGAAACATATAATCGCGTTCACATTACAGGCTCACCTTGCAAAATAAAGAACGTGAGATTGTATGAGCATTCTGAAACAGTCCCCAATGGTCGATCCTGTCGATGGTCCGAGTCGTCGCCGGCCACACCAGTGCTTCACAGCAATCCAAACTGCCAGACAGAATGCGAGGACCTCCCAGACAGTGTTGAGCATCCAAACCATCGAAAACAGAAACTCGGAGTTCAATTTAAATTCATAATTGCACATATATGTGCCAGAGAGTATCAACTCCTCTGGTGTTTATCCAATTAGCCGTGTTCTTCATGTCAACAAGTGAAGCGTACCCCCCACACTATCCACCAGTACTATTATCGTGATCACTCCGCAGGCGATATTTATAGCCAGAAAGATAATAACAAGGAACACGAGCATCGTTCTAGATCCCTGATACATGGCATGCAACCGAGAAATCATGATGACTTGCACCGTGTGTCAGTCAGGTCAATATCACGGAGGTATTGCACCTGGGGACTTACCGCCCAACATGGCAGCCAAGGCCACAGCTATGCCATTCCCTCCGTAGAACGTCATCTTGCCTAAAACTCCCAATTAGCCTCGCACTAGTATCAAAGACTCCGACTTACACCTATTGAGTCATTATGTTGAGCCGAGTTCGATGGTTGGAATCTCACTCACCCCTACATATGAGCGTATTGATTAGATGGGAATGAAGATGGTTGCATAATACTTACTGCATCTGTCAGCGATACCGATGCCATAAGTTCTGTGTCCTGCTGGTCAGAAAAATGGAACACAGCACATATGAGACATACGCAGAACACTGAGACTAATTGTCAGACATGAGCTATTAGCACAGTGCAAAGCTGTTGTTGATCTCGATACATACACGGAATACGGCATTCCAATATAGCGTACCTAGAACATCTTGGAGTCAGCACAAGTTGCCCACCACGCTAAAGCACAGCATGAGGTACGAACAATCAAATAAAGCACAGTCATCAGAGACCAGCGTTGTCTCTGTCGCGAAATCATTGTATTCTTGTTTTCTTCTGATACGTGACTCTTGTCACTCACCCAGATGAGTTCAATCTATGGCACCATTCTTAGCGAGTTGGCTGCTACGGCGATAACATCTACGTACCTCTTGTCCGAATGTTAAGACTTGAAATATCATGAGAATATCAGCGATTTTCCAACACTGTCCTGCTCACCCCAATCATATACCATCACGACGCCGGCAGCAACTGCAAAATCGTAAGTCAACGTTAGCTCCAGACATCTCGATGCAACAGACCTCCCCAATAGCTGAAAAACATAACGAGATTCATTCTCGGCCACCAAATGGGATCATTTGAGACGTAAGTCATGGTCGAGGATAGGTGTAGGCGAGTGGGGAAGGTTAGTGGTCTATAACAACAGCGTTCGTGCTAGACATACCACCGTTCAATCTAAGATGCCATACATACTAGGTCGAAAGAGAAATCGCACATGGGAAACGAGAAGCCTGTAACAGGCACAAAAAGCCCGATTTCTGATTGTACAGCCTCGGTCAGTGGCCACTTTATTTCAGTGATGTTTTGCAGTGCTGACTTGAGCAGGAGCCGGTCAAGGTTGCGAGCTAAAACGAGATCTATCAGATAAACCAAGCATACCGTTGTCGGACCTTTGCAACCATCGTACAGACACATCGTCGCTTTAGAATCCTTATTCCACCTTCACAAGATGCCAAAGATACGAATCCAAACAGTCACATGTCGCAATATACAGATAGCACCACATGCAAAAATCGAAGAGCTCTTTATGAAATCTTGTAGCCATGAATCTAACACAGGTTTAAGCGTGATGTGATCGAGACAAGCATATACATAGAATTGCACGGCCGAGACCGATACGCAACAGCCCTCCTCTTATGGAAAAGGGTCATTCTGCGGCATAGCACCAGAGAAGTCGGACAAGAAACAGTGATACAGCGTAGGTCGAAGTGGAGCAAATGTATCTCACCTTAACCGTCGCCTCGTACGCTTGAACTATTGGGTTATCCAAAACGATGAACAGAGATATAACAAGGATGGAGCGAATCTGGTCTAGAACGCACTTTAGTCAATGCATCATGCGCTTGATGTGATGGTGATGTACTGCACTGCCAGATACATCATGATTGATGATTCGTGATTGACATATCTTGAATACATGTACGACACCATCCTTGGCAACTCGAAAGAGAAATTTCACACGGGAGACAATAAGCCTGTGACTCCACGCTAGAAGCCCTGTTTCTGATTGTACAGGCTATCCTGATTCCTGATGGTATCGTGATGCAGTAAGCTTTCATCCTGTACGAGTGAGTCCGTCGGATAGGCAAAGAAGTCATTGGCAGACTGTGAAAATTACATGTTGGGGCAGGGGCCAGCGGTCTGAGCCCAGAGCAAGACAGACAAGTTGTCACGGTGATCATGATGCAAGCTTAACACGAGCACGGTGAAACCTAGTCTACGTATTGACTAGTGTTTGGACCGTAGAGACCCCGGATGTGCAGTCTCATGTAACTCCTACGTAGTCTGTCTCCCGTACACATATCACTCGAGCACGGGAATCGAGGACACGAAATCTGTGCCAGCATTTAGATTCGTGACTAAATATCTGGCGTACGTCTCTTGGGAATTTGACTCGAGCTTAGACAGCACTGCCTAACCCGCGATTGTATAGCTCTATCTACTCCCAGTCACAGACCCGAGTTCCTACTACCGTGACGCGATTCCCTGTATTTCATATATAACCCATGCCTATCTGCAGGTACCAATCTTATACATGTGGAAGTCTGCATTCAGACCTCGCGTTTAGACCCCAACTTGATCAAATCATCAATTCTAATGTTCAATGCGGGCTTTTCCTTATGAGATTGCGTCTATGATAAGCTCTAACTCCCTGCGACCCAATATTCTTCCCTTCACAGTCATTCCCCCGAGTCCGGTCCAGATTATCTCGTTCGGCACCTTCACTTTCAAAGTCTTACGGTTGTGCTTAGCAGGATGAACTGTGTTTTGCAGTCGCATTGATAAACACCAACGTATGTGTATGATCTAAGCTGTTCAACGCACTGACTGTTGCATACGGAGTCAAAGAGGCTACAAGTTTTCACTGTCAGGATACGAGCATTCAAACACATACTACCATATGGCTTCGACCGACATCTACACCTTAGAGTGCCAAGACCATTGTTTTGTTATCTATGACGGTGATCCAAGCGATGTACTGGACGACGACGAACTCATGAGCAAACATTCCTGTAGATTCCTGTATAATTCGTGAGAATCTCAAACAATCAGCTGTCTGGATCCAATTTTCGACAGTCAGCATCCACGAGATTGGCGTTCGCGTTTGAAGATATCCCGTCTAGTAGTTCCTCTTTCTTGGCTGCGATTCCTGTCTTGGCCTGCTCCTTGATGCACTCTAGGAACTAATTGACCTGCATCTAGACTCGTTCCAGGCTGACCCAAAGGATGCTCAGCTCCACTTGCCAAATCCCTGCTTTGTGTGCCAAGGTGGCTCGAAAGGAATGGATGGCGCGTCAGGTACAAGGAGGGGAACGGAGGCTGGGCTCCGAGAAACGGTGCTTGATCTTGCCAGTGGTCAAACCGAAACTTGGGAAATTTGAAGCGCCACTAGTACTCTTACACCTAGGGTCCATGCCGACGGAAGAAGGTTTTATCCCTGTGGCTCCGAACGAGTAGAAATGAAGTATTTATCATGATGCATGCATCGATCAAATGAATATCTGCAGCGCCTCTTGTTTGAAAATACGAGTGATATCATTGTATGAGGTCATGAATTTTGCAAATGCGGTGCCAGCAGCTTGGCATGTATGGTCGCTAATCTGGACATTTGTATATAAAGTACACTAGTAGTTATCAAGTTGATGTATCGAGTTATAGACGAGTCAGACTTCCACATACATAGTCAACGAAGCGTGATGCAAGGTAATGTTTTGTCGGGCAGCTCAAGGAAAGCTTTTTGATGATTTTTCCATATATCACTTCGTCGATTGACTCTGCAACAATGTCAACTTAATCCTGTGTCGTTGCTTAGATGCATGTGTCACTTACTCGAAGGTAAATTCGGGCATTCGCAGCACACTGTATAGGTACGGGCAATGTGTTCGACCGTTGTTCGACCTCCTGTTTCTTGTTTTTCGTAGGAAGCGTCGAGCTAGGTTCCCCATACTATAGTTATATAAGACACCAAACGACAGTGAAGCTGTGACCACAAGCACTTACGCGATCGAATATGTGCATGTCAAGTTTGCTCATAACAGGAATGGTTCCTCGATGCTTAGCATTGGTATCAACAGCAGCGACGTGCTTGTGCGAGGATGAGTCAGAACTGCAAGATGACTGCTTGGAGCTCTTCTACATGAACGTTGCTCATCAGGTGCTGACCCTCTGCAAAGCGATGCCACTTACAGCACTAGCGCACCTGCGTGCCTGAGTCCCGAAAGTTGACATGTTGATTGAGAGTTTAGAATGTAACGTTCGTCTTTTGAGAGTGGGTTGAGTTGGTGCTGCTGGTACTACTTGCCATCAGGAGTATATATACCCTGCAGCATGTCCTTGACGGTCGTACTTTAACCCGGCTATGACAGCTTGCCATGGCGGTTGACGCTCAAGACACGATTGTCAAAGAACCAAAACATCGGCGATAGAACCTAACAACATGAAAGTGGTAAGAATGAAATTGGCGCCCTCGTACTAAGATAGAAGCCCAACGGCCTGCTGGCTGCCACAATAGGACAGCCTGAAAAAACGTGGGGTGTGATATCTGCCCATTTCGAATTGAGAATCGATATGGATAGATTTGACCATTAAGGACACCGGCATCAAAACCTGGCCTGTTGTACCAACGCCAAAGACTGGATAGTTGTCTGACAAGAGTCTATGTTAGGGATAACTTAGAGAGCGACTCACACGGACTTTGCGGTTAAACCAGACATGTACTTTTGATCAGTACCAGCGTGTTTACCACTCGCCTGCATAAGTCATGCATCAAGAGAAGCACTATGCATGGCAAACGATTTAACCTATTGATGACCGGAATAGGACGATTATGGAATCGTACCTGCCTGGATTGCAATGAAGTGCTGTGCATGTAGTAACTGATGGGCCTGTCAAGGAGATTTCGGGTTCAAAGGCTGTGTACACTGTAGAACTGCTGTACACCGTGAATAGTAGTGGTACTAGTCTACTAGAGCTAGAGTAGTATGTACTTACGCCGTCGCGTCGTGTGACTTTTTAATCTTACCACTTTCAAGTGGGCCAACTGCAGCCGGGCTTCTATCACCACCTTAATATTGCTTTAATTGTGTAGTAGGCAGTTGCAGGCAGCGTTCCGCTTAGCTCGGTTTCATGTTATCCAGATGTTGGATTCAGGACATTCAGGATGACATGTGCACGTTGGTGAGTGGTATTGATAGAAAAAATGGTCGAATTGAATTTTTTTTTTGATTTGATTTACATAATTTTCTTGCAAAGTACGAGGCAGTCTCGTCGTCGTATGTTGCGATGTCACACTCGGTTGCAACGGTCTCGGGTGCCATCATCTCCCGCAACATTAATCTAGGAGGCCGCGGTCTGTTTTCCAGAAGATCCTTATCCTTCGGAAACAATTAATCCTAAAACCAGAAGATAAGTTCGCTGTAATTATCGCTGCAGGCGCTCGTGCCTGTGCACAAGCTTGGCTTCTAAAGGCGACATTCTTGCTTAAGACGCTCGGGCAACACTCTTTCCGGTCTTCTCGGAATCAGGATTGCCGCCGGGCCCTTTGCCATTCCACCCTATGCCCCCATATTTATCTACTATAGAGCGCAAGAACACGCGGAAAGCGCGGGCAGCCGTCGAACGCTTTTCTATTTTCCCACTGCGTCTCATACTTATCTACTAAATTAAAGCGCAACACCTGGATTAGGAAGAGCCCCGTCATTTGCATTAGGTGCTAGCCCGTTGCGCCCATTCTCTTCGACGGGCATCGGTATGTGCCGGCTCCGGGACTGTCATGTTACTCAAAAAATCACACCATCAGCAGCTTCTCACTAGAACCAGCTCTTCTTACTAGCGCTCACACTCGAAAGGTATAGTGGCTCATTCTATAGATCGGCTGTGCATTGAATCGGTTGCTTGCGACAATCTGGCTCTGACTCACTTACTGGGGAACATACACTGCGCCCGGTGTTTGTCACAAATTCTAGCCTACTTGCTCTCAGGCTTTTCGATTGAGTGGCCAAGTCGCTAGTTCATGCACGCAGGCATTTTGAAACTACCATCGACAATTTTGTAAATGAATGAGACATACATTCACGATAACCGGCATACATAGTGTCAAACTGTATGGTAAAGTCGTTGAAGTCGTAAACGGGCATCAAATAGCAGGTCATGAAGAAACTAAACAAAAGTGGAAAGCGTATCGATATACCCTACGGATGAAGACTAGCTCCTAAGAGACCTGCCTCATCGAAATAGGACGTACTTCGAGACACGCAGAAACATAACAAAGTGGAAGGCACCGGATACAACACAAGAGTATCAAAACACAATGGCGAAGACTAGCTCCTAGCATTGAGAAACTTGTCGATCGACGTATGCGCTTCCAAACATGACAAAACAAAACAAAACAAAATAGAGGGCGATTTGGATCCACCAAACCGTATGGGCACACCATGGGAAAAGTTGAAGACCAGCTCCTAGTAATAAAAGGCCTGCCTCATTGACAAACGTGCTTCATGCGCAGCGGCACAGCCAAAGCGCACGAACG